TCAATAAGTATATCAATTGTCCAAAGAGGTTGTATTCTACAGTTTGCCTAAATGTAATCATTGCGTAGGTGTGTAGTGTGATTCTGTGTGGTTTATTTATGGCATCCCGTTGGATTTGACGTCATCTGAACAGGACATCGCACGCTCACTGCTTGATAGCACGTGAAAGTCCGTTTACGCCGGTTGTTAAACAACATCGTTATGGGGAAATGCAAGTTTGCGTCCAAATGGTTGGAAGATGAGGAGGAAGGACAATCAATACTGTGTATATAGCCAATGTAACCGGTTAAAACTCCAAGTGGCGATGAGGTCTTAAAAGGTATGGCATTTGACTTCAGGATTCCTGCATATACCCTGCGTCTACTATGTGACCTCCAGTCTGTTCCTTGTCCCACTTCAGATGAAAGAGAGGAAAGGGAGGACGGTGAAAGGAGCACATTTGGGATGCTGTTAGCCTGTATTTGGCCTGTACACACCCAGACAGAGACGGAAGAGACAAATGAATGTAACATTAATGAATGCACTCAAGATTACTCCAGACACACACAAACAAAATCTCAGCTTCCATACTCTCATACATAGAACCAGACTTGGAAATGGAGGAAACGCACCAAAGTCCACCTCAGGTTAAAGGAACTGACGCTCATATGCATGAATGCCACAAGCAATAACAGCCTGTTGGATTTTATTAACAGAATAGAACTCTGGTTAAACAAGCTGAGTTGCGTCATCCATTAATCTGTGGTTGAAGCTGTCGGGCAGTTCACTGCATTTTTGTATAGCTTTTGTTGGATAGTTGACAGTAGAGAGTGAAAGGAAATATGTGTGAATATCAAGAGGGATGATGTGAGGTCAGTTACACGTTTTGGACTGCTGCTCAACCAGGATAACCCTCTATAAATGTTCAACGGAAAGGAATGTGCATCCTAGTTGTGAGGCACGTCTGCTGGGTTTGACATCTTTCTCGACATGTCCCGACTTTTTGAACCTCGCACATGCGCAGACCTGTCCCCGAGATCCAGGGTGGTGATCTCAGCGCTGGCTGCAGCTCGGCCATGAATGAGTGAAGCGGCTCTGAAGTCGTGTTTATGGAGGGCCCCGTTCTCTTGGAGGGGAGAACCAAAGTTAAATAAATACTCGCTCCATCCTGTCTGCATTAAGGGCCTGCACACATGGCTTTGACGTCAGAGTGACATTAAACAGGGTGGGGTGGCCCAGCCAGCTCCGACAGGCACGTGCACCAGCACGCACACATACACACAAACACACACTCCTACTCGGCTGGCTATTAAATCCCTGTCTTTCTTTCTTTGTATTTTGTCTTGTTTTTATAGCTTTCCTTCCCTTATTTTTTTCCCTTCTGACCCCAAGTTGAGATGACATTTCTCACGCTTATGTCCTTTAGTAAATCATATGAGTCACTTGTTTTGCCACTACTTGTCTCAACACTTAAATTCCCTTTAACTACATCACCTGGTAAGAAGTTAGTCTCTGATAACTTGTTACTTTTTGTTGAGTTGGTTCGACTGTTATCATCAGTCATCCTGTGTTTTAGGCTCAAACGTGCGCAAGGATTTCTCCTGCACTATAACCAGCCGATTTCAACTGGCTATCATCAGAGTGTGTGTATTCCAACACTTCATTTCAACATTTATCTTTGCCTTCTTTCCTTATGCTGCAACGCAAACGTTTGTGCATGTGCCCGTACGTCTATATCTAAGTGTTCTGTGAGTGGTGTGTATGCCCTGCAGCCCCACAACTGGTCTGTCAACATGCCTATCCACATCTACAACCTGAGACCAGTGGGATCTTAAAAGCTTTGTTAGCAAAACATTGACGAGTGACGCAGTTAAAAAAAAAGTGTGTCATTTATTTGACTAATGACAGTTTCTAGAGCTGATATCCGGCTTGTTTGCATGATTGTAGCACACTTTTTTCCCCTGTGAACGTGGTACAAGACTAAGGTGTTGTTTTGCTCGTGTTTGACCACCGTGGCCCCTGTATGTATTTGCGTTGAAGCTGTCGCATGTCTCTGCCGGACCAGCTGGTGTCTGGTGAACTTTGGGGCAGAGGATTTCCCTCTCCGTCATCCTCAAACCGTCACAGTTGACACGGTTTACTCAAGCTCGGGGCTGCTTTGTTTGTTCAGTGTTTTTTAAAACACGCATATCAATTGGTGAGAAATCAGAAATGTGGGCTGGAAGATAGTTCAGAGTTTAAATCTGTAAATATCTGAAATCAGATATGTGTCTGTCTTTAATCTGACTTTTATTTGTCTACCAACAAAAAAAACGCTGAACACGTTGACTGTCTTTTTATTCTTCAAATGATAGAAGTAAGAGATACCTTGATTTATGTCGATAACTCATTGTTGAAAAGTGTTGAATAGTATATGTTCTTTTGATTGCTTAGTATTCTACTTAACCTATTCATTTGAATGATGCATCACTTTTGAAGCTATAAGATCACACAATTCGGTTATGTATTCTTAAGTTTGACTAAGTTAAATCATAGTTTTGCCAACTCTAAACTGCACTTTAAATCTAGGCAACGTTTTTGCAAAGGTGATTCACAATTCCAGTGAAGTATGGGCTTTCAATTGGTTTCTATAAGCTATTTTAGACGCCTATAACATTTCGAACACGTCATGTTAAAAGTTTTTTGTTTTTCTCAAGGCTGTGATTACCTGGATTTATGTCATTCTGCGTCATCTTTTTAAAACAATAAATAACTTATTATAACATCAGAAAGAAAATGATTTTTCTTGGTGTTTCCATGCCTATTGTCAATAGTGCAGAAAATTTGATTAAATTGATGGAAAAGGAAAGCAGTATGACAACCATTATATATATATATATATATATATATATATATATATATATATTTTGTAATGGTAAAACTACCAAATTATATATTATCTACAAACCATTAATCAATATTCAATTTAAGCTTTCATCTCGTCTGTTTTAACATCTTCTGGTTTAGTAAAGCTGTTAGTTTGCAAATCAAAGCAGCATGTCATCAGGATAACATCTGCTGCTGACTTCAAGGGGTAAATACCTCAGTTTACCCCGCACAATAACACACACTAACACACACTAACACACTACCCTCCTGTTGTTAGAATGAACATTTCAGTCAAATATATGGGGTCAAGCCCCTTTTGAAGAGCGTTGTTGTGCCTAGAGGTTGTTCAACCCTCAAATCAGGGTCATCTAATTTTCTGCTAGCACTCTCCAACGACTGTGTGTGTGTGTAACTGTGTATGAGAAAAATGTAAGGTTAAGTTTGTTAATGTTTGCTCCAGGGGAAAAAAGTGTGAGTTCCTGGAAACATTAACATTCTATTATAGACAATGATTAAATTCACTGTGTTATGTGTTTTGTATTGAAATGCCTGTTGGGTTACAATAGAAAATATAAAACATACACAAAGATAAATACACAAAAATAGGTCCACAAATATACACAAAAATATGTTTACATGTGTATTTCTATGGGGGTATAAGTTGTGTATCTTTCTCTATAAGCCATGATTGAATACCTGTATTCTAAACATTAAAGTTGGGTTGCATTTTAAATGACTTTCATAGGCAGTACGTTTTGTTCCTTTTTAACAAAGAAAACTGGTTGTCCAAAAGGAGTCCTGTGTAATTCTGTGACAGTTCATGTTTATTTAAGTTGGAAAAACAAATGACTCTTTCAATGCTGGACATATTGTATTTTTCCAAGACGTCCCAATTGTGTCACCTCCCTGTTTTTTGTCAATCATTTGTATTTCATGGTTATACAGCGAGAAGATGGCTTTTTTATGGTTGATTGACTTTTGACAAGGAAGTGATTCAATAAGAAGTATGACAATGTCACATTGTGAACGTCATCAGATAACAATATTTAAGCCTTCTATTTTTCTGATAGAAGGACTCAAGTTATTGTGTTACAGAAAGAAAGGATTCATTAAGCTGGTCAGCGGCCTTGCTAGTTGTTCTGGCAGATATATAAATGACGGTTTCATCTGCATGGATTTGGCAGCTAACACCGGGATACTTTGATTTGTATCCTGGTGTACTTATGTGTGCTTTGATATACATGCTAAATAACAATGGCCCTAGAACTGAGCCCTGGGGTATCCCCAATGCTTTTGGATGGATAGTTTTTCTTGCATTAAATCTCAAACCTTGAAAATTTCACCTAGTACAAGTCAAACTATTGTGCGGCATGTTTAGATCATTGGAATTTGTTCAGTTTTGATAACATTATACTGTGGTTACCAGTATTGAAGTCTTTTTTAAAGTCTAAGAATACAGCTCTTGTTGCTTGGCCTTTATCCAAAATACCTTTTATTCTTTCCATTACATGGCTGTTTGCAGTCTCCATAGAATGTTTGTTTGGGTCTGAATCCAAATTATGTTGATGCAGTAAATCATTGCATTGTGTTCTGAGTTGCTCTGCTACAATCTTTCAGCTAGGGGCTGTGAGTGCATGCAAAGGCTTTCTCACCAGATATAAAGATTGGACTGATAAAAGCTGCTGTTCAGGTTCTCTGGGAACGTTTTTGTTTTGATTTAACATGTTGGGTCCTGTGTTTTTTATCAGTGCAGATTCTCTGATGTCTGCAGTCTTTAGATTGCTAAGGCGACTCATAATCTTGCTTACTTTTTCAAGATGAAGCTCTTTGATGTAAACCTGTCTTTGAGACTAAATGTGTGCATGCCCCATGATCTTTGGAGCTGTCAAACATTCTTCACCACATGCTCTGTCATGCTGCATAGAGGCGACTGGTGAGATGAACCAGCTGTCCTTGCCTCTGGTCGCTGCAAGGTCAACACGCATGCACACACACATACATCTACACACACACACACAAACACACAAGGATGGATGCCCTTTTGTTCTTGGGTCGAAATTCAGTCATCGAATGTGGTTAAAGACTCAAAGTGCAGTGTCGAAAAAGTGACTTGATTGATGTGCTGATTTTTAATGTCTTTTTGTGTGTCTTAGGTGGAGGAGGGAAGAGGAATGGTCGCAGCAAGAAATGGAAAGAGATGCTGAAACTCCCCCACATCAGCCAGTGTGAGGAGCTACGCCGCACTATCGGTAAGAAACCTGGAGTGTGGTTGTGAGGCAGAAAGATAACGTGCCATGCTGTGTCGTTGGGGTGGGTCCGACTGCGGGAGGAAGTTCAGATTGGACTTCCTTCCTGCTTCTACCCGTCTCCACCCGTAGTTACAGGCAGGGGACAGGAAACACTTTGTGTGTGTGTGTGTGTTTCTGTTTGCACACAGCCGTTTCTTAATCCCCAAGTCTCTCCTGATATGACTGTCTGCTCACACACACACACCCCAAATCAAAACGTCTTCACTGCCGCTTCCTTCATGTTGTCCACATCCAGATTTTGTTTAAAGTAGGGGCAGGATTCTCTCTTTGTGACCCAGGCAAGTGCTCTACTCCTGGGCTACATTATCTCCCCCCACCAACCCCGGTCCTCCCACCCACCCCGGTCCTCTGAATGCCACAGCACTCCGAGTATGTGTGTGTGTAGGTGCCTGTATGTGTGTAATAGTGCGTCACAGCTATCTCTGCCAGAGATTGCAGTGCTACCCTCCCCCACATACTCTCCCTCCCTCTTTTCTGTCTCCATGCCTCCCCCTCCCACTATCTGCATCTCTCCCTCCCTCTTTCCACCACTTCAGAGGAACAGAGTGGCAGAACAGGAGAGTTATGGAGAGAGAGGGAGAAGCTTTTACAACAGGGGAGAAAGATCTCGTAAGGACAGAAGAGAGTGAGAGAAACGAGAGGAAAAGGAGGGAGTGAAAGAGATGTAGATGCACATACTCCCAACGGTGATATCTCTTACTCAGCAACGGTTGTGTTCCTCGCCGTTTGTCTTCATATCACAAATCGCAGATCTCATCATCATAAACCTGAATGCATCAGTCGTCGGCAGCTGCTTAAAAAACAGCACATAAATGTCACCTTAAGTGTGAAGAAGCATTGTGCTCGTCATTTCTTGCATATTTAATGTCATTTGGAGTGTGTGTGTGTGTGTGTGTGTGTGTGTGTGTGTGTGTGTGTGTGTGTGTGTGTGTGTGTGTGTGTGTGTGTGTGTGTGTGTGTGTGTGTGTGTGTGTGTGTGTGTGTGTGTGTGTGTGTGTGTGTGTGTGTGTGTGGTGTTGTGTTGTGTGTGTGTGTTGTGTGTGTGTGTGTGTGTGTGTGTGTGTGTGTGTTGTGTGGTGTGTGTGTGTGTGTGTGTGTGTGTGTGTGTGTGTGTGTTGTGTGTGTGTGTGTGTGTGTGTGTGTGTGTGTGTGTGTGTGTGTGTGTGTGTGTGTGTGTGTGTGTGTGTGTGTGTGTGTGTGTGTGTGTGTGTGTGTGTGTGTGTGTGTGTGTGTGTGTGTGTGTGTGTGTGTGTGTGTGTGTGTGTGTGTGTGTGTGTGTGTGTGTGTGTGTGTGTGTGTGTGTGTGTGTGTGTGTGTGTGTGTGTGTGTGTGTGTCATAATTTCCCTATCACACTGAGGGCAGGATCAAAATAATCCCTTTTTCCTACTTAAACGCACAGACGTGAAGGCATGTGTGTGTACGCATGCCCGTACACAGTGTAGGCGCAGCAGATGGAAGGGTACAGCAAAGCGGCTGATCGCAGTGTCTTTGTTTTGTCTTGAAAATGTCAGCCATTTGACCGTAGCCTTGACAAGTGTGCAGTACTTCTAGGAAGCCTAGTTTACATTATGTGGGCTGCAGCCAGTTTGTCTTGTCTCTTCCTCTTCTTCCATCTCCATGTCTCTCGTCTGGTATCCATCCAGTGCATACAGTACATCTGCACCTACTACTCTTGATCTCTAAAGCCATCGCACATGCCTACACTTGTGCACATTTGGCTGGCCGTTCGGGAAAAAAGTCACTCACTCTTGGCCCCAAAAAAAGTGGTGCAGTGATGACATATTTTTGCATGCTGACACGTAATTTAGAAATTCAAGGGCTCCCACTACCAAAAGCCAATGGGACTTTTTAATTGTTTTTTGGAATATTGCAGGAAATAAGATCCGTAGCAAACACACGTTTGCAATACTGACATGTTTTTTTTCAGCCGGATAATCTCCACCTTTTAACACCAACTGAATTTTGAAGCGTGAGTGCAATCGTCGCAAGTAAAAAGCTAACGTTAGGCTACAGACTAACTAATTCACATGTGCATGACTTCACGTCACCACCGCTAAGCTAAATGCGGCTAATATTCGGCATTATGCCGTTTTGGAATTTAATTAAGGCACTTGTTAGCAACTGCTGTTTTTATGACACATAGAAGAAGAAGAAACACTTTATTAATCCCTTACAGGGACATTTCTTTCCCCACTCTGTTGTGTTTACACACACAGGGGAGGATATACATGCACAAACACAGAGGATATACATGCACAAACACAGAGGATATACATGCACACACACAACCACATGCAGATAGGAGAGGTGGCAGAGCAGAGAGGCTGCCAGGTACCCGGCGCCAAGGGAGCAGTTTCGAGGTTAGGTGCCTTGCTCAAGGGCCCCTCGGCAGTGGCCTTGGAGGTGAACTGGCACCTCTCCAGCTACCAGCTCACTCCATCTTTTTTTGGTCCGATCGGGACGTGAACCGGCGACCCTTCGGTTCCAAGACCAAGTCCCTACAGATAGCCACTGCCGCCCCTAGATAGAAGTTTCCTACATTCACCAATGGGGTGTTTACTGATGTATTGTAGTAGAATCATTTATGAAAACCATTGCTTATAGACGGAACCAGAAATGGAGAAATGCCAACTCATTGCCTTTATTTTGGATTCCTGCACCACTCTATTGGAATTGTAATTAAGTTGTAATTGCAGCTTACTTCACGGCTCAGACAGCTACAAGTCCTGACTGGTTCGAGCTTTACAACTCTCCCTGCATTCCTTTCTATCTTTTCATTTTACGGCCCCTTTTTTTCCCTGAAACCTGGTAGTCTTGTATTTTCTTGTTTTCTCTCTCTAGTTATTTTCACAGTTGTCTTTTGATTAGAACAAAGCTCTTCTTTGTCTCGTACGCAAAGAGAACATTTTGGACACAAATGCCAATGTTTTCACACACAAACCCAAATCCGGGCCCAAGAAAATGTTTATTATTTTCAGGCCTTTGTTTTCTTATGTCCACCGTCTACATTTTGCTATGTTTTTGTAAGACAATAATGTGATTTGGCATTGTTTCTGTAGCAAAATTCATAATTGGACATTGACATAGCAAATGTTGAATGGCCAACCTGTAAAGCTGCAAAAACTACAATCATCACAGCAAATATTTACAGAATGTATCTATCCTTTTCTTTTAATACAGTAGGTTGACATGAATTACTTTTTTGTGGTAGTTGTTGCTTTTCCAGGTATATGCTAAATTGTCGTCTATACCATTAATTTATGAAAACATAGCTACTAAAATCATTCATGTGTCCCTGGGTATTAATCGTTGCCAAGTCCCGGTGTTCTGTGTACCGTTAAAATGTAAACAAGTTATTACGGGAAAATAACACAGTATATACACTAGGCTGTCCAGCTGAGGCTACTCCCCTCTTTTTAAATGTCGAGTATAAGTGGTGTGTGATAGAAGAGCCTTTACACTATCTGTATGTTTTTTCCCTAGAAGGCCCAACATGTCCTACCAACATGATTTATATGTAATTATCTCTGGAGTACAGACACATTCCTATTTCCATTCATATACACATGTGGTATGATGAAAACATGTGGAAAATGAAAAATATTCCAAAGTGGAATTATTCAGAAAATATTGCTAATAAGTAACAGGAATTAGGCCTCTAAATAAATGTAGAGAAACTGAGTTAGTGTTTAAAAGGTTGAATCATATTAACTTATAACATATAAAGTATTCTGCTTTTGCATAAGTTAATTTGGCGTCACATAGGTTGCTCAATAAGCCTGTTACTTAAAAACATGGACATCCTTTAAAGAACAATGCACAGTTTCTGCCTTTTTTCATTACGCAAATTGGAGCGTGTCACCTCAAAGGGGGGACCGGTTGTGCTGTAATTCAGCCGGAAACACTAGCAATTACACTGAAACCGCCCTGAAATCCTCACAGCAAAAACCTGTTCTGGAGCAAGACTGACACCTAATCAGGAGGCTCATTGTAAACCAGAGATAATTATACGCAGTAAACTAAATTCCCTTGCATAAATAAATTAACCATAATCTCTAGTTTAGCAAAGGCTAACGATACAAACCAGGATAGTTTGTTTCTTCTGAACCCGAATGGAAAAGTTGACTTTGCTGTATTTGGTTTGTTTAGGTTCACACTGCCCATTTGCAAATAAACTAGCTGATAAACAGAAGCCACATGTACTCTCTAGAAACTTCTTTATCATTACAGTTTTTTTATCACATGTTATTTTTGTAGACGCTATTATCGAAAGCGACACTTCAATACCATATTCCTACAGGAGCAATTTAGGGATAAGTATCTTGCCTAAAGACACTTTGACAAGTTGACTACAGTGGTTGAGATTGAACCACTGACCCTGTGAATGGTAGACGCCCATTTACCCCCTGAGCCACAATCGCTTCTATCATTATTTGACAGTGTGTTGACAACCTGTCCAATGATTGTACAGTATTAAATGGGGGTCAATGCATTTGTTTTTATGGAGGTATAGAGATACACATTTTCATGTATTCCTCACGTTCAAATAAACGGCTCCTAGCATTTTTCACACTAAAATGTATGTTATGAGTGCGAGGGGATTTCCCAGCTCCAGCTGATAGGGAAACACCAAAGCATGCCTCAAAAAGAAAAACTTCCAGATCGGAGATGAAAGGCAACGTCTGAATGCGAGCGCGACGCAATCCAGTTAAAGATCTCTCAGCGAGTTTTTCTGAAAGAGCTTTTGTTCTCTAGATTTTAAAAACACAGCGGTTGCACAGTGGAACGGGAAGCAATACAAATATCATATCTCTACACTCCACTGTTTGTTCAACAAAGCGATAACTTTGTTTTGCGGTCGTATAAGTGGCGAGTTTGAATGAGGAGCTGCAGAGGGAATGCTGGGTAATAAACAGTGCTGCTGGGAGGGCTGTTGTGAAGATTTGATTTACTGCTGGAGCTTGTTCTGGAGCTGTCACCACTCAGAAATATTCATCCCATGCATGTTTGTGTGTCCTCACTGTCAGCCAGTGATGGAAAACGTCCTGGGTCTTCTTCCTCATTTGGTGCCAGAGGAAATATGACTCAAATGGACGCCATTAGTCCTAATAGGCCGGGGCCAGCTGCACATGAGACACACACACACATGCACACACGCACACACACACAAGAAACACATGTTGTGTTCTAGCATAATCAAATGTACTTATTAAGGGATAACTTAATTTTGGGGGGATTTTCAATTTTATTTTTCGCTCCCACCATTGGAGAGTAGGCTATCTGCAGTGTCAGAGTGTTTTTATCAAGTTACTCGATGTGCATGATACATGATGCATGATAATTTATGAACATGTCAAGGATATAACAATGTGTTTTTCAGTTAGGGAGGACTTTTGAAAGTATATTTTGTTATATCCTTGACATGTTCATAAATTGCTAATTTTGGCCATTATTTAGGATAAGGTCCTAAAAGTTGAACCCTTGTCTTAGTTAGCATCCATTCCACTTATGTTAGCTTTCTTGATAGTTTTTGTTTTTACTGAGATTTTTTTCTGTCTTTCTGGAAAGCGTATTTTTGAGGTTACAAACACTTTCGATTGTGCTGTAAAAGTTGAGCCCCTTGTCTGTTTTGCTAAGTAAAGAAAGCATTAGCAATCAATATCTCTAAATTATCCACAATTTAGCTGAAATCGGCTAACTTTTAGGACATGTACATTTGAATGCTTAAAACTGTTTGTCTCAAAAAAAGGGGAACATTTATGCCGCATTTCCACTACACGGTCGGCCTCGGCCACGCTCGGTACGGCTCGGTACGGCTTGGCCGCGTTGGGCCTTAACAGGGCCGACTCACTTCATGCTGCGCTTCCATTACAGTTTAGGAACTGGGGTAGTTACTATAGTAACGCAGTGTAGGCGGAGCCGTGACGTCATCTTCAATGAGAACTCCAGAAAACACAACACAGCCGTTAGCTGTTAGCACTCAGAGCTCACAGCTCCTTATATATGTTCAGAAACTCGACAAAAGTTAAACAAATACACACCACAGACTGCCTGTGTCATGGTGAATACAGTCGCTGCTTTATTTATGTCTGTATAGGCCGTTGTTGTGAGTGTGGACGGTCGGGGCATATACTGCGTTAGCTTAGCCAATCTCCATCTAGAAAAACACGAATTTTAAAAGGTTTTTCGCCTGCCGTCTGTCTGCAGACTTGACAAAGCATTAATTCATGGTTTTTACTAACCGGTATCAGTATGTTGTTACTTCGGCATCATTTTGAAACGTGTATTACAATTAAATCACGGTCAAATATGTCCATCTTGTTGTAGTTGGAGCCCTCTTGCCAGCGCTCCTCTCTCTAGTTTAGCATACTCAGCCCTGTTTGTTGGCCCCGATAGAACCACAATTTTGTCGGGCCAGAAAAGAGGTGAAAAAGTGGCCCCGGGCCGGGCCGGGCCGTAACTAGGCCTAGTGGAAGCGCAACCAAAAACGGGTACGGCACGACACGGCACGCTTAAAGCGAGCTCCGCGCTGTAGTGGAACTGCGCCATTAGAAAAGAAAAATAAAGATTATTTTGTGTAAAATGTAGTTTCTTTCATTGTGTCTCTTCCTGTGACCGCTTTTGGGGTATTGTATATAAAATAATTAATTTTTCTAATAACCCCTAATCTGAGTTTCCACACTATTCCCATTCCTGCTTGTATACCATATTTCCGTGTATCTTTCTAGTGTTATAATGACATTTCTCTCCCCCTGTGTCTCCCTGTCCTCCCCTCAGAGAGGGACTACACCAGTCTATGTGAGAAGCAGCCCATTGGCCGGCTGTTATTCCGGCAGTACTGTGATACCAGGCCAGAGCTGAAGCGCTGCATTGAGTTTATGGACGCTGTGGTAAGACTTTCACTAAACTTTACACCATGAATTATTATCTGATGATCGTTTAGCTATTCTTCTTTCCCACATTCTCTTTCTTTGTGATTTCACCAATGAGACCCCCTTGAATCGGAGCAGCGACTAGGAAAGGAAAGTCGGAGTTGGTCCTCTGCCTGCTCTTGGCAGTAGCACCGATTGGGTGGGTGGGATGGGCGTTGTGGGGGTGATTAGCAACCTGGGCTGACCCCTCCCCTTCCTCCACGCACTCCTCCATGAGGTCAAGCCCACGTCAGAGGCAGGTCCCCTGGGTGAGCAGGCAAACACAGGCCCCAGCTTGTGTCTCGGCCCCTGGAGGTATGCGTGAGAGGAAAAAAAGGGAGAATCATGCTCATTTAATAAGGACCTACATTAGTGTTTTCCAAGGTAGGTAGGCAGGCATATAGGTACAAACTCACACCAAGGATGTCATGCCGTGGCAGCGATGCTCAGTCCAATTCCTCTCCGTCCAACGTGTTTTCAAACAAAACAGTCGGCACAAAGCAGTCCTACTTCAGACCGTCTCTCTGCCTGCAGCCATATTTGACCAAAAACACAATCTGTCGCTTAGTGTGTATTTAGGATCTGTCCTCGTTGTGGAGGACTAGGGTTCAAATCCGACCCGGGACCCATTTATGCGTGTCACCTACTGTCTCCACTTTTTCAAATCTGTCTCTCCAATAAAGGCACCGGTGGCCCAAAAATTGTAAAAAAAAAAACACACAATCTGTCTCACAATCTTTGATGTGCTTTCGTGGAAAAAAAAACCACACCCCCTAACCCTAGAAGGTGACACATGAGATGGGCGAAGTGTGAAAATGAACACGGTTTCCAGTTTGCCCCTGACTAGGGTGTGATGTTTTGTCATCAGTAGCATCTCTTTATTTGTCTGTGGCTCCACACGCTCTTGTTCCTCATTAACCCTGCCACCCTTCTCTCTCTTCATCTCTTCTACCCCGTCTCATCCTTCCTCTCTTCCTCCATCTCTCTCCCTCTGACCTTATTTGGAGACATATTAAAGATGGCTGAATGTGTATGGCTGTTGTGGTTGCTCATATGTCTGTTTGTTCTCCGACAGGCCATGTACCAGCTCGCTCCGGACGAGAAGAGGAGGGACTGTGGACTGAATCTTTTAGACACATACTTTAATAATGGGGTATGCGACACACACACACTTGCTGAATAATAAGGTCATGGATACAGACAAAAGAAAATATTTGCTTACATTTAAACACAAATACGCATATAAAACTCTCTAGTTGTTTTCATTCGCTGATGTCAGTTTGTATTTGCCTATGATTTTATTGCTTCATTACTTTTATTCATGACTATTTGCCAATTGTGACTTAGGCCCCAATTGTGACTTAGGCCCCGTCCACACGGACACGAAACGGGTTGTATCTGCTACAGTTCTCTATCGTATGGTTCGTCCACACGAAGCCGTAACGGAACCGGGGAAACGGAGCCCTCAAACGGTAACTGGTCTCAAGGTGGGTAGATCTGCGGACGGAACGCTCTGGGGGGTCAAACGGCTCCGTGTGTACGCCCTATACGCCATAGCCCCGCCTCTCCTCACCCCCCGCGTCACCCGCGTCATTGCTGATGTGTTTCGCCAACAACAACAGTGTTTCGTGCCAGGTCCCGGTATCTCGCAGGACAGTGCACCCAGCAGGAGCCTCCAGCAGACCCCCCCCGCACGGTTCCCTCGTCCCTTGTAAGAGGCGGAGAGGTGGGTGTTTTTCATCTGCTGGTGGACTACCGGGGAGAGCGTCCTGCTCGGGAGCCAGGCTCAGAGTTAGTGGCAGTGGGTGCGGTGCACCTGACGCCGAAACAGCCAGAGCCCTGCCTCTCCCCACCTCTGCTGCTCATCCCCGCGTCAACGTTGAATCCACCGCGGAGAATAAACAGAAGGGCATCTAGGCAACCATGGCAACCATGCTCGGGAGGTCTTATTTGCTGCTTTTGGTGTATTTTGTGGCGGAAGTACAGCGCCACTTACAGGCCTTATATGTACTACAGCGTCTCCAGCGGTTCGAGCGGTCTCGTGTGGACGGACATGTTTCATGAGGCGTTACCTCGTGGATGGAAGACTTTTTTGATATCGAATTTGGTTCTTTCTCCGTTTCGTCTCCGTGTAGATGCAGCCTTAATCTTGTGTGATGCCAAAGATGTGTAATAACCTTTTAAGGAAGTGTATTACTGATACTTGTGAACTACTGACACTTCTCTAGGTTGTGTTTACACCTCTATTTTGGTTCGCTTCGATGGTTAATTAGCATTATTGGTTGGGACTCTATTTAGACTTAATCTCTCATGAAAGATGTTGACGCACACTTATAGCAATAGAATGCAGGAAACAAGCTGTCCTGTAGCACAAGTCAAAATAAATGGGTTAAAAATCGGAATACTTTATTTACCCCGGGGGAAATTGGGGTTGATTTTGTAACGGTTGCTCTTTTTTTAAATAACATAAATTAAACATAAATACATTTAAAAATAAAAAACTAGATTTGCATTAGGGCTGCACGATATATCGTGTCGTGACGATAATCGCAATATGCGCTTCACATCCATTCCATCGCGTGGATGTGCGATAACAACAAAAATAAATGTACATTTTTTATTTTTAGGACTTGCGATATTAAGTAGGCAAATTAACTCAAACACGTCATGTTACAATTATTTTGCTGCTTGCTACAAAAAGAAAACTTGCGCGGCTCTCATGTCAGGGGTACTTGAGTGAGTGACATGCAGGCTCTGCATGCACAGCAAACCACCAATCACAATCAAATCTCCAAAGCAAACGGACCCGGTGATTAAAGGTAAAAACACTGAATAAAGTAGTTTCATGGCAGTTTGGCGCTGCTAACCGAGCTATCTCAGCTTGTTGCTCTGATAACTTAAAATCCAGACGTCCGTGACTAAAATCCTTCATCCGGTTAAATATAGTTAGAAAAATACCAATTGTATAGCATTAAAGTTCAAGAAAGGATGGTTTGCGGAAAAAAAAAACGGTCTTTTCTTCAATTCCTGTATGTTTTCATATCGCAATATATATATATCGCAGGGGGGGGGGAAATCGCAATGTCAGTTTTTTCCAATATCGTGCAGCCCTAATTTGTATTTATCTGTACATAAGACGTTAATGTAAAGTCAAATGAGTGTTATTACTGTTATTTCATTATAGTATTTAACTTTTTGTGAGATCACCCCTACATTGTGCTCATATTTGTGTGAAAAAGATTAAAGCAAGAATGTGCCATGAAAAAATGTAATAAAGATATTTATATGAAATTTCAAGGTAACATCTTTTATCTAATAAAAGATAAAATAAATGAGTTAAACATATTTATATACATATTGGTATATTGTTAATTTTCACACTCAAGTTATTTTTACTTGTTTTGTTCGCTCCAAAACCACACCAGCTTTTTTATTTCTAAAGGGTATTGAACGTTTGTAGAGTTTACAGGAATATCACTTCTAACAAACGAAACCCAAGAGATGGGACCACAGCTTAAATGACCTGGCATTACAGGATCACAAACAGAAATAGACAAACTGACTGATAATGATCTGTTGTCTAGGACAGTCTGCAATCACATTACAGCATCATGTCACTTTATGTCTGTCCCTCCCTGTCCTTCTGCCCGCCTCACCCTCCTGTCTCTCTCTTTGTATCCCTCAAAGTCTGCAGCCCATCTGCCAGACGTTCCCCAGGAAGTGGTGGCTGGGTGTCGGGAGAGGCTGGAGCAGAGTCCATGTAAGGAGCTCTTCAATGACTGCACCAAGTAAGTCTTGATTTATTTTAATTTGTGATAACAGCATCACCTAAAGAGTGGTGCAGCGTATGTTTGTAGGCCGACGCAGAGGTTAGCATCACAAGGCCTACCCTCGACAAAAAGCAATGGGATTTTTCCTTTAGATTTTTGAATATTAAAGAAAATAAGCTCTAAAGCTTGATAGATGCGCAGATTTTAAATCATGCATCTAACCAAAAATACATTCATAAAACAATTAACTTTGTCCAGGAAAGGCTAACATGCTAATTCCTTTCCAGGTTTAAGGACTCATTCCTGCACCACTCTATATAGTCCTGTTTTTCCTTCAGAAAATGCATGTGTGTTTGTAGACTGTCTGGACTAGTGCACCCTGTCACTAGTGATGATGAAGCAGCTGGCACCTGGAGTGCAGTATTATACACACACGCACGCGCACGCACGCACGCACACACACACACACACACACACACGCACACACACACGCACAGTGGAGGCAAATGAAAAAGAGCAGTGGGCACAGCTAGCATCCGGACGGCTGGCACCAAAACAACAGCCACCTCAGTGTTCCCCTGCAGACACTTTCACACACAGATTTACAAACACACACACACACACATGTACACACACACACTCTTGCAGGTGTTTCTGCTTCCTGCTCTGAGAGCCAGGCGAAGCAAACAGACCCGGGATTATTACCCAGAATGTATTTCTCATCGCACAGAGTTGCACACATCCACAATTCCCAACGTAACTGTGACTCAGCCCGACAATTTCACTCTGTCACACAAAGGTTCTGTTGACGTCAACTTTACGATGTATTGTGACATGTATAGCACGATACGTTATCACATTTAACCTGGCAACGATAGATATAGTAATTGCAATATAATACTTTTCTGCTTTCTTTTGTTTTAGCTTACCCCTTAACAGTTTTGGAGAGATACAGTTATAAAATAACTATGTAAATTTGATTAAATTCAAGATTATTTTTAAAAGTAGCACATTTTGGCAAATAGCTTGTACAAAGAATAAAAAATCTTTCTGTTGCCAATTTCCATTCAAGTTATATAGAATAACTTGTAATAAAGGTACAGTAATCAGTCAGTTTTTGGAAGTTTATACTGCCTTGTTTATGTTTTTAGGACTTTTCACATTAAGTGCCAAGTAAAAAATGTTTGTTTAAAGGTCCCATATTATACTATGTGATTAAATGCCATATTATGTTCCAAACATAACATAATTTCCCAAATTGGGATCAATAAAGTATCTATCTATCTATCAAACCACATCAAGCTTTATTTCTGAAACAGTATGGTACCTTTTACATCCGGCTTCTTTACACATACTCTCTCCATTACAGCGTTAGCTGTGAGTGTTAGCGATGCTTGCTAATGTAAACACAGACCTTATTACTTCCAAAAGACGTCACGCATTTCAGAATATGACGTCAAGTCCGCAGCAAATCTGGATCAGCTCCGTTGTACCCCTGTTTTTAGAGATGTGGGTAAGGAGGAAAAGAGAGAAGGTTGTATTTTCTGACACTTTGTGAGTCTACTGACACACCGGGACAAAAAGTGCATTTTGCATAATAGGTGACCTTTAAAGCGTAATCAGATGTAATAAGTGACTTGTGATGTAATTCAAAACATTTACATAACCTTTTTCATTTTTAACAGCTGTCGCTTAATGTGTTTGTATTCATTAATTACAGTATGAGCAAATAAAGATGGTAAACATTGGTAATGTTCTGTTTGCTTATTGGTTTGTTGAACTTCAGCTTAGATGTCATCGGTTGTTGTTGCCTTTCCAAGTTTAATAAAAGTTTATCTGAGTAATATAGAAGATTGTCGAGAGATTCATAATTCTAGTAACGCAATACATTTTCTCATAGAAAAAAATACAGCAAAATGATGCTGGATTGTGTAGATAAACTGGCATTGACTAGGTAGAAAATGACTGAGGTCTTCAGCCATACAACATAAAACATTAATGCATGTATCACATCAATATATACAGTAAGTACAATCCACGCCTCATTAAACGCTTTGAGAAAAAACAGACCACTGTTTCCTCATTCCTCCCAACTTTGAGCCACACAGGCAGACAGACTCGGGTTGGAAATGCTGCGTCCAGCCTCTGATTCACTCGAGCTCCCCCGGGGAATACTGGAATCTGCAAGCAGGAGTTTAGGAGAAGTGGGAAACACGGTTGGGAAAACACTCAGTCATGTTCTCAGCCTGCTCTCCTGTTCTGGCAAAACACATGAAGAGGGCTGCTGGATTTCTAAAACCAATAACCCTCTATGTTCACAAGCTTTCCAGGCTGATAGTGAAGGATATGTGTATTTCAATTTTTTTATTTGATTAATTTGTTCCCCAATGTTGCTTGTGTGTGCTCAATCTGGGAACATCAGTTTGAGGTTCAGATGAACACAACACACCTGCCTTCTCTCTTTTCCATCTTAGGTCATGGTCTGTTTAGCCCTTTTCCCCTTCCCCTTTGCGTCTATTTTAACACCTCTGAGTAATCTACAGGGCACTGGGGACGACAGAGAAATGGCGTGAGAAAGAGACAGTTCTCGGAAGTCAATTCAAACTTCGAATTGAAAACTGAGCAGAGAGAAAAGTGATATGCCCGGCAGAAAGCCCAGCACGAGGGGCCAAATTAGAAAGACCCACAGGGAGCAATGAAAGCAGAGTAAATACGTGAAATTTGGAAAATGAGCAGAGAAATGGAAAGAAAGCGTTGAGGAGAGTTGAGTGTTTGTGTTACTGAAAGCAGCAGTTAAGATGATTTTGAATGGGATTCCTGTTCAAGTTTGGTCATCACTTCTTCCACTATCATTAGTAGTTGTACTCCGATGTGGAATTTTAATTTCCTAAAATGTTCTTGTTCCTATATGTAATTCTGACCGGGGGCTTTTTTTCCCCTCAGCCTAAAGGAAAGCATGGTGCTGCACGTGGAAATGTGACTTTTTGGCCACACACCCATTAGCAGAAACGTATTAGCTCACTCACATTCTTCTGCTGCAGTGGAACATACGGTTATGTCATAACCAAGAGTAAAGCGCGGCCCTTCAGTACGTCAGGGTATCTTGTTGTTACGCGAATCATCCGATCTTGACGAAGGTCCATTTCCTGATTTTGCTCCTTTTTTCTTTTCCTCTCCCCGCTCCCTTGGACTAACAAAAGCCATATTGTAGCTGTGTTTATTTCTACTCCCAGTGGTGTCTGTCTGAGGCTGGACTCCAAGCCAGGCACTGCTTGTCTCCTGATTTTCTGGAGCCCCTTTATTTTAGTGTCCGGGGCCGCTTTTTGTCTCATAACACTGAGTGAAGCCTGTCGGCATGATAAGTGATCCTTGATGAGAAGCTGAGGACCTTTTAGTTATTTAGGCCGTGGGTTGAGATTTTAGACAGATTTAAGACTTGGAATTGAAAACATGTTATGGTACAGGTCAGACATCTTTCTTTTTAATCAATTTTAACTGAGCTTTGATGTTCATGCTTTCAGTACAAACCCATGTGAGCTCAGGAGCAGCAGAGGAGATAAAATCTGAAACTACTCCTTCGAAAATTCTACATCTACTCCGGATAGATTGAATCTCGTGTACAAAGCCACTGGGTCCCATGATGACATAATTCAGTTTGTGTTTACACGGCACAGTGTGCTCCCCTTGTGGAAACTCTCCACTCTCCAGCATTTCTTTTTGCCAAGAACAGCCACCCCACCAGCGCTGTTGTTAACCACAGGCAGCTTTCCTCTTCCTCCATAGTGATGAAGTCATTTCAAAATACGGTCAAGGAAAATCTCTGTGCCGCAAAATATGAGCATCTCTTCAACTTTTGTGAGGCCAAGGCCAAGTTGTTTTTTTGCACACTACAGTAACTGTCTCTTAAGAGAACGAATGAAAAACACATTGTCCCATATAAGCTTAACAAACATACTTAAGTAATGACAGATTCATATATGACTCATACATATAAACAATAAAAGATACGTTTACCAATCCATGATTATATCAACTATAAAGATTACTTATTTTTTCTTTTTTACGTGAACAAATCTCAAACTAATAATAATATTCATTTCAGGTGGAAATTATAATTCCAGATACTTTGAATTGCCTTTTAACTAGATGTTCTTTAAAATCAAATTAGCCTGCTTTTATTCTGAAATTACAACTGGACAGTTCGTTAAAATTCCTAAACAGCTCTTTTTAAAAGGGATGCATCGATTAGATTTTCTTTACTCCAGTACCATTATATGAAATTGTCACTCATATAAACAAAAATAAATGATCAAGATTAAGATTCATTAGGACAAAACTGTTAAATAAAATAAAAAATAAACATGTGAATGTATGACTTTTGCCTTTCCTTTTTTACCGTTTTGTAAATAATATTTATAAAAATAGTTTTTTTTAACACATTTTGATATGGTCATTGTTTTCACAGTTATTTATCTTCCTTTTTACATCTCATATTTACTGTTTCTTGATTTACTGTTTAGCAAAACAAGATTTTGAAATGACGAAAACATTTATGTTATTTTTGAAACAACAGTTTAACCATGTTGAAATATGTTGAAGTAGTTTTGCATTTAGCAAGTTATGGTGCATGCAAAACAAATATATATCCGGGAATCTAATTGGATTTTCTTGTACACAGTGATTTGATAGAAACAGAAAGTCATTCATTTTACCTTGAAAACGTTTTGACTGAGAAGAAAGTTATCTATCAACAGCGAGGACAGAAACCATTTAAGTTAATGTGAAGCTCTTTCATACAGTTCAGTTCATCTCTGTTTTGTACAACTGTGTCAAATAGGACATGGTGTTTTAAGTCAAACAACATGTGTAGTCAAAGCAGAGAAAAAAGGGACACTAAGACCCCATTTACACGCAAACGCATACGAAACGCTTAAGATATCAAAAAAGTATTCCGTTCACACGAGACCGCTCGGGAGCGCTGGAGACGCTGTAGTACATATGCCGGGCCTGTAAGTGGCGCTGTAACTTCCGCCACAAAATATACCAAAAGCAGCGAAGAAGACCCCCGAGCATGGTTGCCATGGTTGCCCTTCTGTTTATTCTCCGCGGTGGATTTAGCAACATGTAGTTCATGTAATTCTCCATGTCCACTTGTTGCTGATGGTTGTGGTAGAGGAGCTGTAGATTTTGCACTAACATCTGTAGCATGGTCAGTAGCAGTAGCTACTGACAGTAGCTACTGACCATGCTACAGCAGTGAGCAGCAGAGGTGGGGAGAGGTGGGGCTATGGCTTCATCGTTATCAGGAAATGATCGTATAGGGCGTACACGCGGAGCCGTTTGACCCCCCCAGAGCGTTCCGTTTGCAGATCTATCCACCTTGGGACCCGTTATCGTTTGCGGGGTCCGTTTCCGCGTTTCCGTTACGGCCTCGTGTGAACGAACAGGCTATACGAAAGAGAAAAGTAGCGGATACAACCGTTTGCGTTCTCGTGTAAACAGCACCTAATATGAAACGCTGGCAGGGTCAGGTCAAAGAGTCATGTCCTTACAGCTCTCAGTGGAGTGATGATGAGGCTGTGACCTTTCATGACCCATGCTTTCCTCAAAGAACTTAGTTTTTATCTCTGTTAACTTAACCTTTTAGTGGTGATTACGTTTGAATAAATGGCAATGGCATAAGTTCATGCAGACTCACATTCACGGGTGTGAGGTAAAGTAACATTAGATTTTGCCATGGGTGTATAAAGAGAAACGGATACAGCGTTAGAGGCCAGGCCATGTTTCTTCCTGTGAAAGTCGCTCTGTGGAGCATGAGGCCAAAATGGCCTGACTCTCAAGAACAAAAATACCCATATGTTCTCTGGAGCTCCACTGGATCTTCTCTGGATCTACCTTAAATCTTCCCTGGAACTTCTGTTGATCTTCTCTGGATCTTTTCTGGAACTTCCCTGGATATTCTCTGGCCCATCTCTGGATCTTCTCTGGATCTTCTCTTGATCTTCCCTGGATCTTCCCTTGATGTTCCCTTGATCTTCCCTGGATCTTCTCTTGATCTTCTCTTGATCTTCTCTTGATCTTCCCTTGATCTTCCCTGGATATTCTCTTGATATTCTCTGGATATTCCCTTGATATTCTCTTGATCTTCTCTGGGTCTTCCCTGGATCTTCTCTGGATCTACCTTAAATCATCCCTGGAACTTCTGTTGATCTTCTCTTGATCTTCTCTGGATCTTCCGGTGGTCTACAGCATCCATTGGACACAAAGAGCATGTGTTTTTGCAGTCAACTGAATAGATTTAGCTTTTGTGCATTTTACAACTTGTAGGACCTGTAGGAATAATGTAAACAAGGGCTATTCAAGTGTTTGTCCTGGCATGTTGATTTACAAAAAAAACAACCTTATCTTATTTGGGCCCAATTACGTGACCTAACAAAAAGCTGTAGTACCACCGTTTTGCCACAGCGAAATAATTGCTTAAACGCCCAGCTCAACCTTTTTGCTCTTTGAAAACCAGTTTCCTATAAATCCCTTTTCCCGGTATGGATCAGTGGAATGTCCCTGTTCAGACACATTTTATATTTCTGACCTCTTCCACTGACAATGGATTTGACCATTATCACTGCCAGTGATGTCTGAACACACAAAAACCAACAGACATACACAAGCACATTTATGATTCAGAGGGTAGTTGGCATACAGATTATGCGTGTGTTTGTAGTCATGGCAAAGGAACGCAGGCCAGATGTCTGTTCATCTGGACAGAAATTGTACATGTGCTTGCGTTTTTTCATTTTTTTCCTATGACATGTACATCTATCTTTTTCCTTGTTATTAAATGATTTTCTCTCCCCCTCCCCTACAGAATAGTTTGTGATTATCTGAGTGGAGCTCCATTTTCCTCCTACCACGAGTCCATGTACTTCTCTCGCTTCCTGCAGTGGAAATGGTTGGAGAGGTGGGTAGTCACTGCAGATTACACGCCCTGTAAAGCACACATGCAAACCATTCCTATATTAAATTACGCCTGTGATCTTACACACATACAGAAATTCTCTGTAAAAGGGTGCTGTCCAGTTCTGTGTTTGCAAACCAGAGCACACATTCAAACTTTTAATTTGAAGGGATCATTAGAGGGAAAACTACAGATAATCAAGTAAATGATTAATGAATATAATAAAAGATAATAGAAAACTAAGATTACAGTCTGTAGTTTATAGAGTAGTTGCAGGAAAGATGCTCGCACTAAAACACAAAGGTGGTTTAGCCAATCACTGTTTTTTCAGTGCGAGGGGTAAATAATTGATGATGCTTTACATAATGGCTGGGTAACTGTAGCAGGGTGGGACCCACAGCCATCAGGGTGGATTAATAATGTATTAAGAGCATTACTCTGTCTGCGACATCATATGGTCTGAGAGAATGACGTAACCTATCTGTTATTTTACGTCTCTTTTCGTCTCCTTTTGTCTCCTTTTCTTTTTCTTTCCATCCCTGCAGGCAACCAGTAACCAAAAATACCTTCAGACATTACAGAGTACTAGGAAAAGGTGGATTTGGCGAGGTGAGTGTCAATGAATTCACAAGTGATAACTTTGTATTTTGTGTCTTGTGACATGTCTACATGCTTTAGGTCTTTATTTTTCTCATACTGCCTGTGCTGCAGCACCTCTTTTCACCCTCTGTCTGAAACCAGAGCCCAGTCTGCTCTGATTGGTTAGCTGGCCAGCTCTGTTGTGATTGGTCAGTTGCTTAGAGATGTCGCGCTCCTTAGCCAATCACCAACAATGTGTCGGATCACTAGCTAATACAAGCTTGAGTGTTACATAGTGATGTCACTTTGTTACAGAAATAAACAAAGGAGTCCAATGGAGGCGTTTCAGGCAGGGGGGCAGGGGGGGGAGGAGTGTGTGGGAGAGAAACTCTGGAGGAAACCTTTTAGATTTTAGCCTTTGCAGACCATTTACATGCACAAAAACCTACATAACGCACTACAGGGAAAAAAAGCACAATAGGGAACATTAACAGTTAGTTAACGCAGCACTGTTAATGTCTCCACTCCTGTGATGCTGGGTGGAGAAATATGTAGTCTGACATATTAACTTCCATTCGTTTTTTCTTCGTTTTTTTTAATAAAAAGAATTTGTGTGTGATGGAGTTTCCTCGCTGCCTGTTTTCCAGGTTTGTGCCTGCCAAGTACGTGCCACCGGTAAGATGTACGCCTGTAAAAAGCTGGAAAAGAAACGAGTGAAGAAAAGAAAAGGTGAAGCAATGGCACTAAACGAAAAACGCATTTTAGAAAAAGTTAACAGTAGTTTTGTAGTAAGTACTACCTTTTTCTTATTCAACCTTTCAACAGAATTGTACCTGTTTTTGTCTGTCTGTTTGAGTGTGAGTGTGAGTGTGTGTTTGTGATTGCGTGTCTGTGAGAGCATTGTTGTTTAAGGCTCCAGGATCCTGCAAATGAAATTGAAAGGCGTGTTTACAAAGGCTGTTGATCAGCTGTTAAAGGCAGTCTCTGGGACTCCAGCTCTGTTTGTTTAAAGACGTCCACGCCAGGTGGAACGAGCTTATGGAAAGAAACGGGATGGGATAAAACTAAAAACAATTGTAACCAAAGAAGTTGCCAGTGACGGCTAGCAGGAATTTGCATAAAAGGCAGACAAGTCCAGGTTAACAGCTTACATTAAAAACCATAGCAATTTATTTATTCTACCTGCGCAAACATGCCTTATTAGATTTCATTTGGAGGATCGTGGCAACCCTAATTCATCTGTGAATGTATCCTGTATTTGAATTGAAATCTGTTTTGCTGCCATATGTTTAAAAAAAACGGATTAATATGTTTTTGATGCACTGGTGGGTGATTCAAATACTACTCAATATGCACAGTAGCTACAGCGTAGTATGGCAATACAAATCTGTCTCCTCCAACAAAGCAAAATGCATTATATCTAACATAAAAGTAAAATATATTAAAAAAAAAAGTGCAATAAAATAGTGCAGTAGACAAATGGTTCAAGAAAAAAAACGTGGAATAAAAAAAGAAAGAATGTCAGATTGAATTACATGTATGGTAGAAAGTATACTGTATACTATACAATATATACATATGTGGATATGAGAGCAGATGTACAAATGACCAGTGCATTATTAACATACAGTATTTGAATTGACTTTTACCGATTCATAATTTTAAATGTAGGTACTTTAGTGACGGGTGTGTGTCATAATGTCAGGGACGATACTTTAGTTAACTGTCTGATTTAAAGTAATAGCCTGAAAACACTTATGGAAGTCACTCTATTCTAAACCAGGGACACAATATGGATATCTACCTCATTAATCCTACTTGCATTGACCCTCAAGAGTCACAGTTCTTCCTGAAGCCCTTACAACTTAAGTTCATTTGAGACCAAATCAATAATTGAACACAATGTGTAAAAACTCAGTCAGGACCGTAACTGAGCTTCAAAATAAGAAAGAATTGAAGGAACAACCATTCCCAAATAACTTTATCGAAGCATTGCAGCTCTGATAATCAGGAAATAAACCAAACTAAACAACTTGTACAAAAACCCTTAGGTGCGTTGTGATCGTCGAGGCGCTTCAATCATTTCTAAAGACTGCATTGAAGTTTGCGCCACAGTTTAAGTTTCCCTAAAGAACAACAGCCTGAAGAAGAAAGTAGTAGCGTTTCCAGCTCAAAGTTGGTGTGCCATCCAAAGAAGACAAATCTCTCTGTACCACCAGGCCTGGAGCTCTTAATGGGGGCAAAGCTCTTGGCTGTTTTTCCTATGGGGGATTTTTTATAAATCGAGCCATAGTCGTGAGTAAGAGGTGGTTTTTGGCTGTCGCTGTAATGCTAAGCCTAAACGCTTTTTTCAGGGAGTCACCTAGCTTTTTCCTTTCTTCCATTTCTGCAGCAGAGAACTGAACTGCAGAAATGTACAATTGAAGTGCATTTACATGACGTGTGAAATAATACATAATAGGAACAGCTCAGGACTCCTAAAGGAGAAAAAAGGAAACAAATTAAAATAACAAACAGTACTGATATTAAAAGTAAAAAGAATAAATAAATTGAGATATATCTTAAAATATGTACATATCAGCAGTAATAATATATATATATCAATAAACCAAAAATAATAACTTGATAGCTAACTATAAAAATAAACGGTTAATAATATAAAAATAAATAAAAAATATATACATATACAGCAGTAATAAGTTATATATCAATAGACTAATATAGAATATATAGAATAAGTTATAATAACCGTGTACGCATACATGGTAGTTGCAGTGTTCAATTAACATTTAAATGCAGTGTGGTAGTGAATCAAAACTAAAATTGAAATGCAGTAATAAGTTATTCTCATTTGATTTATATGATGACAGTGCTTAAAATAAACCAGATACTAGAAAGATGGACTTTATTAGCTCTTATTTCTTAAATAAAATACAAATAAGAAGTTTACAAACTCTAAACCATTGCCCACCTTCACTCCTCTCACTGTGTGCCTGTGATATGTGTCTGTTTTTACCCTGCCATCAACACGTTGTATATGAAAATGCCTGAATTGTAATCCTGCTTGACTACCCATGTTGACATCAGGAGCTGGAAAACTATTAACATGTGCTTCTCTTTCCATTCTGTTCGAATGTACGCACGAAAAGGTGCTCCGGCAGGAGAAAAAAAACGTAGCTTTGGCTCGGTGTTGTGTTCCTCTAGAAAAAAAGATATTGTTCCGAAGACCAGAAAATTACAGCTCGATTAACATTCTTAGAGCATGGCGCGGAGCGGCTAGAGGGATGAGCATGATCATTTCTGGTCTGTGGGTCCGTGTGTATACTTTGTATATGTGTACATACTGTGTACATACTGTAGAACATGCTGTTCTACTGTTTAATTGTACAGCTCAGAGATATTGAGATGTGGTACAGTAAGCTGCCTCTCCATCTGAAGCTAACGGTCGTGTTTGAGTTGTACTACGTTTCGGATTAGTCTGTTTCTAATGCAGCATGAGCTATGTTGCGCGTCCTTGTTTTAAGTGAGTCATGGTAGAAGCATGTGTATGGACACACACACACACACACACACACACACACACACACACACACACACACACACACGAAGAGGCTGGAGTGGGCTTGATACAGGACCTCAGACTTGCAGCTCTTGTCATCTGGGATTGGCACATGATTGTGTGTGTGTGTGCGTGCGCTTGGGTATGTGTGTGTGTTTCTCTGTGCTGCAGGCAGAACTGATGACTCTTCATGTGCCTCTCTACCTACGAGAGCAGCTCTGTTGCCTAGCAACACTGACCAAACAGCAGTAGCAAGGAGAAGAGTCAAGTGCTCTCTCAAACCCCTCATTTCTCTCTCTCTTTCTCTTTTTGTCTTTTTCTCTCCCTCCCTCTCACACCCATCATTTCTCTCCCTTTCTTTATTCGCCTTTACCTTTTTTTGATCAGCGCATCACACTATTAGACAATACATACTGCTAGCTTTCTGTAGGTTTCATCTAAACACCCATCCACATATTCTGTCTGTGTGTGTGTTTGTGTGTGTGTGTGTGTGTGTGTGGATGCAGGGCAGGGTGACCTTGTTCTAAAGTCTTCGGCAGGCAGCGCGCTCTGACACTGATTCCTCGGGCTATCATTTTAAATGTTGTGAAAACGGTACCAATATGGTAAAATAGTTAGAAAACGACAACACTTCCTACACAACAATGTCTGATGTTTTAATTGAACTCTTTTTGGGAGAAACCTTTCCAGTAAGCCTTTGGTTTTCATCGGTCCTGTGGTTTCATCGCGTTAGCATATGTGTCAGGCTTTGCTAGATTGGAAATAATTGAAGCTTCTTTTAGCATTGGGAGGCTTTGTGGATATGTCTGTGTGAGAGCCATGTTCAATACATGTGTCCATTGCTAATGCATAAATATGACTTTCGGGAGGGTGCGTTAGACTGTTTGCCTTGGCTTGTAGTTCACATTTGTGTGTTTTGGTTAAGTACAATTTGTATATTTTTGAACATATTGTCCATTCGGCCCATGAGAACTTTTTCCTATCCCCTCTCATCGTCCGTCTCTGACTGCGTAGTCCGGAGCAGATGGGATTCCTCCCGATGGCAGCAACATCCTGCTTGAACAGAACAGAGCATGCACACACACTGTACCCTTGGTGTCACTGACCCACAGGGGAGGATGGGAGAGGCGAAAAGGGGAGGCTGGTGGGAATGAAGGGAGAGAAGAGAGATAAATGATGGGCTAAGAGGGAAAGGACACGAGTAAGAAAGGGAGAAAAAGCTTCTGGTTTTCCTTGGAGCTATGGTTAGGGTTCTTTGTGTACATTCCTCCTGGGATAATGGATGATTATTTGAAGCATAAGTAAAACTGTTCCTCTAGCTACTGCCTCTCACGTCTTCTCCTCCTCTTCCCCCCTTTTCTCTGCCCTATTCTACACTTTCTCTTTGACTGGTCCCTTACCTTCCTCCGTTGCTACTTCCTCCCCAAAATGTGCCTCCCTCTCCAGGTTAGTCTAGCATATGCGTATGAGACCAAGGATGCGCTGTGCCTGGTGTTGACCATAATGAATGGCGGCGACCTAAAGTTCCACATCTACAACATGGGCAACTCGGGCTTCGACGAACAGAGGGCCATCTTCTACGCTGCTGAGATCTGCTGTGGCCTTGAGGACCTGCACCGTGAGAGGATAGTCTACAGGTTAGCAAATCAAGTCAACAAAAATATGAACGTAGACATCTTTTTATAATACTATAGAGTGGTGCAGGAATGAGTCCTACAACCCAGAAATGAGTTGGCACTTTACCACTTCTGGTCAGTTATTACACCACATGTGAATGTCTGAAGTTTTAATGTCTTCTTATTTTCTGCATTACTCCGAAATGTATTGGAAAATCCCATTGCTTTAAGTCGATGGAGCCCTTGCGGCCTACAACAAATACGTCATCACTGCACCACTCTATCGCTTCAATCATATCAGGAAAGCAGTAGACCCTGAGGCTTTAGGAACACTATTCAGGGGTATTTTGAGGATCTCTGCCCCTGAGGTGGATGTTGGGTGGTTTACAGCCCCAGAAGAACTGTTGTACAAGAGAATGAGCAATTACAACTGGTTACATTTCCTGGCACTGCACTGACTTGTAACAGGAAGTTCAGTTTACTTGTCATGAGAGGCCCTACCAACCAGTAAATACAAATGATGATGTGGTTTGTGACTCCTATTGGATCTTTCTAAAGAATAAGGAAAAAGCCAGATGATGTCATAGTGATTAAATCAGATTATCTCGAAAAAGTCTTAATAAGTCTTTAAATGATAATTACATAAAAACAATATGTGTAGAATAACTAGTCTTTCCCCCTTATGAAATGAATATCCCCAGGGGCGTCAGAGAGGGACACTATACACCCCACAACAAATATCAATATATAAATAACCTAAATAACCTTAAACGTATTTAAAATATGAAAACATACAATTATTCCTTTTATATACAGCACAAATTGAATTTGATCAACTTTCATCAAAATTATTTTGTTACAGTACAAGACATTGCACATGAGTTACAAATAAAATTAATAAAAAATTGTAAATATAAGTATAGCAGGAGAAAAATCTATCAATAGAGTATCTATAGAATACACGAAAATCAAATATAACAAACAAGGTATAATACACTTATAAGTTATAAATTATAATACACTTAAAATCACACCTACTTAAGCAGTGGATACTATATGAATTATATAAGTGTGCAAATTGTTGAAGTTTTTAAATTCAAATGCAATGAGGTTAATGTTAAATGAAAATGCAGTAAAAATATTATTAAAAATGAGTCTTTACGTACGACAGTGAGCGTCTAATAAAAGGCGCTACTCGTCATGGGAAATGTATGAACTGAGATATTAAAGCTTGACTGTCAAGATGTAGATTGTTCCTTTTTTCAATCTGTCTCTCCCAAACTTTATGGAAGTGCAGTTAGTGGAATACCCCTTTAACCCAAAGACAACTGACAAAAATGAACTTAAGGTCAAAAACAAACCCCAAACTGTCTGTATGTCTGAATACTGGTCTTAGCTCTGGTGTTATGAAGAGATATAGTCCGATAGAGTTCTTGCAGTCGTGTAAGATAAACAAATGGAAAGTCCTGGATGATGAATGTCCCAGGATTAATGTTGTGAGAGTGCTGATTTCATTTAGGAGTCATGCACCTGTCCCACTCAGTGGAGCCCTCAGAGTAGTGCTAACATAAACACTGATGTTCTCAGTGGACACATGCACCCACATACACATGGCCCACAGAGTCATATAAACACACCGTGTTCCTTCATCTCTGCATGTGTTACTGTAAACTTCACAGTTGGCATTGAAGTTGAGCTTGGCATTGGTTAGTAGAGTGTCCTAGTTTTTCATTTCTTATAGCTATTTTAATAAAAAAACGTTTTATTGCACTTTGGAATAAGTTGGATAAATCAAGCTTAAAAGATGGTTCAAATAAAGTCAAATAAAATTGAGGCAAGTTAATTAAAAAAGGCTCAGAAAGAACATGCAAATAGGTTTTGGGTTGACAGGAAATTCTGTTCAAACAATGCTGAAAATAGCTGGGTACAATAGTGCGCATGAAAGCAAATAAAGCATATAAAGATATATGTGTGCACAAGCCATCTATTAATCCACATGAGAGATAAGTGTAATAGCACACAGGCAATAAAAGACAATGACATGTTAACAAAGTAATAAAGCATTCAAATATTTACCCAGGATTTTATTGTTACACCCTCAAATGGAAGTTCTATTTTTATTCAACAGATAAAAACACAATGAAATCCTAATGTGTTCTCTCTTTTTATTTTTCACCCTCAGGGATTTGAAACCTGAAAACATCCTTCTGGATGATCGTGGTATGTTTTGTTTTCCTTGTCCTTTGATGTAGCCCATTCCTCTTAAGCAGTGGAGTCATTTCCTACATTTCTGTCTTACTTTTGTTATGGAATTTCTTTCACACCAGTCATAAAATAAAGACCATGGCTATTATTATAGGATGTAATGTGTTCCTCTGTAGTGTCCATTTTATACTAGTATGTACATTTAGCATGATCTCAGTTCCGTTATTAATCTGTGGTGGGTTATTTATTTTCAGGACACATCCGAATTTCAGACCTGGGCCTTGCTGTTCAAATCCCTGAAGGAGAGACGATACGAGGGAGAGTGGGCACTGTTGGATACATGGGTAAGATTCGGCTACTCTTTTTTAAAATGTATATATATAATAATAATAATAATAGTAAAGTTTTATTTGTCTAGCACTTTTCATACACTTGGTGAAGCTCAAAGTGCTTTAACAACATGCCACACATCAGAAATTCAAATAGAAAACAAGATATTCAGGTCAGAATATAATGTTGAACCCTTTTGCAAGTATGTAGAATAAAAACACAATATAACAATTCAAGGAGCACAAGGAAGTCATAAGACACAAAATTAATAAATACAGTAAAATATTAAAAACTCTTAAAATGAATACAAATTAATAAGAATGATTAAAAGTCTAATTAAAGTGGGATGTTGCAAATAAAAAGGTAATCTAAAAAAACATCTCTTCAGCTGTCGTTTAAAAATGTCCACTGACCTTGCCTCTATAATAATCCCTGGTAGGGTGTTCCACAGTTCGGGAAAAGCTGCCTCAACCGTTTTTTTGGCGGGACTTCAGGAATTTTTAAAATGCCTACGAGGGTGCCAAACCATTAAGAGCTTTATAAACCAGTAATAGGATTTACAAATCAATTCTTCAAGATACTGGGAGCCAATGCACGGTAGCTACACAAACAGGAGTGATGGGCTCTCTTTTCCTCCTTCTTTAGTCAATTCTTTAAGCCCTCCTCACTCAAATCTCTTCCACCATTACTTCTTTGTCTTTGTTTGACTAGATTGAGATTAGTTCCCCTCAAACTGACTACTCTTTTCTCGCTCCTCGTCCCTCCCTCAGCTCCCGAGGTGATCCAGAACGAGAGCTACTCCGTCAGCCCCGACTGGTGGGGGCTGGGCTGCCTGATCTTCGAGATGATTCAGGGCCAGTCGCCCTTCCGCAAGCGCAAGGAGCGCGTCAAGCGGGAGGAGGTGGACAGGAGAGTGCGCGAGGACCAGGAGGAGTACTCTGATAAATTCGTAGAGGAGGCGAAGGACATCTGCAGACAGGTGAGGGTTAGGAGATGGAGGTGACGGATGGCAAAAAGCTGGAGGATGGGGAAAGAGAACGTTACCGCATTTCTTAAAAGGGGCACTGTAAGGCTCATTTTCAGGTTCATATTTGTATTTGTTGTCTTTACTGTGACATGTCTCAATGCTTTAATGTTCAAAAAGGTCTTTATTTGTCTCATACTGCCTCTGCTGCAGCACCTCTTTCACCCTCTGTCTGAAACCAGAGCCCAGTCTGCTCTGATTGGTTAGCTAGGAAGAAAAACAAGTTTTTTAAACTAGTGGCAAATGAGGACATGGATAGGGAATTTGAGGAACATGCAGAAAAAAACATTGTCTAACCACTTAATGATGAATTTCAGATTAGGACAGGAATGACATTTCGAGTTCACATTTTGATAAATGACATGCACATGGTTATATTACTGCAATAAATAACTGCCTTTATTAATATAATAAGTAGCAGTGGCCTCAATTGGTGAACACCTTTTATGTTCTGCCACTCACTTAGTGGAACAGTGACGCATGGAAAGCAGAAGTTGCTCAGGAAGGATCAGAAACCACACTACCTAACAGTATTGCATTGCAAAGGACATGGTCTGATTTTCGGCTTTTGGAAAAATATATTTCAATTGGTAATTTAGTAGCTTCTGGCTAAACATTTTCTCTCAAAGTTAATCCCAACATAGTATACATTTTTTGCAACAACACCTGTAGTTTCCGGTTTGGACTAGGAGTTTAAACTCTGACATATTAGTTTTGTTTACGATCACATGTAACTGATCAAATATAGTTCATTATGTATTTTTTGGCCATTCACAGACATTGAAACAAACTGCCATCACATCACTGACAAATGATCACAATTGCTAGCAACAATGTACATATTTACACATCCAGCTGATACAGAGCAACAATAGCATTCATTTGTATTTGCGATGCAAGCCATTAATAACTTTCATTGCTTTGTTTTACTCTAGTTATGTTCTAGTCTCCACCAACTCCTGAGATAAATCTCTGGCTCTTTCTCTGCTAAATCCTCTATGTTTATCAGATGTTTGACATTGTGTGTCTCTGGTTTGGTGCTCGACAGATCACAAACAAAATGCGTTAAAAGTGGTGATGAGAGCAACGGGACTAAATCCAAACGGAACACTTACAGTTGCTGAAAGACGCTACATTTGCTGAGCTGAGGGGAGCTGCAGTGTCGATAATTCTGTGACTTTGTTACTATAAGTAACTCCTTTTGACCCCCTTTTTAATATACAAAGAAATTCCACCGAGTGTTTACATGAAAATAGAAAATGTTTGCAAGTTTAAGAAGACATGTTTCTAAAATGTTAGCAGAGCGGCTCCCCCTCTGATCAGGAGGGGACGTTTGTTTGTGTGACGCAGTGGAACATTCTGACCCGAGGTTCAGCAGAATCACAGACTCCCTGGGGAGAGGGGGATCGGGAAGGGTGGAGAGAAAAGAGGTTTCAAGAAGGAATGGTAGCGAGATAATAAGGAAGGGGGGAGAGACAGACTATGCCCTTCCACAGAGATGGCTATTACCACGGCTTAAAATAGACAAGTGATCCAAGTTGTCAAGAGCAGAAAGTGAGTCTGCTTTGAACCCTGAGTGTAAATTGCACAAAGAGAAAGAATAAGGAACTAAAGCGAGAGAAAGTGGGTGATGTGGTAGAAAAGGGAGAAGCTTTAGGTGTGTTGAAAGACGGCTGCTTTTGGGTGACAACAGGCCCAGTGAGAGTGTCCACTAATAGCCAAACCACTAAACAGCACTCATCCACTTCATAAGCCTGCTGCACTGTAGGTGGTGCGCTGGTAATATTACCCAGAAGCTCTCATAGAAACAGCAGTCTGATTTGTATCCATCATGGTGCTGCATTAACCCCCCGAGTGCATTGATTTGTATCCTTTTTATTCGCTTCAGATGCATAAAGAAAAGAGGATAATCTACCACCATGTTTTGTATACATTGCACTGTAAGGATTAATATAACTGTCAGGAGTTATCCAGCATCACAGAACCCCCCCCCCCCCCCCCCCCCCCCCCCTCTTTCTTTGTGATTTATGATTAAGACCCAGCTTTGTATATATATATATATGCTTCTGCTTAGGCATTTTAAATACATTTATAGAGGCCCTATCGTGCTTTTTGGGGGTTCCCTTCCCTGTAGTGTGTAATATATATATATAGTCATATATATGTAATATATATATATAGTCCGGCAGTGGCTCAGTCAGTAGGGGCTTGGACTGGGAGCCGTAGGGTCGCTGGTTCAAGTCCCCGACCAGACCTAAATATGGAGTGTGGACTTCTACTTGGAGAGGTCCCAGTTCACCTCCTGCCCTGCCGTGGTGCCCTTGAGCAAGGCACCGGACACCCCCCCTTCCCCCCCACTCCCATTGCTCCCCGGGCGCTGTACAATAGCTGCCCACTGCTCCTAGTACTGGACTCCTTGTACTAGGATGGGTTAAAAGCAGAGGCCAAATGTCACTGTGTGTGCTGTGTGCTCTGCATGTGTGACCATTAAAGAGGGTTTCATCCCTCCCTATTCTTCTTCTTCTTCTTCTATAGGTTTCTGTGCATGTAAATGGTCTGCAAAGGCTAAAATCCCAAAGTTCCCTTCAGATGGAGTTTCTCTCCCACACACTAACCCCCCCCCCCCCCCCCCCCCTGCCTGAAACTCCTCGATTGGACTCACTTCTGTAACATAATGACATCACTATGTAAAACGTTAATGCGCACCAATACATTGTATGCAATAGGCTTAGTGGTAGGGCATCTCTAAGCCATTGACCAATCACAGAGCCAGTCAGCTAACCAATCAGAGCTCTGGTTTTAGACAGAGGGTGAAAAGAGGTGCTGCAGAACAGGCGGTATGAATAAAGAGCTTTTTGAACATGCAACAAGCATGGAAACATGTCACAGTAGAGGCACAAAATACCAATATAAACCTGAAAATGAGCAGAATATGGCCCCTTTCAGTGTAGGAACTGAGTACTTCTAACACGCACATCTCTATAGGGTTGTAATGTTTTCACATGTTTTTCTTTCCTTATCCTCCCGCTGCGTGACAGCTCCTGTCCAAGGACCCCAAACAGCGGCTCGGGTGTCAGGGTCGAGGGGCCGTAGAGGTCAAGCAGCACCCCATCTTCAGAAACATCAACTTCAAACGGCTGGAGGCCAACATGCTGGACCCTCCCTTCAGCCCCGATGTAAGCACAGTGCTCACACACACACATAAACATACACACACACACACACTCTCACAGGGCATACAGGCTTGATTCACAGCTTCTTGCCTGAGATCCTTGGCGTGCTGGAAATCAGCATACAGGAAATACCATTGTCACAAGTAAACAAACACTTTCAGTATAAGCTAGTTATCATGGCAGCTAGTGAGGGCGATGAGAAGCAGGCATGTGATTTCAGTGTCGTCCTTAGCAATCCTAAACTGGCGGACATGATGGATAAAACATGCTTATAAAACAATGCTATGGTTATCATCACTAATACCTCCAGTTGAGCTGGTAAACAGTCAATGGTAGTGGGTATGATAGTAGTGTGAACCTGTGAAACTGTGGAGTGTAATGCAGAACTTCCATAGCTTTTATTGTGTGCTGCATTTATAGATTTGAGCCTGTTCAAAGAGAATCGTTACTTTTCAAAGTCATAACAATTCTGAGTGAGATAGCAACTGGCCTCAGAGGTTAAATCAATAGTTGAAAGTAGATAGTGCTATCTGCGTTTCTATTTTTGGTTATTCAGGTCAGTTGGGTCTCGCTGAGGAAAACAGAGCTGTCCTCAGGCGTGTGAAAACTCCCATGTTGTTATAATAACCATCTGACTTGGAAGTATTCAAGGATTCCCCCTCTTTAATCTGAAATAACTACACTTTTCACAGTTGTCTCTTTTCTTTCTTTCATTCTCTGTCTCTCGTAGCCTCGAGCTGTGTACTGTAAAGACGTCCTGGACATCGAGCAGTTCTCCACCGTCAAAGGCGTGAACCTTGACCCCACAGACGATGACTTCTACCACAAGTTTGTCACAGGCAGCGTCTCCATCCCGTGGCAGAACGAGGTACTGCAGGCCACTGAGATGATGTCATCGTTCAGTACCACAACACTTACAACATAGTACAGCATTGGTGATATAGGAATACCTGTGTATAGTTGTGCAGTGATGATGTATTTCTGTAGGCTCACCAGGAAGTTAATATCGCTAGGGCTTCTTAAACAAAAAGCAATGGGATTTTTCCGTTGTGTTCAGCAGGATTATCCCCCAATGTTAACTCAACTGTTATAATAGTTGAAGTTTAAATGCAACCGTCAGAAGCAAAAAGCTAACGTTAAGCTATAAAGCTAAGCTAAAGGTGGCTAATAGGCGCTTTCACACCGGAGTACCCGTACTTTTCCCAGAAATAGTTCCGATAGTTCCTGGGATGTTGCGTTCACACCAAAAATATCTTTTTTTTCTGGAACCTTTTCACCCCTTTTTAGTCCCTGCTAGAGAGCAGGGACTTTCCTGGGGAGAAAAAGGTTCCAATTTCTGATTGGCTGGGCGAATTGCAAACCATGCCCTCTAAAACTCTGAAAGGTTTTTGTGAAGCCGCCATTTTATTTTCTTGCATTAGCATTAGCCCAGCGCACCAACGGAGAGAGACTAACTTATGGCAACACAAAATAAAATGTGGGATCGGTGGAGTGATGAGGAGGTGTCAGCGCTTCTGGCGATTTTCCCGGGGCTTCGGGTGGCGATTTACTGCCACCCAAAGTCCCGGACTCCGGGGGGCTCCGGGACTTCGGGTGGCAGTATACGCCGTGAAGTGAAGTTTGTGGCCTGCCAGTAAACCCAAAGCAGCAGAAGAAGAAGTGACGTCAGCGGCTTCATTTGCGTAATCCTCCCTCAGGGACTTATTCCGGTGTGAACGCGATTTACTAGATAGTTCCGGGGAAATAAAAGTTCCGGGGAAAAGTTCTGGGAACTATTCCTGGGAAAAGTACTTGATGTGAAAGCGCCTAATGTTTGGCGTAATTACATTTAGTCATTAAATCTAAACCTAACCGTAGGTGGCCGTGGCTCTGAAATACATACAGTTGGGCATACTTTTCAATCTTAAAGCGATCATCATGATGACATTCGCCACAGTTGTCGTTATAGTTGTGGAACAGACTCCCTAACAAAAATGTTATTTATAATTAATTCTATTATATTTATAGCTGTTTGGACACTCCTTTCAGTAAAGAATAGCTTTCTTTAAGGCCTAGGCTCCACGGGAACGAAAACGGGTTGAATCCGCATATTTCTCATGCGTATAGCCCTTTAAGCTAGACGACGCCGTAACGGAAACGTAGAAACAGACCCTGCAAACGACAACGGGTCCAAAGGTGGATAGATCTGGGAACGGAGCGCTCTGGGGGGTCCAACGGGGCCGTGTGGTAGCCTATACGGTCATCCGTTTCTGATAATGACGACGCAATAGCCCCGCCTCTCCCCACCTCTGCTGCTCACCCCCGCAAAAGTACACTGCACACTGAATTCAGATTATTTATCTTTATCTCGATATGGACATAAACGCGAGTGAAGTCTAATCTGACAGGACGGAGACACGCAGCTCCTGCCGCTGTGATGCAGCGGGAGCAAAACACACACTTCAAGTCAGATCATCACCCTTAGCTATTTTAATTACCTCTCAAACTACCTAAACTAGTTATAAATATGTTTATTTTTACTGTCGAGTCATCATTACTGGATCAGCTGCTGCATGAGACAGACACTGACGCTGTCAGAAGAGAGGAAAAAGAGACAGCCTCCGTGTATTTTATTATTATATATCATTATATCGTCGTTATTCATTTGTTTTAAAGCTCAATAAATAACAAAGAAGACCTTTGACCGGCACTTTTATAATTTTGTCCGGAAAATTTAAACTTTAACACACGCTGACCGGCGAAAAACTCTGCCCGGATCCCTCGGCCCCCACCGCGGAGAATAAACAGAAGTGCAGCCATGACAACCATTCTTCTTCGCTGCTTTTGTGGAGGAAGTTGCTGCTTTTGTGGAGGAAGTTACAGCTCCACATACAGGCTCGGCATATGTTCTGCAGCTTTTCCAGCGGTTGGATGTAAACGGAGCCGTCTCGTGGAGCTTGACACAATCCGGTGTATATTGCGTGTGGGCGGAAGCTTTTTTGCGTTTGCGTTTGCGTTACTCCGATGCGTTTTGCCGTATGCGTTCCCGTGGAGCCGGGGCCTAAGAGTCATCAAGGATACATTAGATTAGTAAATGCTTTTAAACGTGAATATGCCATTGAGTGTGAATGAGTCAAGTGACTGAATATGTATGAGGCGAGGTGTGGAGGAGGTGTTCATTTACATTATTAAATCCCTATCCAGATGGATACATTCACATCTACCAGTAGAGAGGGTTGTGTTATAAAGTGGCAGCTGCCCATATGCTGACAAACAGACCTTTTAAAAAAACAAAAAAAACATATTACTTTATTTTGACATAGAACAGGTGAGGACTGGGATTGGGAATACAATAATAAAGTAAAAGCACAGGTACAGTTAAGAATGCATAAAATGAAAAATACATTCTTGACGTTCATATAAATCCCATTTTCCCCAATATTTATCCCACATATTCTTTTGGAGTCGGAGATAAATATATGAAGTCATTTTCCCCATTGAACACATAGAGTTGATTATGTTAGTAAGACAAGCAATGTAGGGAGAAATCCACTGGAGCTATTATTTTGTGAAAGTCTTTTACCTGGGGTTATAATGATCCTCAAAAGCTAGGTGTCAACATTTTGAGACCATTATGAATTTTTCCAAGGTACAAAAAGTTAAAGACAATCAGATTTCAGGTTTAAAATCAACTCACAGACCTTTTTGTAGTAAATTAAACTGATGAAAGGTATTAAAAATAATCCATAACTCCACCTCCTGTCTGTTTGTAGATGATTGAGATGGAGTGCTTCAAAGAAATCAACGTCTACGAGACTGACGGGACGTTGTGCTCAGACCTGGACGTGAACCGGCCTAACCCTCCACCAAAGAGAGGCTTCTTCTACCGCCTGTTCAGAAGAGAGGCAAGTGCTAGTGCTCCGGCAACTGTCCGAGGGGGTGGGGGCTAAGGTACTTCTTCTCCTCTTTCCTTCCTTCCTTCCTTCCTTCTTTTCCTCACACCCTACGCCTTGCCCAAACCCAACATGTGAAAACTCCACTCCTAAACCTCTGTGAATTGTGTTATCTCCAGTTTAGTCCTTCCTAGTTTAAGAGTGTTTTCTTTCTCTTTCCACATTATATTCTGTATTTGTTGCTATGCCACTTTGTCAAAGAAGGTCAAACAGAACCTGGTTGGTGGTTGTGTATTCAGTATTCATTCAAATGGAATGTATTTATTTGGTAACAGGAGCTGCTAGGCTAACAGGTTACTTCCACCAACCTTCATCCATCCTTTAGGACAGAAACGTTTTATTTTACAATTATGCTACAAACATTGCTTTATTATTAGTGCGGGTTATCCAAGCTCAGATTCAGCTTGAGGGAAAGACCTAAGGCATTGCTCACATCTGTATGTGTTGAACACGTTTCAGGTTTTTAAAAATAAAAGTAATTATCAAAGATAAGGTATCCCCCTCACAAAAAAAAACTATTTTCAGGTCTCTATAAAGGAAACGGCATACCTTTTTTAAGTTGGATTACTACAGTAAAAGATTCACATAGATATTGTTTTCTTATATGACAATTATTATAGGAAGCACATCTAGAAGTTGCTACTAAACCTACATCTTTGCTTCAGCTTGTATCTTCTAACATGCTCATAGTGGTGTGTTTGAGTGCCAGACACCATCTTGGGCACTACAGAAATACTTCTTCTTGTGATGTGGTTACGTCAAGGTCGCACATGTGAGATGGCGCGGTGATGTACGTTTGTAATGTTAGTGATATATCCTCACTTCTGGTTCTCCCCAGGTCTGTTTTAAGAGCGGTTACAGTGATGACGAGATCGAAGAGCCCTCACGACTTTAAACCACTCCCTCCTCCACCCGCCTCCTCTTTCACCTCCTCCTCCCACCCCCCCCACCCCTCGCCGCTGAACTTCACCACAAACTCCAACAGAGCGCAAATCTTAGGAACTCAGTGAATGTTGACCTGTATTTATGAGCTGTATTAAAAGTGTATTATAATTAAAGAAAAAAGTATGAGTTTAAAGATTTTGTACATTTGTACTTGAATTTATGTCTAGATGTATATTTTCACTAAAGGTTGTATTGTACAAAAAGCCATAAAAGTACCACTTGAATGCATACATTACGTTTTTATTTCCTTTTTGTTTTCCTTTTACTTTCTTTTGGAATGGATAACGTGTATTGGGGAGTTTGTTTTTTAAAGAAGTACAGTACCAGTATGTTTCTTTTTTTCTTTCAATGTAGCATAAGGCCTTTTTGTTTTTTTATGTGCTGTATGTTTGTATTTGATTTGTTAGCACATCGGTTCCTAAACTAACCCCTCAGCCTCGGCACCCTTCAAGGCTCAGGTAGATCTGAACGAAGCGCATAGATCCTAATGATTTGAGGGGGAAAGGAATCCAGTCTAGCATTGTTTTGATGCCCAGCTTCTTACACCTTCCCATGTGTTTCCCCATCTCCACCTGCCCCTTAGATTTAAATCGGTTCGGATATGATAACCCTGATCTTCCCCTCTGGACTGTATGGCATGTGAAATTAAACATCCTCTCCATGCCTACTTAATTCGGGCAGTGATGGATTTATTTCCGACAATCTTTTTGTCAGCATGTACAAACATTTAGTATATTTCAAGGAGGCTTTTTTTCGGTAACACAGGGCCTGATTAATATAATTCCTAGGCCTCAAAAAAATCTCCTTTGAGCTGCAAACGCTCGGATCATATGAACATGTGTTTCCTTCAGGAGCACACCTGTTAAGTAAAAGTCTGTTACATTATTCACTCAGGCAAAACCTTTTTTGTATCTTTATTCCTCCTCCTGTTTTTAACTTCTTTTTTTTTGTACAACCTGGCTTTCCTTAGTTTCCTTTTTCCTTACTTTTCTGGTTATTATAAGCGGAAGTCTTTCCCCTCGAAGGTTCCCAGTAATCTATAATTTGTTTACTGGCGAATGAGATAGCACATAGACAGATGATGATGATGATGATGATGATGGCACTGTATAAAAGACCTGACCTGCAGCTGACAAGGGCTTCATCTAGATAACAAATTGGGGTTGCATAAAACAAACTTCCTTTGATTCTGCTGTTAGCAGCTGTTAGCCTCTGCGCTAAGTCACAATACTGTGCCTGTTGATCGTAGATAGCAAATATCCCGCTTGTAGACCTCCAGTTTAGCTTTAGCTGTGTTTGTGCTAAATGAAAGCATTACTATAAACCCACCATTGAAATCTTGTATGTTGTTCTGTCATAGGAATGGCTTGAGACAGTTGTTTTTTGTGTGTAGAGAGGAAGAAACGTATCGAGTTACCATCATCTGTGTACAGGATCACTTGCAGAACCACAGTTGTGTGCTCTTTTTCAACCATAGAAGTGTTTCCTTCCAATCATGAACAAATACATTTTCTGTGCATTTCCAACCACCTGTCCTCATTTGATTTTCAGAGACAATTGAAGCTATCTTGCTTTTGAATTTTTGCTTTTGAGGCAGTTGCTGTTTACTCCCCCCACCACCTGTTTTTAATGCTGTGAATACCCAATCTGGACATGTTGGCTCTGTGCGTGTATTACATTGTATGCAAATGCAGCTTCTGTTCAATCCAATGCATCGAAGTACAACCATACAATAGTTAAAATCACGTAGAGACTTGAACGTCACTCATTTGAATTTCAAACCATTGAAGACATTTTAAAATGGTACGCATATAATTCCCAATCTGGTTTACTATTTTGGAGAGTTGGCTTTTTGAACAAATAAAATTGTCCCCTGTTGCACATTCCATCATGAAAAATCAGGAATCGAATGCGTGCATCTGTTTCTGGCTTGTTGTCACTTTTTCCTGAGTGTCTTTGTTATTTTTCTTTGTTGCTCTCAGGCACATTTTGAAGCTGATTTCTCTTGCCTATGTAGATTTTAGCCTTTTAGCTATTTAGCCTAAAAAAAAACATGTAAATGATGTATTTCTAACATAACTAAGCTCTAACACACATTCACTCACTCTCACAGGGAAACGAAACTGTGTTTGCCACCCATGCCTCTGTCATTGTATGAACTTTACTCTTCTAACATCCATATAGCAGTAAAGGAATTATGTTTAGTTTCATTGCACTATGGTGTGTTTTGACAATGACTATAGGAAGTGTCTTGAACTTTTATGCCAATGATACCAAAAGCAACATTTAGTAAAACTTGTCTTGTTCTCGGAAAACAAATTGCTGAAGAAAGACTGATGGCCTTTATTGTATGTGCCAATTTACCGAGTTAAGTTCTGACATCTTGCCTTTTTTTCAACCTCTCTATCATTCCGTCCATTCCGAGAGAAATTCCTTCACATAAAGGAAACTTTAAAAAGCTCAACAGTTATGAATGTCCGCACTAAGTGCATTGTAATGCCTGTTTAAAAAAAAAAAAAAAATACATATGTTTTATTACTCAAGCATGTATTGGTTTGTAATACTTCAGGTTCCTTGTATATGTAAATGATGACCTTCTAGTGCCAACATATCTCACTGGTATCTGAGGACAACTTTATAAATGGCAAGGTGACCAGCTGAGTTTGGCCCCGTTTGAAGCCATAACATGCATTCCTTTTCCTGCCTTCCTCCAACGGTGGTGATGGCGAGTCCTTGAAAAAGTGGGATGGCACTCACCTGAAACGTTTTAAAGTGCAAGATACTCTGGTCTTTGTTGTCACTTGGATTTAATTTTTGGTTAACTACAGATATATGCCTGGCGGTTCTCCAGGGTTACATGCTCTTCTGTCCCGATATTTCAGATAAGTTCCCTAAAAGGAAGGGAGGAATGAGGAAATGCATTATTGGTATTCAAGCCGGGGCCTGTGACTTCTTGATTTTCTTCTTTTTTTTGTATCTGTACAGTCATGTCGTTCAACCACTGCAGTCATTGTTAATTCTTGTACAAGTTGTATCACTGGTTGTTGTACCATATCTGACATTTGTAATTATGAAATAATACACTGCCATTTGTATAAAAAAATACTTGTCTTGACTTATTTGTGTCATTTATTAATTTGTGTGTATGGAAGAAAATAAGTGTCATCTAGGGAATTTGCTTGAGTTTGTTATTTATTAATGAAGATCTTAATAAAGATCTCACTACAACTTCTTTACATAAAAAGTATATTGGTTAAGTTAAAGATTTATTATTATTGAGCAGTTGCTGTTTTTGATGATTTATCCAGGGGGAAGGGGTGGGTAATAAGCTTCAGTTCCAGATAAACTAAACCTCAATGCACGTTTTTTCCTCCTTGTTTCGATTCACAGTAAATGTATTTAGACTCCACATGTTCACTCCGCCCACTTGTTTTTTTGGCGCATGGATAAACAACAGCGCTAAAGCATTGATATTGCTCAAATATCCCTTTTCAATCTGGATTACAGCGGTCCCGTGACAGCAACAATAACAACAAAAGAAAAAAACCTTCAGTCACTCATTGGCTCTTTCTCAAGTCACTCAACATTGAATTGGCGATTTGATTGGCCACTGACGTTTCACCCCTCCCCTTTCTGTCAAACTGTCAGGCCACTTCCTGGTCTGGTTTGTCGGGGGAACGCAGAGCAGCATCAAATATGGCTTATTATCGACCAACATTTTGTTCATTTAGGTTTTACATTGTAAAACAATAGGAGCTATCGTGCACAAAGAGAAGGCAGAGAGCCGGTGGTAGTTGTCGCGAGCAGTGTTAACACTCTCGTCGCACTACGCACAGCTTGCTCTCTCCAGTGTGCTAGCTAGCTAGCTCACATAGTAAATATTAGTTAGCCTAGCTAGCTTGCTTACTGTTGATTGCTAAAATGGCCACCATGGAGAAATTGATGAAGGCCTTTGAGTCTTTGAAGTCATTCCAGCAGCAGCAGGGACCACCAACCGCTGAGGAGCTTGTCCAGAGGCAGTAAGTAGATTTTTGTCTTACTTCCACTGCATAACATGCTAGAGAGGTAGCTTAGCTTGCGTGCTAACGTTAGTACATCTCAGGTAACGTAACCATGGCTCAATAGCATGAAGCCACTTAAGCTAACATACAAACCAATACCTGGTAATTAAACTTCTGTTATTTTAACAGTACTTGTAAGACATTGCAGCTATGTTTAGTGGGCCTTCGTCGTCCGATATTGACAATATTTGAGTATCTGCTAGGCAGATATTTAGGGTCAGGCTAGCTGAATGAGGGCTACGCGTAAGGCGTTCACTAATTGATGCCCACGCACCTGCTAAAGGAATCAGGCCAGTGACAATTAAAAGGCTCAGTGTGCGCTAAATAAATTTGTCTCGGAGGAACATTTCAGTTAGAAAAGACGCATTGTAATTTTGAGTGTACCATTTGTAATTCATTGCACAGAAATGTAGCTATCATCACTACTTTTACCAATGACCGGTTCATTATTATGGTAGGCTAATGGACTGACGTCACATAAATCTATCAATTTCTCTCCATCCCGATCAATGGAGATTGAAGTGCTGTATGGCTGCATGCCTTGTTCTGGTTTCGATCTTGATGAAGGAAACAAGGTTTTTTAATTAAAGGATTAACATGACAAACACTTTTCACCTTTTTCAAATGTAATATTAAACCAGTCAATCTATTCAAGGAAATCAGTCAACTTCTAGCTAAAGCAACACATTGTCTATTTCCACCTGTTTCATTGGCAATACTCTCTATAAGGACTGGCTTCTCATTTATGATCAGTATACAGTCCTCCAATTGCATTTAAGTAATCTTCTAATACTTTTGTTGTTTTTAAATAATTATATACTTGGAGACCGTGACAGCGAAAGCTATTACCACGGATAGGATAAGATAAAAAAAAAAACTCAATATATTTAACTTTTTGGTCAGCCAGTAAGCAGGAAACCATGTCTTTCCAATCATGCAGTGATCTTCTGTGGTGTGGTGCCTCTGAAAACTGCAGCTGCTTCGTTTTCATGTGATGCTCATTCTGTCTGATGCTGCAGTAAATCAAAAGCGAGTTGTACTAAATCTGACATGAACTGAGTTAGGATTGCAGGTGATCAATATAGTGTAGGTCTGGTTCATAAATAAAGAGTCCGCTGTATTAACGACTTGCACCATTATTGTTGGATGATGATGATGGTAGGGTTTAAAAGCCAATGAAATAATCAATTATATAGAGAACACAGAACATTGCCTCTTATTTGCACACAACATTATGTAGAGCAGCTGACTTGTATCAACTGCTCAAAAAGTATTATTCTTTCTACACTACATCCTTCACTCTTTATACACAGCATTACCCAGTTACATACATAAATGACCAGTGTTGCCGTGTTTTACTGGACTGTACTTCAGATATTAAGCATTCCATCCACTTGGCTGTTGTGCTGGCTGTTGGCAAGATATTTAATTATAGTCCTGTTTAGCGATGGAATGACTTCCAACAATTACATTTCTTGGAGCTACTTTTCAGTACCTCTTTTCTCTTGTTTTCCATCCCTTTTTCTCAAACTTTTCATGTTCTCTTTCACAGGAAAAAAGAACAGGCTACTACAAAGAAGGACAGGGTCACCCACTGTCTGACAATATGTGAAAACATCGTGGCTCAGTCTCTGAGGTAGGCCTTGTTGATGTAACTTGTTTTATTCAATCAAATTAACGTTTCACTGTGTGTTTTTAATGAAACTTGAGCTGGGCTACATTGAAATTGTATGAAATTGTACCCCTTCTCATTCTGAAAATATGTATGTGCGTAATGACATTTGGCTCACTTTTCCTCCCTATGGTTCTGGGAGCAGAACGTCTCCAGAGTTTCAGAAACTGCTGGGCATCGCTATGGAGATGTTCCTGCTCTGCAGTGATGACAGCGAATCAGATGTCCGGATGGTAGCTGACGAGTGCCTGAACAAAATCATTAAAGTGAGCAGGACCATTAAAGGCCTCAAAACCCATCTTTTCAAAAGAGCCTTTGCCTAGACCCCTGTTTCCATCCTTTTATCTTTATTTTTATTTTTTTATTGCTTTTTATTAATTCTACCGTGTTGTGTCATGTCTATTTATACTGTTCCTGCTCACTGCCTGTAGCACTTCGGGATTTGAATTCGAATATGAAGTGCTTTATAAATGGAACCCATTATTATTATTATTATTATTATTATTACTGGTGGCCTAAGAGAATTTTTTGAATTTTTCTTTTATCATCTATACATTTTTTGTGCCTTTACAGAAAAATAAGCTTTGATTTGGGTTTGTGTATTATGATAATACTTCAACAATCCATTTGAAGACAATAAAGATACATTAATTATTATCAAATAATTCTTCCCCAAGATGGCTTCCAACAAAAAAGGTATGAAATAAACAACTAAAATACTTTTTTTTGTAATGTTTATTTTCAGGCACTGATGGACTCCAACCTGCCTCGACTGCAGCTGGAGCTGTACAAAGAAATTAAAAAGGTATAAAGATATGCATCTGTGGTGTTTATTTGGTTTCTGTCTAGTGTCTAATCTAAAGAGTGAAAATGAAATCACTCTGATGTGAATGTGTCTCTGTAGAATGGTGCCTCTCGGAGTCTGAGGGCGGCTCTGTGGAGGTTTGCTGAGCTCGCTCACCTCATCAGACCACAGAAATGCAGGTATGCACACACAATGCCTGGAAAGGACTTTTTTACTTCATTCATGTGACAAAACCGTTTTAATAACATAAGGCCAAACTCTAAGGGGAAACCCCATTTGAAGCATTGCACATTTGGTTCTGATTGTAAACTTGCCTTCAAAAAATCAGTTGTTAGTTAAAGAAAAATGTGTTATTTTTTAACATTGCATGCCTCCCAATCAGAATGTATTAGTGGAAGAAACATCAATTACTAACTCTTGGTAAATCCTTTTTACTGAACATGTTTCCACTGATACTGATGTTAAAAATAAAAACTTTTACTGATTTGCGTTTTAACCCATCCTCCTCATCTGTGTTGCAGACCCTACCTGGTGAACCTGCTGCCGTGCCTCTCCCGAATCACCAAGCGGCAGGAGGAGACTGTGCAGGAGACTCTGGCTGCTGCGATGCCCAAGATCATGTCCGCCTTGGGGCACTTCGCCAATGACGGCGAGATCAAGGCATCTACACAGAGCAGAAACATTACAACTGTTTATTATGGAAATGTTATTTGGGTTAAGATAACTTTAGCCTTTAATGGTTGTTTTTCTACATTTTGTCTTTGGGAATTTGATGTCTTGGGTTTCCTATTTTCTTTTACCAATCAAAAATATGCTTGAGTTAGTTTAGTTAGTTTACCTGGAAGTCATTATTAAGAATGTAATTTCGAAGACTTAACATCTTATTACAACTAATACACCACTGTATAGAACAAAAGTGGTATATATTGTTGTACAATGTGCACACTTTTTACTTCAACTTATTTTTAATATATATTCTATTTTCTTTTTTCTTTTAATTAAAATCTCAAATGGAGCAACTGTCACAAAACCCAATTTTCCTTGGATGAATGAATTGTTCGGATTACATTACTGTGAGAAATGTATAATTTTAAAGATGCATAAGATCTGGAAAAGGGTGTGTTTATATATTAATTTGAGGCAGTTTGCACAATTTATTAGGTACATCTTGCAACAATTGGCTCTCATTGTAGTCCAACCCTTGTGGTCCCAGGTGCTGCTGAAGTCGTTTGTGGCCAACCTGAAGTCCAGCTCCCCGACCATCAGACGCACAGCAGCCAGCTCCGCCGTCAGCGTGTGCCAACACTCCAGACGTGCCAGCTACTTCTACACCTGGCTCCTTAATGTGCTGCTGGGTAAGGCCACACATACTCTGGACTTTTCCCCTTCCCAGTTTCATTTAAGGGCTAGTTTGGCCCTTTCAGATCGGGTTGTATGAGGTGCTTATCTAGTGCATTAGATGGCATTCAGTGTGGCCCAAGTCTGGGGAAGCAGGCAGGAAATCTGGAAGAAAAGCAATATACTTCTGCACCATTTATTTAACAAAAGAAAACTCATTATCATTCCATTTTATGTTGAATTCAGCATATTTTCCCACCTAAAATCCACTGAAATATCCCTATAAGATTATTCCAGCGAACATTTGAGATCTAGTTGAAGCACCCAGGCAACAGACATCGAATGAGAACACACACCCTGACCTATCCTTTCATGTGTTAGGTCTGCTGGTTCCTGTGGATGAGGAGCATCCCACACACCTAATTCTGGGGGTCCTGTTGACCCTTCGCTACCTGATGCCTCTGCTGCAGCAGCAGGTTAACACATCCAGCCTCAAAGGAAGCTTCGGAGTCATGAGGAAGGAGGCCGACGTCCAGCCCTCACCTGAGCAGCTCCTACAGGTAGAGAGAAAATCGATTGGATATTTTTTTGTTTTCTTTTTTGAGTATTTGCTCAATTTCACATTTGTGTGTCCGAAGGTGTACGAGCTGACCTTACACTACACGCAGCACTGGGATCACAATGTGGTCACGGCGTCTCTGGAGCTCCTGCAGCAGATGTTCAGGACCCCCCCGCCAGAGCTCCTGCACATGCTCATCACAGCGGGCAGCATCCTGCATGGCTCCGTGTTCCGGCAGGACGCAGAGAGTCGTGCACGCTCCGGCAGCATCCTGGAGCTCATTGGTAAACGCATCACTCAGACGGGACTGTCTCCATTAAGCTTTTGTACAATCCGGGCTCTACATAGCCGCCTGGTACCCGGGACGCTAAAATATCTGCTTTAGGTAGATCTTATTCCATTAACCCTAACCTTCGCCAGGTAGTCGAGCAAACTGTGCTGTCGCTCCGCTCTAGCTCCTGCTTTGGTCCGTGTTCGCAGCCTTTTTCTTTGCTTGCTAACTTTCCCTGTTTCGTCTAATAATTGTGCTGTTTCCAACGAGTCCTTTTGAGCTTTTGCTGCTTCTCTCCTGTTTCTACTTCCTGTCTCGTGCCACTTGCAGCGGGGGGAGGGTCTTCCTGCAGTCCACTCCTTCTTAGGAAACCAAGAGGTGACTAGTCTATTTATCTCCCGTGCTCACCTCTACCCTCCAGCTGATGTTTAAATCAGCCTTTGGGCTAATTTACCTTAAACTCAGTCACCTATGCTGGTTGATTGTCCTCTTAATTCTAGATGTATTTTTAATAATGCACATTATTCTCTCATTTTAATATACATATCTAAGAAAATATGAGATGCAGCCTTTTGTTGGTTTTTAATGTACTATAACATTTGCACCAGTCTAGTACATAGCTCTTGTGCCGATGTCATGTTGACTCTAAACGTGTGTTTCCAGGTAAAATGCTCTCTGGAGAGGAGGACGGCTTGGAGGATGACGCTGAGAGAACAGAGGTCACATTCACAGGTGAGATGCACCTACCAGGAAGTAAAATTGGCAGCTTCAATGACACTGACAGCTGTAAAAAATATGTATTCTTTGTGCATCTTTGCTTTAGCGTCAGTCGTTGGTGCGGACGGCTCCTCGGCGGCCCAGGTGGACATCATAACCGAGCAGCCGCGCTCCTCCCAACATACCCTGCAGCCCGGCGAGTCCACGGACCTCAGTGCCTCCTCGGAGCAGGGCGGCGGCGGAGGAGGCGGGACTTCGGCTTCAGACACTCCTGAGTCACCCAACGACAACGAGGAGGAAATGCTCAGTCGCAGCTCCAGCGGTGGGGCCAACGTTACCCCAGAGACGGCCGACTACACCACCCCAGAGACGGAGGCAGTACCCTTAGGAGACGGCGGGCCTTTGCTCAGCACAAACGACCGCTCCCTTCCACCCAGCGACTCCTCGCAGACCACCACGGAGGGGCCGGACTCAGCTGTCACCCCTTCGGATGTAGCAGAACTGGTCAGTGTGACTGTGGGCATGCCAGGGAGATTTAATATGGTTTGACAACACAGCTTAAATAAACGGTACTTCTGTGTATATGTATGAAATACAGAAGACAGTGAGCTTCCCTAGACTCTGAAATACTTAATTACCATGCACTGTCATAATTAACTGTGTAACTGATGTCCCTCATGGCATAGTCCCAGTGAATGAATGATGCTATGCTTCATAGGGTTAGGATTTCTAGAATGGACAAATATTAATTCCCACTATTTATAAAAAAATAAATAGAATAAAAACATTATACTAGTATTAGTAATATTGCATTAACTTGAAATCATATTCATCATAGTCGATCAGCTTCATATATGATTTTTTTCAAGGACATATTTAAAGTTCTGCAGCACAAATGAAAAATCAAAGTTTGCAATTTGTACCTTACACAATTTCTTTTTTTTGACAAGATTCTTGTGTAACTTCATGCCATTAGTTAAAAAATCAAAATAATTTCATTGTTTATTATTATTATACAAGTTAGTTGGACTTTTCCATGAGAATAGAAACACAATTGTTCAAAAAAATTGAAATTCGCAGCTTAAATTTGAAAAAATGTACAATCTAAATAACTTTAAAATAAAATAAATTGTTGCAACTCTTATTGTTTTAGTCGATATATTAGCTAACAGTCAGTCACTGGTTGCGGTTGATGCTGTTAAAAGCTTGAAGTGCCCCTAAGAATACAGAAGATGAGTTATCACACACTTAGGTTTTGCTGCTCCCCCTCCAGAGAAATGTTGGTGTCCACTCTAACAGTTCTACCTCTACGGTCCCCCCCTCCCTCCTTTACCCCTCTCCCCGCTTCGCCGCAGTCACACACTCCATTGCCGCTGGTGATGGAGCCGTCCCCTCCCTCACCAACTTCCACCGAGGGTCCCGATGCCTCAGACAGCGACTCTTCCGTCTACACGGCTTCTTCTTCGTCGTCTTCTTTCTCTTTCTCCTCCTCTTCCTCCTTCTATGCCACCTCCTCCTCTAGCACTAGTGACAAGGTCAGCCAATTGGACACTTTGAACCAAGTGGGAGGGGCTTGCTTGTCTGGAAACTTTTGGCTTTCTCTATCTCCATTCGTTCCTCCATGCACTCAGTTTCCCCTGCCTATTGCTACGTTCCCCTTCTTGTTGTTATTGCGAAAACGTTCTGCCCCCTTTTCTCTCCCCCTCGTTTCCAGTGACTCCCTCTCCAAAATGAGAAGCTTTAAAAATATCTTTGTAAAAAAAACAAGCAACCCCAAACCCCCATGTTGATGGCTTGCAGTGAAGAGTTCAAAGTAGAAGCATGAAGGCCATCTGTTCCTTTTTTCTTTTAAATGTTGTCCTTCAGATTTGCCTTTTCAAGAGACGGTAATGGGCTTTTGTTCCAGCGGACGTCAAAACTGGATAAATAATGATTTATTGCCTCTTTTTTTAAAGAAGAGTACTATACATCTCGCTTGCAAAAATTACATTTCTTTACTGTTATGTTGTAAAAATACTCACTTACTTGATTCAAAAGGAATCAATTTCAAAGTTGAGTTGTTCGGATCAAAAGCTTGCTCTTCTTCTGGTGGATTGAGTTCTGAAGCCTGTGCTTTTTCCTGTGTCTTTGTGTAGTTCATTTGCTGTAAATGAAGTGACCCAAGCATGATCCAGTCGAGTTTTAAAAAGGGAACGTTTGTTTGACTTGAAGTCGTCGTTTGTCTCCAATCCAAAAAATCTAACTGAATGAGTCTAAACTATTTCAATATACTCTGCATGCGGTGGCTTTTTAAACGTGTTGCATATGGTGTGTGTGTTATGTGAGCTTTGTTCCTAACTGGAGGAGTCTGCTCTGTGTGCGTGCATCAGGTGCTGGACGGCAGTGAGAGCCAGTACTCAGGGATGCAGATCGGGACATTACAGGATGAAGAAGATGAAGGAGCAGCACCTTCCTCCCAGGAAGAGCCCCAGGAACCCTTCATCCAGTCAGCTCTGGGTATGTTTGTGCACACAACTGATCTTTCCTAAGTCCCGCCCCATTCGCTCTGTGCTCCAATCACATTTAAGGAAGCTTTTAATCTGGTAAAACTTCTGTGAATTTTCCCTTTCCTGTGACACTGAGATATGCTATGTCAGAACAAAGAGAACATTATAAGGCAAGTAATGTTTGTTTGGTGTCAAAATCTTAACAGACATATTTTATGTAGTCCCATGTTAAGTAAGCTCATGCTAAAGCAAGAATAGCTGGTGTCAGATCACCAACATTAACCATGTTGATTTTCCCCTTTAATTTTGTGGATACATTAACTAGGTTTGGTTTAGTTACTGACATATTGTTAAGAAAACATGAAATGTATCCAGAAAAGCTAAAGACTGACCTTACTTTGTTTATATTATTTCTCTTAGGCTGTATGCCGCCCAAAAGTTACTTATATGGATATAGACAACATATAAAATCACAACTGTAAAAGTTATGATTTAGAATATTTCCTTTTAATTGCATACAAAAATCATGCTGTTGGCCCAGAAACGAATACTGTCAAGCTTGTCCAACTTAACAACGGTAACTAAAAGGAGGCGGAACTTTGGATCTGTCAGTTGTGCGTAGAATTCCCAATAATTATTTGGCTTAAAACTATCGGTATAAGGCTTTTAAAATGTGTATTGGTTCCCTGTGTGCTTATGTGCAGCTCTGAGCAAACCTCATCTCTTCGACGGCCGAGGCCACAACCGGCAGGGTTCGGACAGCAGCGTGGACCGCTTCATACCAAAGGACGAGCCCGCCGAACCTGAACCTGACATCAAGGTATGGGAACATCAAGAAAACATCCATGTCAGTTGTTTGCACCGTATTGTGTAGCAAGCGGCATGATTATACATCTGGCTTTAATTCTACATCCCTTCTTCTCAGCCATCACGGATAAAAGGTCCAATCGGACATTACACAGACCAAGGGGCGGAGCCACTGGTGCACTGTGTACGGCTTCTCGCTGCTTCCTTCCTACTGACGGGAGAGAAACATGGTGAGTATTATCAAAATATGGCATAGGTGTGTTTTTTTTTTTTTAAAGAGCATTTGTTTAGATTATCATGTTGGAGCCACTGGAAAGCTCGCCAAACATGCCATTTATTGACAATACTATGATACAAAGCCTGTTATGAAACCTTGAACATCACCATGCCTGTACATTCATCTCTTCTCTGTTATGTTTCCCAGGTCTGACCCCTGACAAGGAGGTGCGAGTGAGCGTGAAGGCTCTGGCGGTCAGCTGCATCGGGGCTGCAGCAGCGCTCCACCCTGAAGCCTTCTTTAATTCCCTCTACCTGGAGCCGCTGGACGGCACTCCAGTAGTAGGTAGGGACACAAACAAATTGGAGATACAATCCTCTTTAGATATGTGACGCCTGAACAAGTCATGGGACTACATCTCTATAAAGACATTGCAGACATTTTCATTAGCATTTAGAGAATCACATCATTCAGATACTTGCAGGTCAACTCACTCACAAAAAGTTAAAAAATCTAGTCCAGGAACCTGAAACTAAAGCAGCTGAATGAAATACAGCCATTGATTTTGACCAATGCTTTTCCTACTGTAACATGTCAATATTTCTTGTGTTAATCTTGGAAAAATACTGCAGTTGCATACCACTAATACTTTTTGCCAAATTTTTTTTGTCTACAGCATCTGTTTTGACCCCTACTCCCTCTGTTTGCCCCCTTGCAGAACAGCAGTATATCAGTGACATGCTGGGCCTGGCTGCCCACGGGGACCCCCAGATCAGAGGGGCCATAGCCATCCTCTGCGGAGCCATCATACAAGCCGCACTCACCAAAACACGCTACAACATACACAGCTGGCTGGCCAGTGTGCAGAGTGCAACAGGTTAGTGTGTGTGTGTGCGTGTATGATCAAGTGTGTTTGTCTAGGTGATGGCTAATTAACGATTCCCTCTCACCTGTATGTTGATCTTCAGGTAACCCTCTGTCCCTGGTGGACTTGTTGCCTTTGCTCCAGAGAACTCTGAAAGATGAATCCTCCGTCACCTGCAAGATGGCTTGCTCTGCAGTGAGGGTAAGACATGTAAGGGTTAATATGCAGCGGCTCGTTGTATATTTCCCTGCTTATTACATGGCTAATTACAAAAATACATTGACACAGCAGTTTGATTTAAACATGATTTTATTGATCTAATATTATCGTTTTACTTCGGCAAACTACTAAGTAGTACCGGCTGGAACTTTTTGAGTTTTTTAACAGAAAGCGCAGACCACTGAATGTCAACTCGGTATCAAGTATTCATCTAAGCTGTGTAATGTTAGTAATCATTGGGTGTGTGTTTGTGTGTGTGTTAAGAGTTAAGAGGCTGACCTTTTTGAATGTGTATTTCAGCACTGCCTCATGACCGTGTGCAGCAGTACCCTCAGTGAGCTGGGCCTGCAGTTGATGATAGACCTTCTTGCTCTGAGGGACTCGTCCTATTGGCTCGTTCGCACTGAGCTCTTGGAGACTCTGGCAGAGATGGACTTCCGGTAGGATCATTTTCAACTTTAGTTTTGTTACCCAAGCTACTGGCTGAGGCATCGTGCTATTTAAATTTGAATAAAAATGTATAATAGCTAAGCTTTTTATTTATAAACTGTTAGGGGTGTTGCAATATGCTATCTTTGATAATGTAATATTTTTAAAACAATAAGTTCCTTTCTTTTTTCATGCTTTTGTTCAGTAATGGTTACAGATCTTCTATTATCTATCCATTTTCTTTACAAAACGCACAATAAACAATGTTTTAAGATGAATTTCAATCGTTCCCTTATTTCTTTGTTTACACATTTTATATAGATACCTCAATAATATTGTTATGGTAAGTCTTTGATATCTGGGATTATTACTAAAGATATGCACTCTTTTCTCTTTTAGGTTAGTGAATTTCTTGGAGAGAAGAACAGAACATTTGCACAAAGGGGATCATCACTACACTGGGGTAAGTCTCCATTCTATCTTCCTGGTAGTCTTGCTGTAGAGAAGTACGTCTTTATGTTAACCACACAAAATAACACTGAAACTTGAAACATGTGGTCCCTAATATGTCCGATTCCTCTTGATCTAGCGGCTGTGCCTGCAGGACCGAGTCCTGAACGATTTGGTCATCCGTCTGTTGGGAGATGACGACCCCAGAGTCCGACACGTGGCAGCGTCAGCTGTCAGCAGGTAAACTCTCATCATATACTGTATGTACTAAATACACATCAGGTATACTGGACTTTACTGTAGAAAAGCAAGTTTCTTTCACACAAGAACAAATCAGTTACAATTTATTAAACTCTAACCCAGAGTTGGTACTTTTGTATTTTATCTACTTTTTTAGAAATGAATTGGGCTTTAGCTACCAGATGATAAGGGAGACATCATTGATTCTCATACCTAGAATCGATGACCAATCTAACCAGAGGGTCATTAGTAATGATCTGTCTTCTATACCTCATCCATTTTTCCCTTCTATCTTCAAAGATATGATCTTCTTTTCTAATTTTTCCATTGCATATCATTATTGACAAGATCCTTTTATTAAGAGTTCATTAGATAATCTTCTTTTAACCAATTCCTTGTAAAAACACCAGAAGCAAGATTCTTACTTATTGCTAGCAATAAGAGTAGCAACAATATAACACATTACAAGTAGTAAGATAAGTGGGTTTTTGTTTGGATGACCAAAACACATGACTTTGTTTTGCTTTCTGCTCACTCTTCACTCTTTAGCATTTTGAAGTACAATTTTTTTTTTTTTTGTACTTACTTTGAATTTGGGGTGTCTTCTTTCTAATGTTCCCTTCTCTCTGTCTCTCTCTGTCTCTCTCTCTCTCAACAGGATGGTTTCCAGATTGTTCTACGACTGCGACCAGGGTCAAGTGGACCCAGTAGTGGCGATTGCCCGGGACCAGAGTTCAGTCTACCTGCAGCTGCTGATGCACGAGGCCCAACCCCCCTCCCAGTTCACAGTTAGTACCATCACAAGGTACGAAAACACACTCGGAAACACACTCCTTTGATGTCGCATCTCATAGGCTAAAGCCTCATTGGTCAATCATCTGTGATTCCTTTCTCTGCCAGGACGTACAGAGGCTACAACTTGTCCAACAACGTGTCTGATGTCACAATCGAGAACAATTTGTCCAGAGTCGTCACCGCCATCTCCCACGCTTTCACCTCCTCTACCTCCAAAGCCCTGACTGTGAGCTTTCACACCTTTTAGTTTGCCCCCTGGATAGAAACTCTCTTGTATTTTTTATATGAACATGTTTGAAAACTATTCCTTTTGTCTTGTTTCTCTACAGTTTGGCTGCTGTGAGGCCTTATGCCTCCTGGCTACACATTTCCCAGTGTGCACCTGGAGTACAGGCTGGCACTGCGGCTATGTGAGCTCCAGCAGCAGCTTCTCTTCCCGCTCTAGTCTGAACCGCAGCAGGGGCCGGGCCCTCAGGTACGTGCACTCCTTCTCTTGTTACTTCATCCTCCTTTCTTTTTCCTTTCCCTTCCTCTCTTCTCAATAGTAACTGATCCTCTCCTGTCTCTCGGCTCTGCAGTGTGTCGCAGACCGGCAGTGCTCCAGCCTCTTCAGCCTCCTCCTCGTCTGCACCCGACACTGAGCGCAGGACTCTGACAGTAGGCATGGCCAACATGGTGCTCTCCTTACTCTCCTCCGCCTGGTTTCCACTTGATCTGGCCTCACACCAAGATGCACTTTTGCTGTCTGGCAATCTGCTTGCTGGTGGGTAATATTCATAGACATTCTAGATTAATATATTATTTTGGAAGAGGGATCCCTCCTTTGTTGCTCTCCAAGAAGTTTATTCCAAATTGCCCCATGAATTGTGGGCTTTTTTTTTGGGGAGTTTTTCCTCGTGTGCTGCGAGGGTCTAAGGAAAGAAGGTGACCTGTACTCTTCACATGGTAAAGCCCCCTAAGACAATAAGTAAGTTGTGATTTTTGTGATTTTAGTTGGGATAAGACGTTTTTTTGCTTATTTAAAGAGCAAATATACATTAACAAAAGAGAAAAAAATGTAGGTCTATTTTTAAGTTAACAACTAATTGGTTCCCTTTTTTAGAAAAAAACTAAATTGTTATTGTTTAAAATGTACAAACGTGTCAGTCTCAACTCAAAACTTAACCTATTTAGTGCATTAAAGTGCCCTTTTTACATTCTGGGCTGTAAAGATAACATCTTCTGAAATTTAAATAAATAATGGTGGTGCGGTTAAAAAAAGCTAATATGTTCAGTACTCATGTTGCTCGAGTTCCTCAAAGAACTTTCACCCATCATTAAAACATATTTCATTTAGCTGATGCTTTAGCCAAAGTGAATTACAAAAAGTGCAAAAATCATGAAAATAGAAATGGCTAGAAACCTGCCGGGACATTTGCTTCAAGTAAGCCAAACCATCGAAGAGCTGGTGCCTTAACTTGAAATGAGCTAAATCTGTACTGTAATTTAGTGACGTCACTACCCTTAAAAATACCCCCAGATTTAGAGACGGAAGCTGTAAAAAGTCTGTTATTCATGTTCCCAGCTGTGGCTCCTAAATGCATGCGTAACCCCTGGGCTGGAGAGGAGGAAGGCAGCAGTGGTAGCACCAACGCCAGTGGAGGCCCCAACAAGATGGAGGAGCCCTGGGCAGGGCTGTCGGAGCGCTCCCTGGTGGCCATGGTGGAGCAGCTCTTCTCCCACATACTGAAGATCCTCAACATCTGCGCCCACGTGCTGGACGACACCCCCCCCCGGACCAGCTATTAAAGTAACCACTTGCAATACTTCTGTTGTTTGATTTGATCAGTCATATGTGCGGATCACATAGTTGCATCCACTGGAAGGCCGATTGTTATATTATTTAATTATGATTTAATCTGTTCCCCCTTTTTTCAGGCCACCCTCCCCTCCTTGAGCAACACCCCCTCCCTCAGTCCCATCAGGAGGAAAGGCAAGGAGAAGGATATTGTGGAGCCCAGTGCTGCCCCCATGAGCCCAAAGAAAAGTGTTGACATCAACACAGGTACATATACAGTGTATTTATATGTCTATATACTCAGGCAGAGGTGGAAGAAGTACTTAAGTAGAAGTACCAGAGTGTATAAATACTCTGTTACAAGTAAAAGTCCTGTATTCAAATTTTTACTCGAGTGAAAGTACTAATTCACTCAAGTAAAAATGTAGCTTTAAAATGTACTAAAAGTATTCATAATGCAGATTGGCCCATTTTGGAATGATATATATTTCACATGTTTATTATAATTATTCATGCATTAATGTTTTTATTATAGCTGGTAAAGTACATTTTATTATTTGATTTACTGATGGGTAGTTTGTAAATTTAGTCGAGGTGTTACTAAAGTCTTATGTAAGTGTTTATGTTTTATATCAAAGTAACTAAAGGTATTAAATAAATGTAGTGGAGTTAAAGTACAATGTTTACCTCTAAATTGTAGAAGTACAAAGTAGCACAAAATCGAGATACTCATGTAAAGTACCTCAAAATTGTGCTTGAGTACAGTACTAGAGTAAATGTACTTAGTTACTTTACACCACTGTACACAGACAATGGTACATGCTCAGTGACCATGCAGCAGCAGCACAGACAGACTATAGGGCTGCTCAATTAAAACAAATAAACAAGTGGCTTTTATATTGACTGATATTGTAATTCCAATATGATAAACGGTTATAGAGGGAATGAAACATACATTTTCTCTTTTTGAGGATCTGTACCAAACCGTTTGTAGGTCTTTCAGAATGATATTTTCACATATTTAGCCTTTACTGAATATCTCGCTTACTGTGATTTGTACATTGCATAGTCCATTTTGTGATTTCGGTAACATTTTCGATCAATGGTGCAGCCCTAAAAGAAAGTCTTACTTATGTTTCTGAATATTTAAAATGTTTGTTTTGTGAGCAGGCAGGCCAGCAGACGGCACGGGGTCCACCGCCGTAAACAAGTCTACCACCGTCGGCAACTTCTACCACCTGCCCACCTACCTCAAGCTCTACGACGTCCTCAAAGCTACACACGCCAACTACAAGGTCAGAACGAGCATCCAGCTTCAAATACTCTATCAGTAATAATATTAGTGTAGCCTCATCTTTATCTGCCACTGTGCAGATGTACCGTAAAACAAAATGAATAATGGTCAGCAGTTTAAACTATAAATGAAGTTTCAAACTAATTTGTACAGTTTTCACACGTTTCTTTTGTTAATTGTGGTGTTAATTGTGTTTTTCTTCTCGCCTAGGTGACGCTGGACCTCCACAGTAGTCAGGAGAAGTTTGGAGGATTTCTGCGTTCAGCTCTAGATGTTCTCTCTCAGCTCCTGGAGCTCACCACACTACATGACATCAGCAAGGTAAAGATATTTAAATGGCTCTGTTTGAAATCAGACATTGTTCGAGTGTTCATTAGAAGAAGCAAGAAGGAGAAAATAAATAACATGCATCTGTTTCTTCATATAAGCCAATGTACCATCACAGTTGTTCACATGGACATAATCCATTCAATAAAATGGTGTGTTTGTTCTTTGTCAGTGTGTGGAGGAAATCTTGAGCTACCTCAAGTCCTGCTTCTCCAGAGAACCCACCATGGCGACAGTTTGTGTACAACAGGTCAGTAATATGTGTTTTATGTCTCTGATGATACAGTAGATTTACTTGTGTATTGTGTAAAGTTTTTTGTTTCGTGTGTGGCAGTCTTTATGGTTCCAACACTGAGCAGTGTGCTGCGACCGCTGCGACTCCACACAGAGTGAAGTGGTACTTTACGACAGGGCCCGTAAAGGAGCTGGTTTCCCTGAGCGATGGTTCCATACATCTTTTATACACACCAGTGATATAATACCAGCTGGACGTCATGTTGCCTGCTCCTTTATCGACACCAAACTGTTAGAAATAAAAGATCAAGGATGATGTCATTGTGAATCAGTTTGCTCATTTATAACGGTAACGGTTTCAGAAGTGTACTTTTCTACATAAACCAAAACCAATCACTCTGCTTGATACACTTTTATTAATATTATTCAGAGCCAGCCAATCAGTCTGATCTCAGAATTAAGAAAATATTCCATTTAAAAATATGATTACATTTTATTACAGAAAATAAACCAATCCATGTATCTGACTCAATCCAAATGGAAGTAATGTGGCTTTTAATGGAGTTGTAGGCAAGTTTATTTTTAGAGAAGACTGTTAAGTGCAACACATCTATCATGCCCCTCTCCTGTTGAATCAGCTCCCAGTTTGTGTTCGGGAGGCAGAAACCCCTTGGAAATGTAAGAGTAGGCTTAAGACTTTCCTTTTTGGTACTGCTTATAGTTGGGTCTGGCTCAGGCTTGCCATGAACATCCTCCTGAAACCTATATTCTATATATACGTACACATAGAAATGTTTCTAATTGGACAGTCTACTCTACGTTGTAATCTTATTATGTTTTATAATATGTCTTCATGAGTCGTTCTGTATAGACTATAAGCCCCCCTGAGACAAATATGTTATTTGTGATATTAGGCTATATAAATAAAAATAGATATGATTTGACCTAAACAAATTCTACTCTATTACTTTTTTTTAAAGGGGCCCTATTATGGTTTTTGGGGCTTTCCCTTCCCTGTAGTATGTTTTTATAGGTTTTTGTGCATGTCAATGGTCTCCAAAGGCTAAAATCCCTGTGTTCCCTCCAGAGGGAGTTTCTCTCCCCTGCCTAAAACGCCTAGCTTGGTCTCCTTTGTTTACTCCTGTAACATGGTGACATCACTACGTAACAAAAACGCTTGTATTGGCTAGCCCTCCAATACATTGTATGTGATAGAGGCCGGACATCTCTAGCAGTTGAGCAATCACAATAGGGCCGGCCAGCTAACCAATCAGAGCAGACTGGGCTCTGATTTCAGACCGAGGGTGAAGCACAATAAAAATAAAAATAAAGCACTCTTTGAACATTAAAGCACGTGTCACAGTAAAGGGACAAAATACAAATATTAACTTGAAAATGAGCATATGACCAGTTTTTTTTCTTTTTAAGTGACGTTTTTCTTTCTTTAGCTGTTGAAGACCCTGTTTGGCACCAACCTGGCCTCTCAGTGCGAGAGCGTCCTGAGCGGACCCAGCCGCTCCCAGGGCAAGGCTCTGCGCCTCGGCTCCTCCAGCCTGCGACCCGGCCTCTACCACTACTGCTTCATGGCGCCGTACACGCACTTCACCCAGGCTTTAGCCGACGCTAGCCTACGCAACATGGTGCAGGCCGAACAGGAGCAGGACACCTCTGGGTGAGTGGTAGCAACACGAAGATTAGAAACAGGAGCATGAAGTCAGATATCCTTAATCCGTAGAACAATGTGGACATTTAAGTTTTTACAACTAAAGAGGACAGTGCAGATAAAAAGCCAAATAAAAATTGAAAAAATCTGTTTTATTTTTCCACTTTTAGATGGTTTGATGTGATGCAAAAAGCTTCGAACCAGCTGAGGTCCAACATTGCAAACGCGACACGCCAAAGAGGAGACAAGGTAAAGTTACACTGTTTTTTCATTGCTCATTTGTGAACAGCTCTATTAAAATTAGTCGGATGTAGCAATGACTCATTCTAAGATAAATATGGATTTATGTATAACACATGGTCATTTGGGGGATTTGGTTGATTTGAATCAAAACGAAGTCTACAGTGCCCATATTATATTAAGCCTGAAGCCTCATCCCTAAATAACTTTGGCTATTATTTGATAACTTTGAAGTCCTTTTTCTCAATCGTGACACGATAACTGCCATTTTATTGTTTGACATATTTCTTCTTCAGTTAACAATTTGAAAAAGTGTTTCAGGGTCAACACGACTTATTTGAGCAAGTCACATTAGCTTAAGCTAGCTGCTGCTGTTCTGAAAGCTGTGGCCTCCTCTTTGTTTTCCCAGAATGCCATCCACAACCACATCCGTCTGTTTGAGCCGCTGGTCATCAAAGCTCTGAAGCAGTACACCACCAGCACCTCGGTGGCGCTGCAGAGACAAGTCCTGGACCTGCTCGCACAGCTGGTGCAGCTCAGAGTCAACTACTGCCTGCTGGACTCTGATCAGGTAAAACTAAACGCGTATTCATATGCATGAGTTTATCTTCAACTGCTGGAATTTAGTTCACTCACTCGGATATTTTTCTTCCAGGTGTTCATAGGGTTTGTCCTGAAGCAGTTTGAGTACATTGAAGTGGGACAGTTCAGGTGAGTTATCTTTGTGACCCCTGTAAAGATGTACCCATACGTCTCTCCGGCCTTTCTGCAGTACTGCTTCTGCATGCGTCTGTTCCAGAAGTGATTTTTACTTTGCTGCTCAAATATTCCAGTGTTGTTCTGTAAACTATAAAAAATGATTGTCACACAGAGATTCGGAGGCCATCATCCCCAACATCTTTTTCTTCCTGGTGCTCCTTTCATACGAGCGCTACCACTCCAAGCAGATAATCAGCATCCCCAAGATCATCCAGCTGTGTGACGGCATCATGGCGAGCGGCAGGAAAGCTGTCACACATGGTGAGGGGAACTACCGTTATAATGTTTTCTTCTACTTGTCAACACATTTCACTGAAGTTTACTATCCGAATTGATTTATCCAGAGGGAAACTGTGTTTTTAGACAGTTGCTCCATTTTAGATTAAAATAAATAAAAGTGTAATACAAATATTTGTATACACATAAGAAGTTAAACTGTGTAATAAAAATATATTTTAAGAAACCTATACAATTGAGAATTAGTTTAAATACATTTGTAATGCTTTCGTTCCATAAACTGTGCATACACACCTCCTCACAGGACTAACTTTTTTTTCATAAAACAGACATGACTTTAAAGTAATTATATTTGTCTTTCCTTCTTCCTCCACAGCCATCCCAGCCCTGCAGCCAATAGTCCACGACCTGTTTGTGCTGAGGGGCTCCAACAAAGCAGACGCAGGCAAAGAGTTGGAAACACAGAAAGAGGTGGTGGTCTCCATGCTGCTCAGACTGGTGCAACACCATCAGGTACGGTCACGCATGGATTCTAACACGTCATGCTAATGTGAAAAACGTTCCTGACAATCAATTTCAATTTCTCTGCCAAAATGTTATTTGACTTTGTATATTTTTTGTTGTAGGTGTTGGAGATGTTCATCCTCGTGCTGCAGCAGTGTCACAAAGAGAATGAAGACAAGTGGAAGCGATTGTCAAGGCAGATTGCTGACGTCATTCTTCCCATGATTTCTAAGCAGCAGGTATGAAAACGGAAGTTCTAGAAGTCAAAATCAAACCATTGGTGGATGTTGAAAAACAATGTATTGGCATCAAAATGTACTTCATGATTCAATAGTAATACTTAGGGATGTCCCGATCAGCTTTTTTTGCTCCCGATCCGATTCCGATCATTTGATTTTGACAATCTGCCGATACCGATTTTTCCCGATCCGATCTTTATGCAATGCATTAAGAGAAAAAAAAGGTAACAGATAACGGCTGGTCATCCAACGCGATGAATTCAGCTATCTTGGCTGTTATTTTTTTGGCCTTTTCACTGTTCTGGGGCAGTTTCTCTTTCCTTTTTAAAAGTGTCGGTTGTTTCAGTGCCGTTACCTGAGTGGCCGCTGTGTACTCGTCGTGTTGTTGGTGGTGTTTGTATTAGATTGGTCGTGTTGAACGTTGCTCTGTTCTTTCCACCACGCGGAGCCTCCGCCTTGCAAACATTGCATCTGGCTGTTACACTGCCTTCGCTTTCAATTTTATAATACTTCCAAACTCCTGACATTTTCTCTGTCCCGACTCCCGAGTCACCAGCTGAACGTAGCCTCTTGTTAGCTTACTGCTACTATTAGACACTGCGCCCACTCTGTTGCCAGATTTGAGAGAAATAAGCAACCAGGTCTATGAAAACAAGCCCAAAAGAAGCAACACATACATGATGTTGTGTAATTTTAAACCAAAACTAAGGCCTGAGGATGACTTTAAGACGTGAACATGGTCATTTTTGTTTTGTAACATTAAATAAAATAATAAAAATATTTTATAAATCTCCCGATTCCGATCTTTTGAAAATCACGTGATCGGCTCCGATTGTGTGTGCAGAATGTCACTCTTATCAGCAAATGCATACCATAACATTTTTATGTTGTAGTTTGCCAATATTGGCTCCAATTACTTACTGTGTACTATTTAAAAAATACTGGGTAGATTATTAGTACAGTACTGCATCACATCATCTTAGCATATGTGTTTTTATCAATCCAAAGTAGCTAGTATGCAGATGCTGTGGAAGCAACGGCTATTTATTTATTTGATAGTTCATGTTTGTTCTAGTGGTTTTTAAATGTGATGAAGCATGGAATACTTAAAAAAAGTGTTGTCTGTGGTGTTTTAAAACGTGTGTCAAAATGGATGCCTTGTCTTTCTGCTAGAAACCAAATATACCTACTGTACGGTTACAAATAAGTAACCTGAACCTGTAACTTGTTAATCTTTGTTTAATAACTGTAATAGAGTAAAAAGTACAACATTTGCCACCAAAATGTAAAAGTAAATGGAGCATAAATCCGAAATACTGAGCTACAAATATGTCACTTAAGCAAATGTACTTTGTTTCATTACATCACTAATATTTATACAGTGAGATAAAACATTTTGGTGCACACAAATATTATCCCTTGATTTGAAACCTGTATGCTTTGAAATGGTCTGGTGAAAACCTTTCTTGTCATTAGTGAACATTGTCTGTTGTGCCTCCCAGATGCACCTGGACTCTCCGGAGGCGTTGGGGGTGTTGAACACTCTCTTTGAGACGGTGGCCCCCTCCTCTCTCCGACCTGTGGACATGCTGCTCAAGAGTATGTTCACCACCCCGGTTACCATGGTGAGACATCTCTTCTGATATCTACACAAAGCCCTGGATAGACTTTTCGTTTGTCCATCTATGTACCTTAAAACCATGTCTATTTTTTAAGTAAAAGCAAACTTACTGACTTTTTTCTCCTCCAGGCTTCTGTAGGGACGGTGCAGCTGTGGGTGTCGGGGATCCTGGCGGTGCTCCGGGTGCTCGTCTCCCAGTCTACTGAGGACATCGTCCTGTCCCGGGTCCACGAGCTCTCCCTCACCCCTCATCTCCTCTCCTGCCACACGATCCGCCGCCTGCATCAGCAGAGCCCCTCCCCAAGCGACCCCCCCGCTGCCGACACACTCTGCGGCCAGGACGGTGAGGCACAAAAAGCCCTGCCTGAGGAAACCTTCGCCAGGTTAGTGACCGTACACTATCTCATGTTCAACTTCCTGTTTTTATTAGGGAGGCAGACCAAGATGTTAAGAGTGTGTTGAAGAGCTTCCTTTTTAATAAAGCCTACAGTTAGAGCTGGTTTAAGAATACCCTCTGTTTGTCCTACATTTATTTAGTGGAATGCTGTTTGCAGCATTCCACTAAAGTTCTTCGAATCTTTAATCTTCTTCCTCTTATTATTTCAACCAGTACTTTGGCTCTCAATAACAGCATACTTTCAGCTACAGAAACCATTCAAATATCAAACTATTCAGCCTTTTCAGCACATGATGGGGAAACTTTCAACTTTTTCAATATATCTTATACTTACTATACATGTAACTCAATGGGAGGAACCTTCAAATCCTCTTTTAACTACACCGTGCGCCAAATGCTACTCCTTCCACATACTTTCAGCTAGAGACTTCATTCCAACTTTAAAATTATCACAAGACATTCAGCTATTCAAATATTGAGCAATCACAACAGGGCCGGTGAGCGCAGCAAAACACACACTTCCAGTTAGACCTAAGTCTTAGCTATTTTATCTTCCTCTGGAACAAGCTAAACTAGTTATAAATATGTTTATTCTTCACTGTCGGGTCACTCATTACTGGATCAGCGAGCTGCACGAGACGGATACGGACCGGCTGTCAGGAGAGGGGGAGAGGAAAAGAGAGGCTCCGTTTATTTCTCCCGTGTTATTATCCAAAGTCAATGTAAACTTTTGAATAATGTACTTCATCTACTATAAGTGGTTTGTTTGAATGTAATAATGATGTTGTTTGTGGAAGCGCATCATTTATTGAAAAATGAATCTGAACTTTTCGATCTGTTACGATTTATAAACTGAAGCAATATAAAAATGTGCCCCATTAACTGAGTTTTAAACATCAACATATATTACCTGTCATAGTCCGGTAATTACCTGCTAACGGAAACTCTGCTACACAATTCTCATTATTTTTATTGAAACATAACCGGTAAGTTCGAATTTGTCCTGTAAAATAAATTATTTCCGGACATTTGACCGGCAAGAAAAACACCTAGCTGAAACCCTGCTCCATATATCTATTTCTTTTTTTCTTTTCTTTTTTACAGCCACAATTTTGTATCTTTTGTCCGCTTCACATGTCCCCTCTGCCTTCTCCCAGGTTCCTGCTGCAGCTGGTAGGAGTGTTGCTGGATGACATTTCCTCCAGACAGGTTAAAGTGGACATTACGGAGCAGCAGCACACCTTCTACTGCCAGCAGCTGGGCACCCTGCTCATGTGTCTCATACATGTCTTCAAAAGTGGTGAGCTCATATCCTTTTTAACAGTAATTATTGAGGTTTGGTAGATTAATCACTGCATGATATTCTTTGGAAACTGACAGCCCTTTCCCTTTGTCCTTGTTCTTCCCAGGTATGTTCCGCAGGATCACCGCTGCAGCTACCCGCCTCCTAAAGGGTGAGGGTGGGGGTGTGCAGCCTGGAGCAGAGGCTGGCCTGTTTTACCCTTTAGAGGCTCTGAACAGCATGGTGCAGTGGATGATTACCACCCACCCCTCCCTGGTGCTGCTGTGGTGCCAGGTCCTCCTCATCATTGACTACACCAACTACTCGTGGTGGGCAGAGGTGCACCAGACACCCAGGTACAAACAGATCCTGGAAAATTGATGTCAAATGTATTTGTGTAGACCTTTTTAACCATACAAGCTCTTTTCTTTATTCAACTATTTCAATATTAATATATACAGTCAGGGTACAAGAAATCAAATGTATTTGAAGCTGGAGGGCAGAAAGCCTCTAAATAAATAAAAATATATCCATCCTGTGAACACAGATCTTATGGCAAAATAACTACAAACAAAATAAATGTAATACAAGTACTACATTTACTATAACCCTATCAAACCAATTTGAAGGAATAACTAAAAACCCCAACAATCTGTCAGCCACAGCATTTCTAGAATAAAAAACAAACAGACACCAAAACATTTCCTTGCTGCAGTTTTAAAAACAATGCAAATATCAAGCGCAAACTTGGCACATTTGTTTTAATTTTTTATTTGCATCGTTTTTGAAACTACGGGGTTACTGAAAGAAACGGCGATGAACATAAGTTAACTGTTAGATTAATACTGCTAAAAAATGACCTTCCTATGAAAACATGCAGACTGCATGTCAGCAAAACTTCAATTGATAATGCAACAAATCGCCCCAAATCAAATCCAGGTTGGATTTCTCACTGAATATTGTACCAATCTCCCCTGTCTCGATCCTTCTCTCTCAGGAGACAAAGCCTCTCGTGCACAAAGCTGCTGAGCCCTCACTCCTCAGGGGAAGGAGAAGAGGAGAAGCATGAGACCCGGTTAGCCATGGTCAACCGAGAGATCGTCCGAAGGGGAGCGCTCATCCTCTTCTGTGACTACGTGGTGAGAAAATAAACATCAAACAGACAATCGTACACAAATATGTAATCGACAAACCTTTGTTTTAAGTGGAAATTCTTTTTTCTTCTCACGGGACAATAGTGTCAGAACCTCCATGACTCTGAGCATCTGACATGGCTGATCGTCAACCATGTGCAGGACCTCATCAGCCTTTCCCATGAGCCTCCAGTGCAGGATTTCATCAGCGCTGTGCATCGTAACTCAGCTGCCAGCGGGCTCTTCATCCAGGCCATCCAGTCCCGCTGTGACAACCTCAGTGCTGTAAGAGTACACCCTTAAACTCCCCCCGCCCTCTCTATACTTAAAATGACTTGACTAATGATAAAGAACATTTGAAAAGAACCTATATTAAACAAACAAGTCTTGGATTTCTTTCCTCTTTACTCCACAACCTGCTAAGTCTTAAGTCATTTCATTAGTAACCCCCTGTTTTTCTTTTTAGAATTGGAACAAATAAAAAGTGTTTTATTTGTTCCTCCCCTCTTATCTTACTACCCTTTCCCTTTGCTCTCCATCGTCACCCGCCTCTGCCTCCCTTAATGAATCCTGTTGCAGCCTACCATGTTGAAGAAGACTCTGCAGTGTTTGGAAGGCATCCACCTGAGTCAGTCCGGCTCCCTGCTGGTGCTGTACGTGGACAAGCTGCTCAACACGCCCTTCAGGGTTCTGGCTCGCATGGTGGACACACTGGCGTGTCGCAGGGTGGAGATGCTGCTGGCTGAGACACTACAGGTGATGATTGTGGATGCGTTTGCATTTTAGTGTCACAAGGGAGTTTAATAAATTGAAGACTTGATCAATTCTATTAATGTATATGACCGATGAACACGCCAATAGAAATAGATCTCTTTCTATGATGCTTTGGGAGATCTTGTGAATTGATTTCTTAGGAAAGATGTGTGAATCTACAAATGTTGTTCTTGATTTCTCTCAAGTTGATCGTGTGTTGTTGTGTTGTTGTGTCCCTCCACCCTGCAGAACAGTAAAGCTCAGGTGCCTGTGGAGGAGCTCAACAGGATCCAGGAATACCTCCAGACCAGCGGCCTAGCTCAGAGGTAACACCCTTTTGTCTTTTAGGCCAATATGACGAATATTCCAAGCAGTCGGTTGGACATTGACATTTAAAAAAAATGGAACAAACAATAATGTTTGATAAGCAAACAAATCTTGCAATCAAGATTTACAGAACCACAACTTGGAAAGTGCACTCTGCAGAGTACAGATGTCCACCAGGTGTCTCTCTCAACCCTAGTTTGAAAGAATTGCTGCAGACAGACTGACGGACACACGCAAGCGATCCCCGCCTAGCAAAGATAATTACATGAAGACAATGTTTTGCTTGAGTTCAAATGTAAAGTGGGGAAGATGCTGACACTAGATCACAAATATTCAAACTCAAGTACATGCAAGTTTGCCAAATAAAACATTTGTGAACTGCTCTTCATTGAAAAGCCAGCCTTTTAGTGTTTATCTGGATTACCTTTACCCTCAGACTATGGTAATATCTCATCCTCTGCTTTCAGTGGGCTGTTCAGGTTGATGTATATCTGCAGAGAGTGAACTTATCCACAGGACATATTTCTGTCAAATAAATGAAGTTATTGTAACATCTGGATGTCTCTCTTATCGCAGGCATCAGAGGTTCTACTCCCTGCTGGACAGGTTCAGAGCCACTGTTACCGACACCTGCAGCCCCACGCCTCCTGTGACATCACACCCCCTCGACGGAGACCCGCCTCCTGCCCCAGAGCTGGTTAATGCAGATAAGGTGAGGGACTAGATAAGATACGAGTCTGTATTTGATGTTTTTTTTGTGTCCCCTCATCCTGCAAAGTAAAGAAATTAATTATAGAAGGTATAATTATGTTTTTTACATATTCAATTTTGTTTTCAGGAGTGGTACGTGGCTCTAGTGAAGTCTCAGTGTTGTCTCCGTGGAGATGTTTCCCTGTTGGAGACGACAGAACTCCTCACCAAACTGCCTCCCGCTGACCTCTTAAACATCATGAGCTGCAAGGTGACATAGACTACAGTTAAAGAATATCAGACTTCTCAATATATAAATGTTCTTTACCATATTGATCAATTAAAATGTGACTTTATTGCATCTGATCCTGGCCTTTGTTCTACCGCAGGAGTTCAACCTAAGCCTGCTGTGTCCATGCCTGAGTATGGGGATGCAGCGGTGTGCCCGGGGTCAGGGGTCCCTCTTGTTAGAGACAGCCTTGCAGGTGACCCTAGAGCGGCTCGAGGGGGTCACCGGGTCACTTCCTGTCCCGCACCAGTCCTTCCTGCCACCCGCCCAGCCACAGCCCTACTGGAAACAACTAGCTGATGTGTATGGTGAGAGTTAGCATTTGACACGTCTTGGTCAGTTTTTTTTATAGCAAAACTATGCTGCATCATTCTTTTATAGCAGTCGTCCTCAACCACCAATCCATATATCAGTCTGTGTGTCATTTGTTACCGGGCTGTACAGAAAGATTTAATAACAAATATTTTATTGATTATCAGCCTAAAACATTTCTATTTTGAAAATTGACCGGATACATCCGTCTGCGTCTCTTGACAAGACGCTTGTCCCAGTCTTGTGATACTTTACTTAAAAAAAAATGAAGCCTGCAAGCTAGCAACAGGTGGCTTTAAAAGTAGGTATCAGACAACTACTCTGCCAGTGTTGTGGATTCAAATCAAGGCAGAATATCCTGAGATTGCCAAAAACGCACTGAAAACCCTTATTCCATTTCCAACATCCTATCTTTGTGAAGTGGCTTATAAAAATTAGAGAGACAAGTTACACTCTGTTTGCATTTTATACATAGAGTATATTCGATATATCGCCGAGCCTTCCTTCATATTTGTTTTTATGCCAGTCGTATCATTTTCTTTCTTCCTATTTTTCCAACTTGAAGGCCGGTCTGAGAAAATGTTGTCTTACATGAAACCGGTCCATTACGCATACAAGTTTGGGGACCGCTGCAAGCATTGGCCTTGTTTTCAGTTTTAAATATCCTGTGTATATATGTGTCTGTATTTCAGATGAGCCAGGTTTCTACCCCAGGGTTCTGTCGCTGTGCAGAGCGCTGTCCCAGTACCTGCTGAGTGTGAGCCAGCTGCCCTCCTCACTACACATCCCCCCTGACAAGGAACACCTCATCACCTCTTTCACCTGCACTGCTGCAGAGGTAAAACGCCACATTTAAGAACGTCATTTTTCATGTAACTTGTTTGTTTGATTCTTGCTTCCAAATATATACAAAAGCATACATTTGAGGAAAGCTTTATTTCTCTTTAGGTAGATTTCCAGGCTTCAGTCTAAATCAGTGGTCACCAACCTTTTTAAGCCCAAGATCCCCGACCTCGGCCGAGGTGAAAGGCGAGATCTACCTATTGCAGAATTGAGTGAAAAAGACGGCCCAGACAGTGCTTCCAATTTGAGGCCTTTTATATAGGCTGCATCTGAATTACTGTTACAATGAAGGCTCGATAATCAACTCACGGCATATAGGCAGGGGTAAAGTGCTCTTTTTTTATGAGTGGGGGGCTCACCTCCTCTAGGGGGTCCGGGGGGATGCTCCCCCGGGAATATATTTTTTTAAATATTGAAGTTAAAAGCATCAATCTGGTGCACTTTGAGAGCAACATGAAGAGATCTATGGATACATCTCTCAACACCCATATGAAGCAGAACTGTAAACAGATTTTATTTTTCTTTATGGATATTTTACAAATCACTCTCCTTTTAAACTGTATTCTTGTTTTACTGTCATATAGTATTTCATAACTGTTTTTCATTTTTTTCTCTTATTGTTTGTATAACTATAATGATCATATGAAGGTGTGCCGCGGAAATAATCTTTTGAATAATTTGTGACAAAACCGTTTGAGACCCACTGAGATAACTTAGACTAAAGTGAACTATATCTAAACACTCAGAGAGTCCTTTAGCTCACCTGAGTCTCTCAGTCTGAGAGGAGAGGACTCTCCTCCAGCTTCTTGTGGAACAAACAGCTCCTTATGTCCGTCAGTGCAGCTAGCTAACCAGATGCTAACAACACGGTCCCCGCTGGCACCGGTCCCTCTCTCTCTCTCTCTCCCTCTCCCTCTCTCTCACACTAAATGCGCTATTGCCACACACGCACAGCCGAGCTTGAATGACACAAGCACACGTGTATTTCCATGCCACTCTGATTGGTCTGGTTTACATCTAAAAACGTATTTTTCAAACATTATTATTTTTATTTTATTTTTATTTCTTTTGTTACTTTTTTTTTTAACGGTCCGCGATCTACCCGCACCACACTCGCGATCGACTGGTTGGCGACCACTGGTCTAAATCATACAATAGTGGTAACTGAGTTTCTAATGTAATTGAGACCCATCATTTCATTCTTATTGTTCAATTTAAATCCTTATGTTAGATAGCTCAACACAAACTGCACAAAAGATGACACAATATACAAGTCTCTCTCTCCAGGTGTATTCCTTATTACTTAAGAAAATGACAAAATTGCAAGTATGAAAGGCCTTTCTGCAAACTTTACAAAAGCTAATAAACACTGTGTTTACTGAAAACATGGCCTCATTTTTGGTTAAAGATCTTGTTGGTTACATAAAATTCAAAAAGATATTGATTTCTTTTTTCTTCCACAAACATTTAGTGATTTAGTTCATTAGCTGGTGTTATGCCCCCATCTAGGTGGGCATGAGCAAAACATAAAAGTTAAAGGGGCCCTATCATGCTTTTAGAGTTTTCCCCTTTCTGTAGTGTGTTATATAGGCCCAATCCCAAGCCACGCCCTACACCCTACCCCTACACACTACCCCTCCGTTCGCACGGAGGGTCTGGCACATTAAGTGCTGTTCCAAACCAAGTGTGGAGGGGAGTGGGCTATCAAGCCCTCAAACAGCGAGTCTGCATCGGTCCTGACTTCACCTGCTGCACTACCTGACCGGTCTCAACGCTGTGTGTGTCCGTCAGGAAACACGCTGTTTACAAACAGTTCCAGCAAACATCCACTGATAAACTGCGATGTTAACAACCTCATGATGACCTCATATGTTTTTAAGATAAGATGGACCTTTATTAATCCCCGTGGGGAAATTCAGTTGTACAAAGCAGCAACAGGGTAAGCGTGAAAAAACAGGACAGCAAAGATTCACACAGATTAATAAAAGAAAATCAAGAAAAGAACAAATTAAAATAATAATGATAATAATAAAAGACTTGGTGCGTTGTCGTGGAGGGATGAGTCTGTGGCTGAACGTACTCCTCATCTTCACTAGCTCTACATGGAGTGGGTGAGAGGGGTTCTCTAGGATGCTGTCGAGCTTCCTCCTCGTCCTCCCCTCTGCCACTCCCTCCAGATTGTCCAGTTGTACTCCAACTACAGAGCTAGCCTTCCTCACGAGCTTGTTCAGCCTGCCAGTGTCCCTAGTGTTTGTGTTTCCCCCCCAGCACACCACGGCAAAGAAGAGCACACTGGCCACCACAGACAGGTAGAACATCTGCAGCAGCCTCGTGCACACGTTGAAGGACCTGAGCCTCCTCAGGAAGAACAGCTTGCTCTGTCCCTTCCTGAAGAGAGCATCAGTGTTGTCTGTCCAGTCCAGTTTATTGTTTAAGTGCACTCCCAGGAACTTGTAGCTGTTCACCACCTCCACATCCTTCCCCCTGATGGTGATGGGGGTCAGAGGCCTCTTCCTGCTCCTCCTGAAGTCCAAGTTTTAACTTAGGATCATACCTGTGTTTAGTCTAGAAAAAGGCAAATGTGTACATTTTATTATAAAGTTCTGTATATTTACAGACTGTTGCAAAAACTAAGAAGCTTATAAAAATCAGGTTTAAAACTAAAAGAGCTTTACAAAAAAGTAACACTTTTTTTATTTGAGTTATTATTTTAATTTTTTTGTCAAAGAGATGCTGATTTGAAACCGTTGTTACATACAGTTACGGCATTTCCTGTTTCTGCCGGAGAGAGGGGAGTTTGTCCCAAAGCTTACCGCTGTATTTACTCCCTCCATCTGACAGGAGGGAGCCTCGTTGAGCTGAGAGTGTCACTCCACGGAGTTCACTCTGTCACGGAGGGGTAGTGTGTAGGGCGTGGTTTGGGATTGGGCCATAGGTTTTTGTTCATGTAAAGGCTAAAATCCCAAAGTGTCCTCCAGAGGGAGTTTCTCTCCCACACACAGAGTAGTCCATTTCCCCAAAAGTGCTGTCTAACCTTTAGGGAAATAAATAAACAAACAAAGACCTTTACCAAAACTGACTAGTTACTTAAGTTAAGTTTGAGCAGCTGACATATAATATATATTGTTACTTTAAGGATAATAGAGCAAATTTGCTTCTTTCGAGGTATGCAAGTTATGCCTCTATCTCTTTTTAGAAGTTATATTCTGTCTAAACACACTCTTCTTCCCTCCTTGTACGTCTCTGTCTCCGCCCAGGTGGTGGCGTGGCGTCTGCTCCAGAACCAGCTGCCCCTCAGTGTGGACCTGCAGTGGGCTCTGTCCTGCCTGTGCCTGGCCCTGCAGCAGCCCTGCGTCTGGAACAAACTCTCAACTGCGGAGTACGCCACGCACACCTGCTCCCTCATCTACTCTCTACGCCTCATCATCGTTGCAGGTAAGCCGGGCCTCCAGTACAGTTTGTGCATTCCCTTGTAACGGTTTGACATAAGTTGCTGGGGTGCCACTCATAAAGAAATCATAAACCACTTCTCTTTAAATGCAACAAAACATTTATATAGAAATGTTGATAATCAGTTGATCACTAGTGTGTGAATGTTTAAATGAATCTAAGTTTCCCAGCAACAACACAATGGAGTCTGATCACAAACAAAAACAATAATTCACATTTCTTTCAGTTAAACAAAAAAAAAAAAACTTCATTCCAAACAAATTGCATGTTTGTTTCTAAGAGGAAAAAAAACATCATTAACATAAACATTAAATCTACAATTGTAAGTACAGTTAAACGTACGATATTAACGTACTACTAAAATTAAATGTTTACAAAACTACGGTGTAATTATATAATACGTGTCCTGATGCTGCGGTACCGCCTGCCAGACGGCAGCAGAGAGAACAGTTTGTGGCTGGGGTGATGGGGGTCTTTTATAATCATGAGGGATTTCTTCCTGAGCCGCTGGGAGTAAAGGTCCTCCATGGATGGCAGCTCCGTCCTGGTGATGTTCTGTGCAGTTTTCACCACCCTCTGTAAAGCCTTACGATTGAGGGCGGTGCAGCTGCCGTACCAGGCCGTGATGCAGCCAGTCAGGATACTCTCTATGGTGCACCTGTAGAAGGTCAGGATCCTCTCTATGGTGCACCTGTAGGAGGTCAGGATCCTCTCTATGGTGCACCTGTAGGAGGTCAGGATCCTCTCTATGGTGCACCTGTAGAAGGTCAGGATCCTCTCTATGGTGCACCTGTAGAAGGTCAGGATCCTCTCTATGGTGCACCTGTAGAAGGTCAGGATCCTCTCTATGGTGCACCTGTAGAAGGTCAGGATCCTCTCTATGGTGCACCTGTAGAAGGTCAGGATACTCTCTATGGTGCACCTGTAGAAGGTCAGGATGCTCTCTATGGTGCACCTGTAGAAGGTCAGGATCCTCTCTATGGTGCACCTGTAGAAGGTCAGGATCCTCTCTATGGTGCACCTGTAGAAGGTCAGGATCCTCTCTATGGTGCACCTGTAGAAGGTCAGGATCCTCTCTATGGTGCACCTGTAGAAGGTCAGGATCCTCTCTATGGTGCACCTGTAGAAGGTCAGGATGCTCTCTATGGTGCACCTGTAGAAGGTCAGGATCCTCGCTATGGTGCACCTGTAGAAGGTCAGGATCCTCTCTATGGTGCACCTGTAGAAGGTCAGGATGCTCTCTATGGTGCACCTGTAGAAGGTCAGGATGCTCTCTATGGTGCACCTGTAGAAGGTCAGGATCCTCTCTATGGTGCACCTGTAGGAGGTCAGGATGCTCTCTATGGTGCACCTGTAGAAGGTCAGGATCCTCTCTATGGTGCACCTGTAGAAGGTCAGGATCCTCTCTATGGTGCACCTGTAGAAGGTCAGGATGCTCTCTATGGTGCACCTGTAGGAGGTCAGGATCCTCTCTATGGTGCACCTGTAGGAGGTCAGGATCCTCTCTATGGTGCACCTGTAGAAGGTCAGGATCCTCTCTATGGTGCACCTGTAGAAGGTCAGGATGCTCTCTATGGTGCACCTGTAGAAGGTCAGGATCCTCTCTATGGTGCACCTGTAGGAGGTCAGGATCCTCTCTATGGTGCACCTGTAGAAGGTCAGGATCCTCTCTATGGTGCACCTGTAGAAGGTCAGGATGCTCTCTATGGTGCACCTGTAGAAGGTCAGGATCCTCTCTATGGTGCACCTGTAGAAGGTCAGGATGCTCTCTATGGTGCACCTGTAGAAGGTCAGGATCCTCTCTATGGTGCACCTGTAGGAGGTCAGGATCCTCTCTATGGTGCACCTGTAGAAGGTCAGGATCCTCTCTATGGTGCACCTGTAGAAGGTCAGGATCCTGTAGTCCATGTTGAACCTCCTCAGCCTGCGGAGGAAGAAGAGCCGCTGTCGAGCTCTTTTGGTGATGGTGTTTGTGTGAAGAGTCCATGTCAGGTCCTCAGTGATGTGGACACCGAGGAACCTGAAGCTGCTGACTCTCTCCATAGTAGTCCTGTTGATGGCGATGGGGGCGTGTCCCTCTCTCTGCTGCTTCCTGTAGTCCACAATCATTGGTTTTGCTGACATTGAGATGGAGGTTGTTATCCTGGCACCAAGATATCAGGTTTTCGACCTCCTCTCTGTACGTCGTCTCGATGCCGTCGGTGATCAGGCCGATGACAGTCGTGTCGTCTGCAAACTTTGCGATGGTGTGTGGACAGGGAGTAGAGGAGAGGGCTGAGCACGCAGCCTTGAGGGGCGATGGTGTTGAGGATCAGGGTGGAGGATGTGATGTTTCCCACCCGCACTGCCTGGGGTCTGCCCGTCAGGAAGTTCAGGATCCAATCACAGAGGGCGCTGCTGAACCCAAGGTCTCTGAGCTTGATGACTAGCTTGGAGGGCACAATGGTGTTGAACGCTGAACTTTAGTCCATAGGCGCTTTCACACCGGAGTACTTTTCCCAGGAATAGTTCCGATAGTTCCTGGGACTTTGCGTTCACACCAAAAGGATCTGGAACTAAAACTTTTTTTCGGGAACCTTTTCACCCCTTTTCAGTCCCTGCTACAGAGGTGGTACTTTCCTGGGGAGGAAAAGGTTCCAATTTCTGATTGGTTGTGCGAATTGCAAACCACGCCCTGTAAAACTCAGAAAAGTTTTCGCATTAGCATTAGCCCAGCGCACCAACGGAGAGAGACTAACTTATGGCAACACAAAATAAAACGTGGGAGTGATGAAGAGGTGTCGGCGCTTCTGGCGATTTACCCAGGACTTCGGGTGGCAGTATACGCCGTGAAGTTGTTTGCGGCCTGCCAGTTACATTACACCAGTGCAAATAGCCCCATGTGAAACGCCTATTATATATAATATAAATATTGTAGGCCATGAGTGACTTAAGACTCTGCATTTCTGATTGTCATTTCAATAACGGTCTAACGGTTTGTCTCGCCTTTCTAGTTGCTGTGAGTCCTGGTGACCAGCTTCTGCATCCGGAGAAGAAGAAGACGAGGGCAGAGAGAGACGCCGAAGGAGACGAGGTGGACACGGCACATGCTGACCGTAAGTGCTCTCTTGGAGAGTCAGTAAAACTTCTGGGTTGTTTCATGTGATTTGGGATTTAAGGGCTTTGCTTTGCCACTCTATTGAAAGGAATGTCCTCTGACCTACAAGGGGAATTTGCCATCATATATCTCTAAAAGCTTTCACCTGTATGTTGCAGACATTTGCGAGTGGCAAGCATGCGAGATCATGGCGGAGCTGGTGGAAGGCCTGCAGAGCATCCTTTCCCTGGGTCACCATAGAAACAGTGCATTTCCCGCTTTCCTCACACCAACCCTGCGCAACATTGTCATCAGTCTATCCCGGCTGCCTCTGGTCAACAGCTACACCCGAGTACCTCCACTGGTCAGTGTGTGTAGGATATAATGCATAGAGTTTGTACAAATGGATGGATTTGTATATTTAAATGTTGTGTTTGTGTGTAGGTTTGGAAACTGGGCTGGTCCCCTCAGCCAGGAGGAGAGTACGGCACCACGCTGCCTGAGATCCCTGTGGACTTCCTGCAGGAAAAGGATGTCTTCAGAGAGTTCCTCTACCGCATCAACACACTGGGTACAGTCATGAAACATGCTGTCCCTTTAAAGTCTTATTTACGTTTATAAAATAAATGATGTTGTCTACTAGGGCTGTCAACAAGGATTTTAAATCTGAGTATTTATGTGTGAATTGCACGTGCTGGGGTGTGTGGTTAAAGATGTTTGAATAAATAAAATATAAATGATACTACTACACCGTCCATTTAGGACATTCATGGACCTAATGCGTAAAACTGTTTATTTGAACGGTTGCAACATATGTTTTTTTATTTATTAGGAATATGTTTTAATTACTTCTGGCCATTTTCACAGCCCTATTGTCTCTTACCCATTTTTGCAAGTCTAGAATATTATGGCGCTGGAAACGTTCTGCATTTTGGGCTTCATGTAAATTGTTCTGTTATACCTTCAAGGCTGGAGCAGCAGGACTCAGTTTGAGGAGACCTGGGCCACACTGCTGGGGGTGCTGGTCACCCAACCCATCACTATGGACCAGGAGGAGGAGACGCAGCAGGAGGTAAACACACACACTCAAGAATATTCTTTATATCCTTAAACGTGCTGCTGGTTAGTGAATCTGATATGTCTACAGAACCCCATCAATCCTATAACTCAGAGATCACCAATCTTTTTGAGACTGTGAGCTACCTGAAAGATAACAAGATAAGTTCCGCCACCCACTGGACATAAGTGGGAGACGCTTCCAAGTCACCTAGCATTTAGGGCAGCGAAAGCCAAAGCATTTTAGTAATGTCTGGAAAAGACAATGTCCTCCGGAACGACTCCAAATATTACCATAAGAGGAGAAGGGGTAATTTTGATCTCATAAAATGTATCAAATGTAGACATCCAATAATTCCGAAGATTTGGACATCATGCCTTTGTGTAAAGTCAGTGTGTGAGCCGTGAAGACATACTCATGCTTTGTGTATTTAATTACACCATAGCTATTTTTGTTTTTCCCATCCTTCTCAATGTTTTGTTCCTCCTCTTTGTCTCTAGGAGGACTTGGAGCGAACCCAGTTGAATGTGTTGGCAGTGCAGGCCATCACCAGCCTGGTGCTGAGTGCCATGACCCTGCCCACTGCTGGCAACCCTGCAGTCAGCTGTCTGGAACAGCAGCCCCGCAACAAGAGCCTCAAAGCCCTGGAAACACGGTGCGCTTACACAATCACACTTGATTTACATTAGATAAAATCATTTATGTTTCTACAGGACATTATTAGGAAATGTATAATCATTCATAATAATAACACAATATATTATTTTAGCCAAACAAATATCAGTATAATAATAAAAAATAATACACAATATTAATCACAATAACACTGTGTGTGTGTGCCCAGGTTTGGAAGGAAACTGGCAGTGATCAGAGGCGAGGTGGAGAGAGAGATTCAGTCTCTTGTGTCGAAGAGAGACAACGTCCACACACACCACCCGTACCACGCCTGGGACCCTGTGCCCTCGCTGTCGGCAGCCTCCGCTGGTAACACATCCACAAAGCCTCTCACCAGGCCTACAGCTGCTGCCCTCACACCTCCAAACTCTAATTTATTGTTTTATTTTTTATTTTTAGCAGGCACACTGATCAGCCATGAGAAGCTGCTGCTTCAGATCAACACAGAGAGGGAGATGGGAAATATGGACTACAAACTAGGACAGGTATGTGATGCATGAAAACAGGAAGTGGTGGATTAAATGAACTGGGGCGGGGCTAAATGGAGTTTATTCAATATCCTGTTTTTTTTTTTTACCAAATACCTCAATATCGATGTTGTTAAGATGACTATGTGCTTTAAAATATATAGACAATGAGATTTTTGATAAATAATCATGAGTAATGTAGATATAATGACTTGGTGGCTAAAGACAAATAATAAGCATTAGAAAGTCACGCCTTTATTATAATGCAGTCTTTAAAACCAGGAAAAGACAACCATTATGTCATGTTCTGATACTACGATATCCAAAATCTTTGACGATATCTCATCACAATATTGATATATGAATGCCCAGCCCTACGAGGAACAGTGTGTTTTGGTTTAGGTTCTAGATTTTAAGAGATTTTCATTACCACAATGAAAACAATTTTCCTTCGCCCTCTAGGTCTCCATCCACTCAGTGTGGCTAGGTAACAACATCACCCCACTGAGAGAGGAAGAATGGGGGGAGGATGAAGAAGATGAAGCAGACACTCCAGCCCCCACCTCCCCGCCCACATCTCCTATCAACTCCAGGTCTGTCAAACAAGATGTTCACCACACACACATGCACTGAAACGGGAATAGCTAACATGACTTACCGCTGTATTTACTGCTTTCAGGAAGCACCGTGCAGGAGTGGACATTCATTCATGTTCCCAGTTCCTCCTGGAGCTCTACAGTCAGTGGCTGATCCCCGGCTCCCCGAGCAACAGGAGGACCCCGACCATCCTCATCAGTGAGGTGGTCCGATCGGTGAGCTACCATGCACCATTCTCACTTCAACCAGACATCAGTTAATACTAGTCAAGAGAGTTTTCCTATATCTGTTTACAGTTTTAAAGTTATTCTTAACATGGCATTAGAAACCTTGAAATAATCCAAAGAGCGTATACTCTTCTCCTCTCTGTAAGGAAGGAGAGATTAACAAAGTGTTTTCAGGAATGGGAAATGAAATCCACTATTTATAGTATCTTGCCCACTTCTGATCACTCTCCTGTTCTTATGTTCCCGACTTTAAAACTTGTGTTGTAGTTAGGGTTAGCTCATTCGTTCTCCAATGTGGCATCAGAACATCTAGGGTTCAGCCATCAGAACTAAATGGCACAATGGCCGCATTGTTTTTATTGGTCTGCTTTGTCACTGGAATAAAAAAAATCATTCATCTTTTTCATTTGTGTGGACATCTTTCCCCTCCATGCCCTTATAAATGCATGATCAATTGGTTTTTCCTGTATATTATTGAATTAATGAATGAAAATGAAATGCTTTTACACAGGCCTTTTCATTAAAGCTATGGGTAATAACAGAGTGAAATTTAACCCGTAACACTGCTCTCACCCTCTCACTGTCTTCCTCCTGTTGTTCTCTGTAGCTGCTGGCGGTGTCGGACCTGTTCACAGAGAGGAACCAGTTCGACATGATGTTCTCCACCCTGATGGAACTGCAGAAGCTCCACCCCCCAGAGGACGAGATCCTCAACCAATACCTGGTGCCTGCCATCTGCAAGGCTGCCGCCGTCCTGGGAATGGTGAGTACAGCTTAGTGTGGTCGGAAGGATGTGATAAGATGCGGGAGTTTGTCAATAATCCTACATTACACAGTGTCTGAACACTCTAAAATGTACATCTGTAGGACAAAGCAATAGCGGAGCCCGTGTGCCGCCTGTTGGAGACCACCCTGCGCAGCACCCACCTGCCCAGCCGCATGGGGGCTCTGCATGGGGTGCTGTACGTGTTGGAGTGTGACCTGCTGGACGACACGGCCAAACAGCTCATTCCCACCATCTCCGAGTACCTGCTGTCCAACCTGCGGGCCATCGCTCAGTGAGTACCGCTCTCATTCACAATGTGACAGGAAATCATTCCTGTCAACAGCTACAACCTTATACATCGCCTCACCTGTTGCTAGCAGAGAACTCACAGCTTCATAGTTTCTTAATTGTTTTTTTTAACAGGACTTAACTCTGTTCGTCACTTTTTTATAACCCTAATTTATTTGTATATATATAAATATATATATATATATAAATCTCTTTCTACTCTTGATATCCATATATTTACTTTTTATTTTATATTCTAAATTCATCTTTAATTCCTTTTCCACATGCTGCTCACAAGACAATTTCCAAATTCGGGACCAATACAAAAAATCGAATCCAAATAAAAATGCAAGAATGGAGTGCAACATTTAGCCACTGGGTGCTGCCCTATACATTTCAAACCAACACTCTACTGGTCTTTCTGTTTTATTTCAATCTTAATTTTGTTCCACCATCTCTGTTTGTCTGTATCCTCTCTCTGTGTGCTGTAGCTGTGTGAACCTGCACAACCAGCAGCATGTGTTGGTGATGTGCGCCGTGGCCTTCTACATGATGGAGAACTACCCTCTGGACGTAGGGGCTGAGTTTATGGCTGGCATTATACAGGTAAACATTCTGTCTGTATATGTTTGAAGTCACGTAAACTTCACTAGTTGTCATCATTAAAGAAAGGGACACAAATAAAATCTTTAAATGAATAAAATACTTTGAGTTGATTTGCTGTTGTATATCTTTGGCATTGTAGTAATGCCCTAATCTAGGTTAATAGAAGCACTACATCAAAGATAGGAACGTTTATTTTCTCCAGGTTCCCAAAACAAAGCCCGGCCCGTGATTTGCAATTTAGAGGAAAACAATTTATGGCACCATTGGTTTGTAGCTATATATTGTGTTTGAATTGAATCCATTTAACTCGGGGGGGGAAACCAAGGACAAAACAACAAACAGAATCATTGATTTTTCCAAAAGTGCTGTCTAACCCTAAGGGAAACAAACAAACAAAAATACATTAAATGATTTGCGGCTCACTAGGATGAAGGAGAAAAGGGTACAAAGAAAATGGAAAGGCGCTATATAAATATAGATGAAGTCCATTTATCTCTCTCACAGCAACCACTAAAACAGAATATATACAAGACGCATTTCAAAATACTACCAAGGATTTATTTCCTGCCTCTGGCTTCCAGGTGTGTGGTGTGATGGTGTCGGCCAGCGAGGACTCCACCCCCTCCGTCATCTACCACTGTGTGCTGCGGGGCCTGGAGCGCCTGCTGCTGTCGGAGCAGCTGTCCCGCGTGGACGGAGAAGCGCTGGTCAAACTCAGCGTGGATCGAGTCAACATGCCGTCGCCACACAGAGCCATGGCTGCCCTGGGCCTCATGCTCACCTGCATGTACACCGGTAAGAAAAGCTCTCCAAAGACTGACTGTCCACAAACGTAATGTAGCATTCTGGCTTCATCGGCAGCATGTACTGTAATGAGGACTGGTGTTTCCATTACTGCTATAACTGACTTTCTCAATTCACTGAAAATTCACTATTGGATTGAGCTAGCTGGTCTACCCACCTCCACGGGCACTCTTAATACGTTCATCAACACTTAACCTAGCATTGTAATTACTACATACACTTAAAGCTCTGCAAACTAATGCTAAGCTTAAGCTAATGTCAGTACTGATTAAGCTTTAGTAAGGATGTGTCCCATTAATTTCCTGTGACTTACCCTAGACCCCTCCCTTTCTAATATTGATGACTGTTTTTTGCCACAAAATCGGAAGTTAGCATAGCAAGGGCTACTTTCAATGTGATGTCAAAATATTGTTTACGATACTTACACGTTTTGTTCAGCAGGATAATCTTCATGTATTAACACACTTTTATGATTAAGGAAGCATAAATGCAGTTGCCAGTTAATAAGTATAACATAAGGCTATAAATGAACTGCATCACAAACTGCACATCGCCACGTCTAAGCTCAAGGTGGCTAATGTTCAGCGCGATAACGTTTAGTAGTCTCATTTAGTCACTTAGTTGCAACCGCCGTTTTTGACATGTAGAAGCTTCTACATTCACCAGTAGGGTGATTACAGACCTTTTCTAATGCCTTCGAACAAGACTTGAAAATCTCATAAGCTTGGGTTAACCCCAGACCTTATTTCGGAAATCCAACCAAAATCGAATTCAAATATAAAAACACTTTATTTAGTAGTAAAATGTAGTGCAAGTTTATTTATATAGCACCTTTCAACACAAGGCAATTCAAAGTGCTTTACAAAAATGAAAGACATTAAGAAACATATTATAAAATGATATCTAGAAACACTAATTTAAAAGCAAAAGCAAAGATAATAAAAGTTACAGTGCAGTTTAAGATGTGTAGCGTAATTTTCATAAAACAATTTGGGAAACTCAAAACTGAATTTTCTAAATGAAGAGATTTCCTGCTTAACTTTGGGTTTTGGACTGACAATTAAGACATTTAAAGACATCACCTTGGACGTACAGAAACTACAATTGACATGTTTCACAATTGTTTGACATTTTATATATTTAGAAATCTAGAAAATCATCTGGAGATGAATTGATAATAAAATAAGTCATAGTAGCAGCCCTTAATCTACACCAATTCCCACCTTGGCTTCTGCTGGTGTGTCCCTCACTGGAGGAGCTTCTTTCATAGCTGAGGGTGACACTAAAAGAAATTGGGACCTTTTATGAAGCAGAACTTGGGCAATATTGCTGCCTCTTATTCTACTGAAATACTAACTCACCAGCTTATGTCTGATTGTGCATGCCCCCATGCATTAAGCTCACAGTACATATATCATTACAATAGTTTACATATGTGCCCTCTACCAATAGTAGTGATTTAAATAAATAAAATCTCTGTTTACTGCTTAACGGACCTTTTTTTTTTTTTTTTTAAAGCTCCAAATAACCTTTTATTGATGCCTGTGTGACGCTGCTTGCTTCCTGCATGTGATACAAGTGTTCTGTATATGCCTCTGATATACCATACCTCTAACCCCTACGTCGTCCCTTACTAACTCCAGCAGCTCTTAGCATACAGTATTGTTAGCCACCCTTCTTTGTTGCCCAGGGCCAGCCAGCAAATCCTTTACAGTATGTAAACCCCGACTCTTGAAAATGTGAAGTGATTTATACTTTAGGTATACCTCTCTTAATGTGCATAACAGCAAAGAAAGCTGAAGCACAATCAGGTCAGAAGAGAGGATAATCTACTGTAGTATGTAATGTACCCAGGAAACATGGCATACAACATCTCTCCTAATACTTTAAGCACCAGCCTCTCACAGAAAACCTTCTTAAGTGCCTGTGTCCACATACTGCCTTTTTCAAATTGCCAGCGTCTTTTTTCAATTGTTCCTAAGGAGGAGAGAGCACATCCTGTCAATTGCGGCGTAAGAGCGCGGCACCCAGCAACTTTTTTTTTTAGCACTCCGATGTTTTTGTGTGGCTGCTCCAAGCGCTATTAATTTCTGGAAAGCATCAGAGATGTAAGAATTGGAGGAAAAGCTCGTTTTTGATCATAACAAGGATTGAGAGGCTCATTTGTTGTAGCAGATCAATTGGGAGGACACTGGATGTTGCTGTGAATAAACTGTTGTTCCTTTTTAACGCGTACGCAGATGGTCCTCCTGGCTCTACAGCTGTCAGATTGAGTGGTAAAACTCATTCATGTGAGAGCAAGCAGCATCTTGTTGGTTTTAATGGTGAAAAACAATGCCACACATATATGAAGTAGCCCAAACGGATCATAAAAACAAAGGGGGCGCTGCTAGTTTATCAAGCGTCAGCGTCGGTACATTGTCGAGATATCGTTGTCAACTTTTGGATGAAACGCTGGGAGGGGGCTCACAGAAAAAAAAAAAGGCACTATGTGGACACAGGCCCTAAAAGGGATTTACTGAAGGTAGCTCCCAGAATTTCATCAATTTCGTCTAAATTCTGATCTGAATCTTGTGATATCAGTGTCCCGCTCTAACCTGTCCCCCACTGGTCCAACCGGCCCCCCCTCCTCCCCCTCTCGCCCTCTCAGCGGTGCTTGCGTCGGGTTCAGACGTGACAGGGGTTAGAGGTCAGGTTGACTGTGCCTCAGCAGAGGCGATGGGCGTCACGGCGGGTCATGTTGGTTTCTCCTCAGGCAAGGAGAAAGCCAGCCCTGCCAGTCGCCCCGCCCACTCTGACCCTCAGGCCCCGGACAGCGAGTCCATCATTGTTGCCATGGAGAGGGTCTCTGTGCTCTTTGACAGGTACACACACACTCTCACACCCTCCATTATACAAGAAATGCTCAGTTTTATTCATAAAAAAATGTGGTTTATTGCCATACAAGGAAGGTTTATTACACATACATGGAATTTGCTTAAGTGATTAATGGTGGATACATAAACACAGTAAGAGGCATTGAGTTGTAAAAAAAGGAGCAAATGTAGAACTATTTGAAAAAAACTATTGTCAAATGTAATAAATAAAAATAAATGTTTACAAGAAATATTACAAAAAAGTACAATTACAATATGGGAAATAACTCATATGAGGTACTTATTGATAGTCAGTTTATTACTTACAGTAGATTTAGGTTAACAAGCCCTACATTTGGAGAAACAGACAGAAATACTAATGTTTATATTAGCCACCAAAAAAAAGTAATATTAGTTTAAGTGTATGTTAAGGATATTGTCACCACTTCACCTTGCTGTCAGCCCATTCTGACGGTGAAATGGAAGCTGCTTTCTATGCTCTCTTCAAGCCCATGTCTTTAGAACATCCAGGATGACTGAGTCCAATTTTACCAGGGACAAAATGTGTGTTTCTGATCTGCATTGCCTCGATTGGTTGGGTATTTTGTGCTGTTGGGTGACTTTGGTGGTACGGATAAGTACCTTTTACAATCTGTCCACTATCCAAACTATCCATTTAAATGTGCATCCTTCTCCGTTCATCTTTGACCTCAATGGGTTTGTGGCGTCTAAATATGATGCTGGCTGCTACTCTCGTTTTGATTATCACATAATTGTCTCCCCTGGGGTTTCCCGTTTGCAGGATCCGGAAAGGTTTACCCAGCGAGGCTCGGGTCGTGGCCAGGATCCTTCCCCAGTTTCTGGACGATTTCTTCCCCCCACAGGACGTCATGAACAAGGTCATCGGAGAGTTCCTGTCCAATCAGCAACCTTACCCACAATTCATGGCCACTGTCGTCTACAAGGTCAGCAGCGGAACAGTCACTCTACACAGAACATGAGGCTCACAAGGCCAACTGGAAACTCCTTTGTTAAATCAAATTCCTCTTCAAGGAGACTTGCAGAAAATTTCAATGAAGTCCAGTCTCAATAAAGTTGTTACTTAGTTACCCTGTTTTGACTGTAGCTAGCTCTTTTGTTGTGCAATCAGACAATATGTTGTCAAGGCAACATCAAGCTAAAGCTAACACGGTGGGTTCCAGTTGTTGTCTTGAGATTTAAAACCAAGAATGAATACACTGCAGTCAGTATTTGGATTAAGAAGGCAGCATTCAGCCTTGTATTGATATAGAACACTGATTTGAAAACCATTTTTAGTGGGTGATTTCCTTTTTTATTGCCACAAATTATTTACCAACCATAGTTAAAAGCTGCTTTTGTAATACTTGTTTTTTTTATATTTTGACTAATGTAATCTTTCAAAAAATAATTTAAAGCCATCTATTTGTCTAATTCCTCTTCTTGTCCCCCCCCCCCCCCCCCCCCCCCCCCAGGTGTTCCAGACCCTCCACGCCACAGGACAGTCCTCTATGGTGAGAGACTGGGTGCTGCTGTCCCTGTCTAACTTCACCCAGAGGACGCCGGTGGCCATGGCGATGTGGAGCCTCTCCTGTTTCTTCGTCTCCGCCTCCACCTCCCAGTGGATCTCTGCCCTGTATCCTTACATGACACGAGTCACATCAGCAGGACAGTACTTTGCTTTGTTGTATCTCCCATGGACGGGCATTTCAAGCAAAAGCACTATGCAACAGTCACAAGGAACTATACTTACACACACTTTCACTAGGCTCCCCAAGTGCATAGTTTTAGTTTTAGTCAGCGATGTGCTAGCTTTACCTGTTCCAGTTCCACACAGAATGTCTTGACAGCTGTAGTAGTTTCTGCTGTTTGAACAGTGCGCACCTAGACCATCTCACAGCACCGTAGCAAATTCTCTAATGCCTTCTGTGCGCAAAACAACCGTGCTAGATGAGATAGTTTCACAGGTAGGCTATTATCAAGCACTAGGGCATTCAATTGCATTGGAGCTGGAATTTCGCTGCTCTACACAAGTTCAACATTTCATCAAATTTATCTCAAATGTCGTCGCACTCAACTCAATTTGAGCAACATTTTTGAGTGTTGTCAGTCGCATTCTTGTGACTGCAATACCTCATGTATGCCATTAAGGGCATTTGGCACAAATGTCTACTCGTACTCGCACATTAACTCATTTGATTTTGATGATCAGACTCAAGGTGACTGTGACCTAAAAAAAAAAAAGAGAAGAAGTTTGTGGCCATTACTCAAGAATTCATGCTTATTATGTCAATTCCACTCAAAGGTCTAATGAGATAAATACATTATTTGTACGTCTTTTATTAAACAAGGACCATGCATATTACATGAATCACAAAAGAGAAGAGATTATCTTTGTGAGATTTAGCCATTTGCTCATTACCATCTGCACTCCCTCGGCAGGTACATAACAAATGCAAAAAAATAAAGAATTCCCTTTAAAAATATTACAAAGTCTCTATGGCACTACAGTGATACAGTCAGATGTAAGGGTAGATCGCTGTGATTAACTTTAAACTGATTGTGATGTAAACTGCAACTTGACAAGCTGGCGAAGGACTACAACAGTGACGCAGTAATTCTGGTTTTATTATTTAATGACTATGAGCATCCATCATGTACAGTCTGTTGTCCTTAGCCCCCCCCCTCTCTACCAGACTGCCACATGTGATCAGCCGTATGGGCTCCAGCGAGGTGGTGGACGTCAACCTGTTCTGCCTGGTGGCCATGGACTTCTACCGGCACCAGATCGACGAGGAGCTCGACCGCAGGGCCTTCCAGTCCGTGTTCGAGACCGTGGCCTCGCCGGGGAGCCCCTACCACCAGCTGCTGGGCTGCCTGCAGTCCATCCACCAGGACACGTCCCTCTGAGGGGGGGGGGGGGAACATGGAGGCAGACGGAGAGAGGCGGGGGGCAACGGAGCACGGGGAGAAAAGTGGATTAGAGTGGGAAATGTGGTAGGGCGAGAAATGAGATCTCCATTTACTCCTCCCCATTATAGCTGGAGGGGAATGTTTCATTAGAAAGGTCTGCTGTAGCCCGTTCCCTCCTGAAATGAGAACTACTGATGAATTCAGTAGAGCAAGCAGAAAGAAAAACAAAAAGTAGCTCAACGTTGTGGACAAAATGTCTAAACCGTTCACCTAGATGAAGGACACCGGCTGCAAATCCTTCAAACTGTGGTTCCACCTACAACCACACCCCCCCACCCACAGACCATTCCTCCGAACGACGGCACCTTGAACACCTCCTCCCACCCAGCACCTTGATTAAAAAAAAATAACATTAATCAAACACAGAGATTGGATTAGTTTATTTTCCTGTGAGGACTTGCTTGAGTATTGTGATGTCAGTAAAGTCAAATAGAAGAAAAAGAAAATTAGAAAATGCATAGTATTTACTATATTTAAAGTTTCAATGCATCTATTTTTCAGTGCGTTTAGTAAAGAGTGCTTAAGGTCGGGTTAGGACAATGGGCTGACACAAATGCCTGCATAATGTTGTTGATAATTATAATCTCTAAAGACCTTTTTTATATTTATGTTACTCTGGGTCATTCTCTGACACACCCGAGTTGAATAGTAAATCTTTTATGTGTAAGAATGATCACTAATAGCCATATCATTTTTTTTCTTTCTCCAGTGACGAGAAAATGGATGTTATTTTGTCAAAGGACATTTCTGTATCTGTGCAGGCATTCTGGATGTTATAAAGAACTACAGGTAAAAACCTCTCACTCTTTTGAGTTTTCCAAATTCTACATATTTGTAGCCCTTTCACAACACTAAAGAGGGTGGGAAATACCAAGCAAAAAATACCAAAATTGCAGTGATGTCTAATTGTTTCAACCAGTAGCATGCGGGGAAAGTATTTCCTCCTATGACTTTTATCATATTGCTAAAGTCCGTGTTTTTTCATTCGTTATTTTTCAAGTCTTGTGTGCTCCCCATGCACCTGAATGATTCCACCTGTCCATTTCCTGTACTCTTTTAATTCTCAGGATGTAAGATGTGACTTTTAATGTTGTACTAAGACTGGAAGTGATTTGCAGTCTTTAAATGGATTTACATTTGTATCTTGTAAAAAAAATATATATTGTAAAGTAGTATGAAAGCCATGGTGCATGATGAAGTAAGATCTGTGTTAAGAGGAGAGATGTTTAAAATAGACGGTAAGATAATGTGAATGTTTTTCTGTCTTAACACATATTCATGATGAGAAAATCACTCGGCAGAAAGTATTTTATTGAAGACTTGACCTCGAGTTGCCTGGGGAGCGTTACTCTGTACATACACTTGCCTTAGATAAAGACTGAATATATGTATGTCCTGTACACTGAAAGCTTGAAAGCATGCTTAGCGTTAATGCTAATTTTCTTGCATAGTCCTTAATACTGTATTCCCGCAGAGGGTATGGTTGCCATGAGTGGAAGAGATGTGACGCAATCCAAAGGGAGCCTTGTAACCTTAGCGATCAACCGCAGCTTTGACAAATCAACAGATGAGAAAGTGTAGCCTAGCGATGCCACGGTGACGGCGGGAGCTTTTCTGTTTTTGTGTTGAATTTTAAATATTTCACTCATCGTTGTGCAGAATATTAAATACACCAAGCACTTACACTTGGACTAACTCATGTTTGTTAGGTGCTTTCTTGATATGCAACAGTACATACGAATGATTTGTTTGCTAAATATGTTGCCACTTTCAAGCAAGGTGACTGACTTCCTTTTGGTCATCATCCTCCCAATCAGAGCAGACTGGGCTCTGGTTTCAGACAGAGGGTGAAAAGAGTTGCTCCACCAACATTCAAACATGTAAACATGTCACAAATACAAATATAAACCTGAAAATGAGCATAGTAGGGCCTCTTTAATATAATATATCCACACAATAAATGACTCTGCAGCTGTCGTTAAAATTCCATTGTGAGGCCTCCCTGAAGTAGATTAGACGAGCATAATGATTCCTGTTTCAGTTCAAGTCTGTTTGTGTGGGGGAAGAAAACCGACGATAATAGAAAACCTGTTTTCCTGCGCTACTTAAAGGAAATTATCCAAAGCAGAATGTTCTTTTCATCTTGTCTTTTAGTATCTTCTCAAGAGCAAAAGACTGACAGGGGACCCCTGCAGGGGGTAATAGGATTACCCAGAAATCTTTTGTGGTTTTGGGGAGGTGGGCGTGGAGGTCGTGGACAAAGGTCATGTTCAACGGATTTAACATGCTTCCCTTTTAAAGGCTTTATTTTCCTTCCACAAGAATCGGCAAATTGGAAAAAATAGTTTTTGTTCTGATTAAAAAGCTGAGAATCTCTGTTACATTTTCTCTGCCAAGTTCATCCATTCTCCATAATGTCATGCGTTTAGCATGTTGGTGCTTGGCTTTTCAAAAAGACCTCCTTTGTTCCCCCGTTTTAAAATATACAGTTTGGCTACTGACTAGCCACAACTGATTCATACAATGATTCTAAAAGGTGGTAAAAGGACTGCAGATTGTGTCATCCCCCTCTAGTTTCTTGAGCTTCAAGCCTCCTTTACATCTTTTTTTTTTTTACAAAAGCCTGTAAAAAAAAAAAAAAAAAAGATTATGTATTTCTGTTTATTTTAATATTTTAAACATATTGATCACTGCATATGGTCTGTTGTAGAAATGAATAAATTATTTAAAGATGTTGAACTTGTAAGATGTTTGTGAGAGTTGTGGCAGGTCAATCGAACGTGTATGCAGATTCATCTTTTGCAAACATGACTGATGGAAAACCGGATCCACTGTGTGTCTAACTTTATTAACCTGTCAGGAGATTACCTCTAATGGTCTGCTGCGCTGTGTCTTGTCTTCCTCTTAGTTATTAGCCAGGCAGGAAACAAAAAGTCAAGAAAAAAATACATGATTTACCAGCATATTCTTATTTTACGGTTCATATTTATGCAGCATATTTCATTTGACGCCTGTTATTATTAGACCTTCACTGACCTCTTGACACGATCACGTTATCACATTTTCACAATTTCCTTTTCTCAGCCCTTTAATTCCCTTTTATAGACACCACAGTATAAAACATATGTTGCTCTTGTTTTACAGCACCCATTAAGATGGGTGGTTCATGATTAAAAGGTATTAACAGGATTAGCAGACAGCTGCCATATGGTTCATGAAATCTCGATGGCACAGGTTTTAAGCAACTGCACATGGCTTTTTATGGCTGAACCTTATAACGGGTTTTATCATGTCATCTATATGAGCTGCACTAAAAGCAACACTTTGCACTTTATTTACAAAACTGAACAATCACATAAAGCTGGAGGGGTTACAAATAACGAAGACGAAGAAAATCCTGTCCCAAAGAATGACTTAAAAAATTATAATACTTTAAATAAGGGTTGCAGCAAATGTTTTAAATTGACCAATCCTATGATTATTTTCTATATTAATTGATGGTGTTGTGTAAGAAATCAGAAAGTGGTTAATATCCATTCCAGTTTTTTTAAATCCCAAACTCAAAAACCCAAAGATATTTATTTTATGAGTTAAAACAGAGAAATATTTGTATTCCGTAGGCTGGAAACAATATTGTATGCAGCTTCTGTATGAGAAATGATATGTAACAACATACTAATTACCAAAAGTAATTGACGATTCTTAGTTGTTAAGATAATTGATAAGTTGACTCATCATTGCAGCTCCACTAACAATTGCAACAAAAAAGAAAACGGAAAAAAAAGAACCAAGGGTTGTGTGTGTGCTCTAATCTGCTGTCTTTGTGGTATGAAACAGTTATGCAGGTACACAATAAAAACACACTTTGAAGTTCGACCTCAGAAATGCAGATGTCTTTCTGAAGTAGGTTTATTTAGTTGAATCCACTGTTTCACTTTGAAGTGTAGGGTGGGGCTGCTCTGTGCCACATTGTGTTGATGTTTTTCAATAGTCTGTGTGTAGTTAATGGGCTTTGAGATGTATTTTCTTCATCATGTTTGAAGTCCCCCCTCTGACCACCACCACCCCCCTCCGCTGCCCTCTCTAAACACACCTCCCTCTCCTGCCGGCCTCCTCCTCCTCCTCCTCCTCTAAGGCTACTTCGCCAGATGGTGCAGCCTTTTCTTTTGTTTACCCATCGTCCCTGAGTTTACCTTACTAACCCTTAGCTACTAAACTATGGAAACTGCCCAAACATCATCAGCACCGGACACCGACAAGTAAGTCACTTTTATTCTCCCGCTGAGGGGCCCCGCTACAGCGAACCCATTAAAAACGGGTTTGCATCCACCTTTTACTTTGCTATACCAGCTTTACAACTCAGACGTATTGTGTCCAGCTGTTATCGTTTGCTTTCTTGCTATGTGATGCTAAAATGCAAATCGATATATGCACCCTGTTTTCCAAGAATACTCTCATAATTACAAAAGCAGACTAAGTTTGTCGCTGACGTTCTGCTGAGTTTTGACACCTGTAGAATATGCTACTGTAGTTACTTTTATCTGTGATTTCTCAAACTAACTTTTATTCAAGTTATCCCACATAACTGTTCTCTGCGTGACTGACAACTCGGAAAACCAATGACAGGATGTAAAAGTCTGTGTACAGCACCGTTACCGTAGTTACAGACCGACATTCCAAAGAACTGGAAATCAGGGGGCGGGACTACAGGTTAAGCACGGGTGGGTGCACTTTTGAACAGCGAGTCACGGCAAGAAACTTTTTATGGTAACTTTCGTGAATTGACAGAGAGAACGCATGCACTCCTGAGTGTAAAGTGACACACACACAGTTGTTAGTTTCGTTCAAAAGCAAGCATTGCAACCCGTTCTAACGTGAAGCTTTACTAGCATGTGCAGCTAAGCTAACAGTAACGCGTCAGCTAATCTCAGCTAACGGTAACTCTTTCTTTACTGATTTTTAGACATTGTTCCCGACTATTTGTGAACAAACGGTCGTTAAACTCAAACGAAAGCCACAGGCAATGTTGATAACAAGCCAAATTAAAAGTTACCATGTAGTTCCAGTTGTGGTCAGGGTCTGTTTAATTTACCTGCATGCCTGCCAGGTGTGTAAACGCCTCTGGTTTAAAAAGATTACTTCCCATTGGACAGAGCTGCTCTGACTCCACCCTGTAGCCTACAGGTGTGGCTGTGTGTTCAACCCCTTCATCTTATTAATATACCATAATAACTGTCAACATTGCCATTAATGACAGTATAATGCTTTCATTTGACATTTTGGACTGTTTTAATAACTGTAATGAGCTCTTAAGCTGCCACATAGACCAGATAGAGGGCATGTTTGATCTGTGATATGGAAGCATCATGGGAACTAAGATGTATGCATGTTAAAGGGGAAAAACGCCCTTATTAAGCATTCCATCTTTTATATCTATGGCCTAGGAGAATTCTGTTCATATTTGTGAACATGACCTACCCTTCTCAATGTAAGCTTAAACTTGGTGTCATGAATTGTATCTACCGGGGCTGCTCCATCGACAATGAATAGGAGACTGATTATGTGGAGTCACAGAATCTTTTTCTTTTTCTTTTTTATCCCAAATTGAGCTCTATTGTATATTTCTGCTACAGAAAACGTCTCCATACAATTCCCTGGGTGCTCTCAGTGTCATCTGTAACATATTTTCCAAATCATTGTCAATGGAGCCGTTCCAGGTTTTATACTGTACATGAATTTTCACACATTTTACTTCAATCATTCTAGTTTTTGGACTGCCTGCAATCATAGGAATAACATTTATGAATTTTGAATATGGGAGTAAAAGGTGCTCATGGCTGACTTGATTCTGTTCTGTTGTGCTGCAGGTAAATGAGTCTATGAATTGGGAGGAATAGTGACACCAGGATGGGAATGCTACAGTAGCAAGGCCGTGCCACAACTGAGGACGAAACTTTCACCCGTCTGCTGCATTTAGTACAGCTGCTAATTTGTTCTCGCCAGCAGAGCAGTTTGAAAGGAAGACTCATTGGATAATGCCCTGCGTTGGTACTTGAGCATAGCCTAGGGATGTATAATGACTAATTAAAACGTAGGCCTACTAATTCAATGGACAAGAGGAAGTTCCCTGGCACAATGTTCAGGCAAGGGGATGCGTCATCAAAAAGACGCCCGGTTGGTGGAAGTGCACCGCCTTCCTCCTCTATGCAGCAGGGTCGTATCCGGGCCGTGGAGGTGGCGAGAGGAAGAACTGGGTACGGCTTTACACTGACAGGTCAAAGTCCATGTATCCTCAGCTGCATCCTGAAGGGGAGTCCAGCAGACTATGTAGGGTTGCGTTCAGGAGACCACATCCTGTCTGTCAATGACATCAACGTCTCCATGGCATCGCATGAAGATGTCGTCAAACTCATCGGGCGCTGCACCGGTGTCCTGAAGCTGGTGATCGCTGAGGGAGAACGTCAGAGGCGTCACCATCACCACCACCAACGCACCGCTGGAAGTCGTCACCATAGCAGCAACACAATGGCAGCATCTTACCTGGACTCGTGCTCAAGTGATGATGAGTTGGATGCCTTCTATGACAATGGTGTTAACAACAACAACAACAGCAAGTCAGGCTGTGGAGCCCGTGGGGGTTGGTACAAACCCAAAATGGATTCTAAGCAGCTGGGCATCAACAGGGCGGAGAAGGTTGTGGCGGAGCTGCAGTCTGGAGGGATTTTCAACATGATCTTTGAGAACTCCAGCCAGTCCTCCAGCAGCTCCGACAAGGACAGACCCAGGGCCAGCTCGTCGTCAAAGCCACGTCCGATCTCTGATCCAGAGTTGCCTTCGTATCAGAACACCTCCCGTTCCCAGAGCAACCCCAACCTGCTCTCCGAGGAGGAGATGGCCCAAGTTCTGAATGACGACTCTGTCTTTCTGGATGCTGATTTCCGCCATCTCCACCTTCAACACCACGAGGAAGAGCAAGATTTAGATGTAGGAGATGGGGGCGACTTTAGCCTAGAGCCCAGCGAGGGCATTCTCAATGTGGGCATGATCGTTGGGTACCTGGGCTCCATTGAGCTGGCCTCCATAGGGGCGAGCTTGGAGAGTGACAGCCTGCAGGCCATCAGATGCAGCATGAGGCGCCTCCGGGCTGAGCAGAAGATCCATTCACTGGTCCTCATGAAGGTGAAAATGTATCTTTTGTTAACCATCTGATGATATATTTCTTATTCAGTTATTAAGATACTCAAATAGGCAAAGATATGATAATACTCATTTAAAAAGAAGTTCCACAATTCCATAATTAAAGTTAAGGATCTGCTATGGGTGCCTTTTAACATTTCTCAGGAATATTTTTACTAGGGACCATTTATGAGTGTTGCATAGCGTTGTTGAAACTTTGGCTTTTACTGTCATAATACAGCACATTTGCACTTCAGTTACTATAGTTACATTTCACTCGCATCTTCCTCCTTCAATGTTACCTGACAGCTTTATTGTCAGTGCTTACTATCTTCTACCAAATAAAAGACAAGAAAAAAAAGCAAAACTGACAGAAGATGTGAATGGTTTTCTAATAGAATAGTATATTACAAATGTTTTAAATATAATTTGTATTATATTATTTACATTTTAAATATCCAGCTATTTATTCATACTCTGATACATATCCTCTAAAATGGTTACTAGCAAGCTTCTAGTAACACATCAGGGAACACTTATGTAGCTAAGGGCCAATGGCATTCTAAGAAAATCCTTGTTTTATACAACACAGTTATTTAAGGCTACTTAGCCTAAGTGGTTTTGTCCTTACGAGGCACTTGAAAAGTAATTTTCTAGGATTATTGTATGTCAGCAGTATAAACAGTATATATAAACTGTTATTGTCTCCTCCTTGTCTGATATTGTAACGTGTTAACTGTGTCCCACCAGGTCATGCACGACAGTGTGCGTCTGTGCAGTGACAGAGGTCATGTTCTGGCCACCTACCCTGCAGAGAAACTGGCCTTCAGCGCCTGTTGTCCTGACGACCGCAGATTCTTCGGACTGGTCACGATGCAGGCCACTGATGACCACGACGAGTTTCATTTCAGCTGTGGACGAGATGAAGAGGGCAGTTTGAGGACTTCCTGTCACGTGTTCATCGTGGACCCAGACCTCTGTCAACACCAGGTAACGTGATGAGATACAATAAGGGTTACAAATCACTCTCACTGTAAAAGGAGATGACATCATTTTATCATAAAAATATAAAAGAGAACATATCATATTGGCTTTACAGATAAATATACACAAGCCATTCCTTATAATAAGCTCCTATAAAAGCTTATATAAACAAGTTTGATTTGTAACATTATATAGGTGTTTTTTAAGAGTTAATAAATACTCGCATTCACTTTTTTTTAGACCTCATAAGTTCTTCATAAGGGAGAAAAATACTATAAAAAGGGCGTTTTACTTCTGTTATTTTTTTGTAGCTGTGCAAATACAATACTATTTCTAAATACCTCATAAAGTGGAATATGAATATACATTTTCAACAAACTTGCCCAACTTCTCAAAGGCAGCAGTGTTGCATGTAATCGCATCATAACATTTATTTAAATAAGTACAATCTAAAATGCCAAATTATGATTTAAATAAGGACAAATCTGTTCATAAATAAGAAACTACATTTTAAGCCTTTTGTTTCTTGAGATTTCTACAGACACCTAAAGTTACTTTAAATGTGGGTCACTGAGGCTAATCAGCCAGACATATACTAACAACCAAATATATGTATGAATTTAAAATCAGCTATCAACAATTCAAACATGCTCATATTTTGTCACTGAGAAAAGGGGACTGCATTGTAGAAAACGTCTGCCTCTCTGTCGTCTCCTCAGGTGCATTCAGGTGTATCGAGGAGGTTCGGCTTTGAGTGCACCCCGGACCCCGACACAGGGGGCTGCCTGGAGTTCCCGCCCAGCTCTCAGCCTCTCCTCCAGTTCGTCTCAGTCCTCTATCGGGACATGGGGGACAACATTGAGGGGGTCCGCGCCCGGGCCTTCCATGACCCAGACAACGACGCCCAGCAGAACCACAGCACCAGCAGCAACAGCGACAGCGGCATCGGAAACTTTCTACCTGAGGAGAAGAGCAACAGAGTGCTGTTAGTGGACCTCGGGGGTCCTCCGAACCACAACCACATCTCCGGGCCACGCCACTGGGACAGCCCTCCTTCATCCCAGCAGGCCTGGAGCCCCACCCTCGGGGCCTCGGCGCCTCTCCCACCTCCGCCTCCTCCGCCAGCTCTGAGAAACGGTCACTACCGCCACGATCCACACCTGGCTGACCTCCCTCACCCTCTCCCCTTAGCTCACCCCGATGTCCCCGGCCGGCATTCTCGAGGAGTCAACCCAAACCACAACTCACAGGGGAAGAGAGGAGGAGCTGTGGGAGGGGAGAAGAGAGGGGGTGGAGGAGCAGGGGTGGAGCCCCAGCGCTGGCTGCCAGTCCATGTGCTGAGAGACTGGCGGCAGCAGCACCACCACAGCCAGCTCCAGGGCCTGAGCAGCGACCAGGAGTCCTACGCCGAGTCCACCGACGGATGGTCCTCAGCCAACTGCAGCACCCTGCCCCCACCCATGAATAAGATCCCGGCCGACCGTTACCGGGCCCCGCTGGCCCCCGGAGACAACCTGCCAGCACCTGGAGGGAGCCAGCCTCCCCCTCCCTCTCATCCCCTCTCCCACACTCACCGGCTGGCTGCTCAGAAAGAAGAGTGGGCGAAGAAGCTGTTTGGAGACCGGGAGAGAGGGGGAGCAGAAAGAGAGAAGAAACGAGGGAACACAAAGGAGGGAGACAAAAAGGTATGTTTTTTATCAAGTTAAGCCGATTAGTAAAACCCTTTATTTTCCTGCTGATCAAGTATTTTATTCATTCTTATTTTCATTTCATTTTTCATTTAATCGTTTATTTGGCAGGGACAATGCACATTAATGAACACTTAAAACAAAAAAATGCGTCAAGTGTAAATATGCCGGATTTGAGCTTGGAGCTAGTTTCCATCCGCAGTCCCTCACATGACTTCTAACAACATGTTATCCCAATACATACAGTGGTCTGTCTTTCTACAATGCTGCATTCAGTACCGCTTTACCAGTTTGTTGGCTTTGGGCTTTTTGGAAGAGTTGTGTTAAAACTGACCATGAGATGAGAATCCAGGCAGCAGGTAGCCTCCCCCATCACACTTGCTGTGGAAAGTTACTCTGACTCCTGTGTGTCCAGGACTACGGTTTATTGAGGCCATAAATCCATCTGTGTTCGTCCCACTGCCCTCCATCGCACACTCTCACCCGCTCCTCTTCAGAGCCTCAGCTTTAACTCTATCAGTCCTAGAGAGAGTTTCACTCGGATATTCAAACCTTTTGGTGGTTTCGTTGCGATGTACCTTGTAGTGCCCCAGAAAAACATCCTGAATAATGCGATCACCTCACTTGGCTTTCTCCCCAGACTTGCTACACATGGATTGATAAGTTATTTATCCCCACTGCTCCAGTATCAGATCATGAATTATGTACAAGCCTGACATCTGCTTCACCTGAAAACCACCTGTTTCCCACCGTAATGAGACGCAACAGCAGAGCAGGCTTTAGACTGGCTCAATAAAGTATTTGTTTGAACTGGTTTTAGCCTTTATTTGCTGACAGATTCATTTTAAGTAATCAAATCTTCATGGTTACATACATTGTGACTAACGGTGAAATTAAGATAAGAGCTGCAACGATTAATCTGCTATTTCATCAGCTGATCAAATGAAAAATAATTGCCAACTATTCTGAAAATGAGTGGATATTAAGCCATTTTTTACAGCAAAAATGTCAGAAAAGGCTTTTATCAGACTCCCATAAATTGAGATGGCCTGACTTGTATGTTCTACAATTATTATGAATGAATCTAGAAAATAATCAGCAGATTAATCGATGAATATTTGTATTTTGCAAATTAAGATAAATCTATAGTAAGTAAAAGAAGCAGAATTCCTTTTTTTCGTCCCACAGTGTGGACATTTCAAATAAAGAGGCAAGCACAAGTTAATGAATAAAAGTAGTACAAAAGTATCTTGAATAAAGGAAATACTATTCGCTGTAACAGGCTGCCACTCAAAATACATTGCAAATACATTGGCTGCATTTTATTTGTGAGAACATACAGTGCACTATTGACTGTATGTTGTTTCCAGACAATAGAGAGGAAGAGATACAGAGCCAGAAATATCAAGCGGATATATCTACATTTCTGAATCCAAACCAAGGAGAGACTTGCGTTTCCTTGATAGTGAAGGAGGCTTGTGCTTCTCCACGAGTATTGTTGGACAGACAGGTTCCCAGGGACCCCCAGGGGACAATCAGAGGAAGTGGACCGGGCCGGGGTGGAGGCTGACAGTGACAGGAAGGTGGATGTTAACCTCTCTCAACAATGCCCTCTGACTATAGACTCAGGACTTTGGAGTTAGTATTCCTTCTGTCTTTACGTAGAGCTAACACTGCGGCAGTAGCTCAGTGTGTGTGAACTTGGCTTGGGCACTATAGAGTTGCCGGTTCAAGTCCTGATCGGATCAAAGTACAGAGTGGACTAGTAGCTGGAGAGGTTACATACATTACATCTAAAGAGACTTACAATAACTTCAATACATTAGACATACTTTTTTTTGGGGGGGGGGGGGGGGGGGATTCGGGGTTAAGTACCTTCCACAAGGCTGGGGATCGAACCACTGACCCTCTGATTGGTAGGCGCCAAATTACCCCCCTCAGCCACAACTGTTTCAGTTCACCTCGTTCTGTGGGATCCAAGACATTAAACCCCTCCAGTTTCTTCCCTAAAGAGAGTACAGTATGTACTCACTTATACTCATACTGAATAGAGTTCCTCTTCTTCTAACAGATGATGTTGTGTTCGCCACATGGTGGCACTGTTCCGCTATCTAAACCTCCATCAGCCTTCTGCACTTTCCTGACCTCCATGGGAAACTCATTTAGAATATAAAACATAAACAAATAAAATAATATTTTCATCTTGACTATGCCTTTGAGCCTTCAGTTCATCCATCCACACAGGTTTTTGATCTACTTACATGACAAAATTGGTCAATTTGAGCAACTTATTGTGGATTTAATGTCGGAAAATATTAAATAAGGAAAACATCAAAACAGACTGAGTTGAATCCTTGCTCTTGAAATGTGATACAGTAATGGTTTTCCACCACACATTGTAGAATTAAAGAGATAATAATTAAATGATGTCGTCTGAGCACCACCCAAAACAACCCAAATACTGTCAAATATTGGATCTCAGCGTCTCTTATTAAACCTTTTGTTTACCTGCCATTACAAATAAGTACTTGTTTCAAACTGACCAGTTTAAACTTAAGATCTAGTGAGAGTGTTTGCGTCATAATAACGTTCGAGTGTTCAACCCTGTGTTATCTGACACACACACACACACACACACACACACACACACACACACACACACACACACACACACACACAGATGCCTCAGTATCCAGGCAACGCGGCCGGTCATCTCCTGATGAAACACTTAGACCTGCTCCTGATCAGCAGTCAGATTCAACATGTGTCACAGCAAAGCCTCTGGAGCCTGTCAGCCTGGATTAATTACTTTTCAGTCAGCTGGGATCCACGGTTATCCACCCTCCTGCAGTATAAGGACATCTGCTTAATTTGTGAGAGCAGAAAGGAGCTGAATTGTTCTGTTGTCCTCTAAAGACGGAGGGACAGCTGTTAAAAGGCTAATTGTAGACTTGGGAAAGCAACGCAAGACTCTCTTGGGTAAACTCTCTGGTTTACAGCACTTTGCAATGTGGTTACATCACTGTCAGATGGATTCAGACAATAAATCTTGATGACCCATGGAGTAATTTTCTCATGTGCTCATTTAAGGCAGCGGTTTATGGCTTTATTTAACCACTGGCCAGATTTTATTCCAGTTTGTGGGTTTGCACTGCAGTAGTTCTTACAAAACTGCGGTACTATCTTTAATCAGAAACCAGTTAATTGCCAAGTAGGTTTACACATATAGGGATGTGGTGTGTGTGATGGTGCCAATATAATCACAGTAAAAGGATTTCAGTTGTAAAAAAGGCAAATATAGAGCAGTTCAAAGGGGCCCTATTATGCTTTTTGTGGTTTCCCCTTTACTGTAGTGTGTTATATAGGTGTATGTGCATGAAAATGTTAAAATCCCAAAGTTCCCTCCAGGGGAAGTTTCTCTCCCACATACTGGCTGCCTGAAATGCCTCCATTGGACTCCTTTGTTTACTTTTGCAGCATAGTGACATCCCTACGTAACAATCCAGCTTCTATCGTCTAGCGCTCCAACACTTTGTACGTGATAGGCTAAGGGGCAGGACATCTCAAAGCTGTTGACCAATCACAACAAAGCAAGTCAGCTAACCAATCAGCACAGACTGGGCTTTTGTTTCAGACAGAGGGTGAAAAGAGGTGGTGCTGCAGCACTTTTAAGCACATTTTCATTTTTCAATAATGAACCCGGAACTTAGCATAAAAGCTACATAAAAAAAAAGGAAAATGTTCAAATTTAAATTAACAAAAAAATAAGAATATAAGTAAGTAGTACAGCATACCAGTATTTCAGTGGAAAAGCTGTGCAGTAACCTGTGTGTGTGTGTGTGTGTGTGTGTGTGTGTGTGTGTGTGTGTGTGTGTGTGTGTGTGTGTGTGTGTGTGTGTGTGTGTGTGTGTGTGTGTGTGTGTGTGTGTGTGTGTGTGTGTGTGTGTGTGTGTGTGTGTGTGTGTGTGTGTGTGTATTATTGTGCTCTGAATGTGGCCACAGGGTTGGCTAAAGTATTATCTGGAACTGTAGGCAAAATAACAAGACTGTACATGCCTGCACATAACATGTGGAATTTAACATTTGAGTGGAAAAAGAAACCCATCATGAATGGACATGCATGTGTAACAGAGGAATGCTTCTGCTCAAACCGCTACATGTAAACACCCATGTAATACTGTCTCCATGTTGAGTTGTGTCTTTATACAAATGACACTTAAACATTTACATTTCAATAACACACACACACACACACACACACACACACACACACACACACACACACACACACACACACACACACACACACACACACACACACACACACACACACCCATATAAGCTTCAGTCATCATTAAAACGTGTTTGGATAAGAGCGATATTTTTATTACAAAAGGTTGCACAAGTATTGTTGCACAACTATTATTTGATGTTAATTAACAAAGTTATTGACAAATAAACAAAGACCTTACCTAGGGGCTGCCATACTACATGTTCTTTTACACAGTCCATAGTACACCAACAGTGTAAACACTGTAAAACCTCCATGCAGTAATACTATCGGAATAATAATCAAATGAATTTGTATATGTTGGCAAGAATCTTCTATCTTTACAAGAAGTAAATTCTTGTAAAGACAGCTTTTTTTTTTTGCCATAATAGTCTGGAATAATAACAGTAACAAACTCACATTATAAAGGCAATTCAAACACCAGAGACACTCTACTGGTTAAAATGTATAAACAATTGTAAAAACAACTCTATATAAAACTTGAGAAAAACATTAGCATTCAAATTAAAAGCAGTTTAGAAAATGTTCGTTATTATATGTGATTTGAACATGGACAGATCGGTGCAGTCTCAGATGTGTTCATATTTTTATTTGTTTATTTGTAATTGTTTATTGTCATGAGATTGTTGGCCAGTAGGAGTGACAGAAATAAAGAGAGACAGGGTGAAGGAAGAATCCTCAACAACCATCAATGTTATATCACTATTTTCACTGTTAATGAGGGAAATAGAGGGATTTATTTGACATTTGTGTTTTCGGCAACTTTTAGCTCCAACAACACAACGTCTCCTTTTCTGATCAACGGATATAGAACTAGCAACCTCATAGTCAGCTTGCTTGTCTAACCTTTCTGACCTCTACCTATATGTACTCTGTTACATATAGCATGTGTACTCATCATGAGATATATTTTTTCTCTCCTCAGGGTGGTCGTTTCCGTGGTCTGACCATGGGCTTCCCTCCTCTCCCCGTGCGCTCCTCAGCAAGACGCTCCTTTGGACGCTCCAAACGTCACAGCTTAGCCCGCTCACTGGATGACCTAGAGGTAGGACACACACACACACACACACACACACACACACACACACACACACACACACACACACACACACACACACACACACACAGCACTTCCATCTGCCAACACAGAGTGGAGTGTTACAGGCAGTGCTCAAGCTCAATCTGTCCATTGTGTGATTGTCACATTTCAGCCATACCTGCTGCATCCACCTCTAATAATAGCAGCCCATGCGCATCATACATCCTCACATGACACGTCAAGCCCTCTTCTCACATATTATCACCATGACAACATACACAGTCGTGGACAGAGACAGTGTAGAGAAAGAGATATATTAGCACGCTGGTGTTTATGGAGTTGGACTGCAGTGCAGCTTTGCTAGCAGGGGATTTCTCAACATTAGCAATGGTTACTATTTAATGTGTGCAGCCATATGTTTAGGGGTCGAAGTATTCTGCTGACTGGGGGGCAATATGGCTACTCTGTTGCTCAAATGTTACTTAAGCTCTCCTTTTAGCTGCGAGAGATTATCTGCTATCCAGTCATTTGAGAGCCATGAGTTTAGCCATAACAATATGCCTATTTAGTACAACATTTTATAAAAGAGAACGTCTGCTACGGCTGCTGTAGTACTCAGGCATGAGTGATACAATAGCCTGCTGTCATGGCTACCACCAAATGTGCACAAGGTGATGTTCATCTTAGTTGTGTTAAAATTATTGTATATGGAGTTGCAGTTCGAGCTACTATTTTTACAGCTTTTTAACTGATATACCATATATATATATTATGTTTTTTTTGGGTTGTCTCTTTTTTTTTGGGTTATATAGGTTTTTGTGCATGTTAATGTTCTACAACGGCTTAAATAAAAAAAAGAAATCGGTCCCACACACTCCCCCCCCCTGCCTAAAACGACTCGATTGGACTCCTTTGTTTACTCCCGTAACACTTAAGCTTTTATTGGCTAGCACTCCAACACATTGTACGTCATAGGCTAAGGGGCGGGACATCTCTAAGGGGTTGACCAATCACAACAGAGCCAGCCAGCTAACCAATCAGAGCAGACTAGGCTCTGGTTTCAGAGGGTGAAAAGAGTTGCTGCAACACAGGCTGTATGAGCAAAATAAAGAGCTTTTCTCCATTAAAGCATGTAGACATGTCACAGTAGAGGCACTACATACAAATATGAACCTGAAAATGAGCATGATTTAGCCCCTTTATCTTAAAGGGACTGAACTAGCTACAGGATAATACTGTACAATCAAGTTAAACAAAAGTGGAACATTCCGGGTGTTGTTCTTACTATGGCCTGCATGTAATGGCGCATTTCCACTACAGCGCGGAGCTCGCTTTAAGCGTGCCGTGCCGTGCCCGGCCTGTTTTTGGTTGCGTTTCCACTTGGCGTAGTTCCGGCTAGCGGGTACTATTTCACAGTTTTTCTGGCCCCATAAAATCGAGGTTCTTTCCGGGCCAACAACCAGGCTGAGTCAGGCTGAGTATGCTAAACTAGAGAGAGAATCGCTGACAAGGGGGCTACAACTACAACAAGATGACCATATTTGACCGTGATTTAATTGTAATACACGTTTCAAAATGATGCCGAAGTAACAACATACTGATACCGGTTAGTAAAAACCATGAATTAATGCTTTGACAAGTCTGCAGACAGACGGCAGGCGAAAAACCTTTTAAAATGTGTGTTGTCTAAATGGAGATCGGCTAAGCTAACACAGTATATGCTCCGACCGTCCACACTCACAACAACGGCCTACAGACATAAATAAACCAGCGACTGTACTCGCCATGACACAGACAGTCTGTGGTTTGTACTTGTTTAACTTTTGTCTAGTTTCTGAACATATATGAGGAGCTGTGAGCTCTGAGTGCTAACAGCTAACGGCTGATGTTGTTTTTCTGTGGTTCTCATTGAAGATGACGTCACGGCTCCGCCTACACTGCGTTACTATAGTTACTGCCCCAGCTACTAAACTGTAATGGAAACGTAGCATAAAGTGAGCCAGTCCTAACAAGGCCTAACGAGGCCTAGCCATACCGAGCGAGGCCGAGCGAGGCCCTGTAGTGGAAATGCGCCATAAGTGTGTGAATTTGTGTGAGTATGTGGGCACAAGTCATAACTGCTGTTTTGGTTTTTAGATAGTGATCAGTAGAAAGCTAAATGTTTCCGCCGTTTAGTGGCCACTGAGGCACCATGGGACCAGATAAGCCCATCCCACACTGTCGCTTCAGTCAAAGTTCTTTTTTGAAAATGTACATATTTAGAATGTTTTACTTCATTGGACAGCACAGAAGCGATAGACAGGATGTATGAGGAGAAAGGGGAGCCAGACTCAGAATTACATGCTACAAAAATCTTTGTCTGGATCCTGGAGATCTTAATTAGACCTAAAGCTGTTTCTTATTAGAAAATAAATCCTCTGATATAACTTAATTCCTCAAAGGGAAAATCAATTTGCACATCGCCTGGTGCCTCCAATTAACTTCCCTGCCAACAAATTCCAATGGAGACACGGTTATCCATTCCTAATATTTCTGGAAAGGGCTCACACTGGGCTGTGCTAATGTCGTAATAGTTTATTGTCAGTCCAAATGTTAACGAGGCACTTAACTCCACCCTAACCAACATATTACACAACTGATCTTACAACTATATACATTTTTATCATGACAGCAACAATTACACAACTAAATGTATCATCAGGTGGTGAGATCGGAAGCCCCAGTGCATCTGAAGATATTTGAATTGGGGGGTGGTTCTTTCTCTGTGCCAGTGGCAGAACGTCCAATGGCAGGGTTCCTCTCTGCTTTTCTCCTCACCACCACCACCACCACCCCAACCCTCCCCCCCTCTATTCTACCTTTTCTTCCGGTCGTTAGGCCTTTTTCTCTTGCTGCTTATGCGGTAATGTCCACAAACAGAGAGGGCTTTGTGTTGTGAGAGGGGGGAGGGTGAGATTGGTGTGTGTGTGTGTGTTCGTTTGGTGATGGTGATGGTGGTGGGGGGGGGGTAATGGGGTTTGAAGTGTTAGCCTGCACTTCTAATGAGCTCTGATGAGCAACTAGCTGACATTCCCCTCGTTAGCGAGGCCTCAACACAAAAGCACCGGGCATACACACACACACACATTGACGCACATATACAGGAAAAGCCATGCACGTATACACACAAGAAAATTGCAAGTCGGTAACACACAAACACATCAATGTACATGAGCATGATTACACTGTAATTGCACACACACAGTTCTCAGCCATCTTGTCCGCTGTGCCAGTGAAGCTTCTCCTGCAGCGTTCTCCTGTAGCTGAAGTGTGTGTGCATGTGTCTGCTCAGTACACACTTGATGTTTTATGTGGCTTTCTTTTGTCATATGTTCAAGTACAAACGAGAGATCTTGGTTCTGTTAGTGTGATGTTTTTATCTTGGAGACATAGTTTAGGGCTTGTTTAGGGTGAGACTATAAACTATTTCCCTGCCTGTTCATTCTATTCTATTTTCTGTATATCTGTGAATGTCTGCCAGAGCTTGAGGCTTGCAGCTTGTCTTGTGATGTCTTATTGTAGAGCTTAACCAATTTGTACTCACACGCACACGCACACGCACACAAACAAACAAACAAACAAACAGACAATGTCTTATGACATGGGGTAAGACGTCAGGCTGTAAGTCTCCTCCAGCTGTGTGTGATTGGATTTCAGCTGTTCCATATTTCTGCCAAATCGTTTGTGGACATCATAAATGCATATTGGCCACGACACATAATTGAAAAAAAAATTGTTTGAAACTTTGTTTGAAAATATGAATGTTTAAAACCACAAAAAGCTTAAAAAATGTGTCAAAAAGAAACACACCCTCGCATTCAGCTCACTTATTTTCACGCCGATCAATAGAGTGATGCAATGATGATGTTTTTTTGTGGGCCAACCCGGAAGTTAGCGTTACAAGTGGTCGTTCGCAATGGGATTTTCCATTGTATAATTGAATTGACATGTTTTGTTCAGCAGGATAATCTCTACATAAAACCCTAATTTTATGATTTTTTAAAGCGTCAATGCAATCGGCAACGTAACATGGCTGCGCATCACAACCGCTAAGCTAAAGTCGGCTAATGTTCACTTAGAAGCTTCGGACATTTACAAGTGGGATTAGTTTTTACACATTTGATGTTGTAGAACAAACTGCGAAAATATTCAACATAAATGAACCACTGCCCTTATTTCAGACATCTAACCAAAAGCACGTTCGAAAAACAGAAGACTTCCAGATCAGAAGTGTCAGAATAATTTCCGGTTTCAGCACGCATTCCTGCACCACCTGATCCTCACCTGTTGCTGAAGGGTTGAGGTCTGAATATCAAGGTTATGTGTCACACCTGCATAAGCTGTTTACCAAATGAGGCTGACAAATGAAAGCAGGCAGAGCTAAATCAGTCAGAGGTTGAATGCACACATATAAGTGGCAAACAATGCCCTCAATAGGCTGATTGCAAGGCAGATGCTCCCGCTTCCTCCATGAGCTGAAACAATGATAGTCGGAGGAAGATGACATTTCTCTTTCTGTGGAGCTCGAGTGTTTTTGGGAGAAACAATTCCAAAGGACATTCTCTGAGCAGGCGGTGTTCTCTTTATGTTTTCTGCCCGCACAGGCAATTGCTGCTTTCTAACAAAGTAATAAGGGTTGACTGTAGCCACTTATGGGCTGTAAACACGTAATAAGTGATCCAAGTAGCACACAGGTTAGGTTAGGTTAGGTTAGGTTAGATTAGATTAGGTTAGGTTAGGTTAGGTTAGGTTAGGTTAGGTTAGGTTAGGTTAGGTTAGGCGAGGAATCACTGCTTGAATTCTACTCAATGCTGATGCCTGCATCATTTATATACAAGAAGACTGGAAGTAATGACGGAAATGAGAACAATTGCACTTTATTTTGCTGTTAAGACATGATCGATCACATTTTTACCATGTTTATATAATTACGATTTAGGAATTGATTGTATCAAAACCCATTTTTA